CTTCGCGCGCGGACTTGATGCAGATCTCTATAATTTTTCACCATAATTAAGTTGCCTTTTTTTTACATATTATTCTAGCAGCGTTTAGTAAAACTTTCAGCTTCGCTAGAATTCTTAAGTCGAGGGGCATTTCTGTTTCTTAATGCAGCCTTTGTGCTGAATACTAGGGGTTACGTTTGAAATTGTTCTCTCTTTGAAAATCAACAGCACCGGTTCAATGTACAGATAAAGAATCAGGTGTGTTGCCGGGACGAGCCTTGGAAAGACAAAGTTTTTCATACGAGAACATATCTGGACTTCAGCTAAAGCGAGTCTACATGGTGTATGAGAAGGAAGACAAATGAACAACAAGATAACGAACTACACTCAACCTGACCCCAAAGATTACATGGAAGTGGACTTTTAATCCTCTCTTATCGACCTAACGTCTTAACATTACATTAAAAACTCGAGAAACCAGCTCTCGATTCTTTTTACGATGTAAAGCACCAGACAGTCTTTTTAAGACCGTAGTTTGAAATGTGTAACTGTTTTGTTGAAGAAATATGCGCTGTCTTCATTTATACACTGAATAACCGAAAATCTCGATCAACATGTAACTATACATTGATTTAAAAGCGATAGGTTTGCATCTCAAGTCAGTTCAGTCGAGTCGGATGTCAAAGTAGTACCAAAGTTATTTGCTGCCGTTCTTGTTAAATACATTGACAAGAAGAAGTATTCAGAAGTATTAATGCTAACCTTATAGAAGTGACACTGCTGTTGACAACCCACCACAGACGTTAATCTCCATTACGTATTTTCCAAGTTTAGCGCACGTTATCGAGCATTACACAAGTAGTGATTACGAATTATGAATGTATTTTTGTGAGATTGAATAAATATATATTAAAGCTTGAATGTTATGAAATACAGTTTGATGCGTCAGTTTGTAATAGAAAACTTTAATTATGGTAGGAAACCACCGAAACCGAGTCAAACCGCCATGAAATAAAAACAAAAAACAACAAAAAATAGCGTGACGTGATAAAAGAAAAGAATTACGGGGAATCCATGCTTGGCCACGTAATCGTCCAATTTTCAAAGTAAACAATAGAGCAAATTGGCTTTTCATCTTCAGACATTTCCTACGATTCACATCGAGAAAATGGAAAGCAATCGTCCAATTTTCAAAATAAACAAAGACGACAATTTTATGTAGAAGTTCATTTCTCATGCTATCTTTGAAATGTTAAGGCATGATTAAGGAAGTTTCATTGTTTTCGATTCACGCTATTCCGTGATGTTGCGCAATACCTTTGAGGATCACGTAACATACTCTCAGAACTTATTGCTTTTATTCCATCTTTATTCGGCTTTATGTCATTATTTTTCGGTCTCTACCGTGTGCTTTTAGTCGTTGTTATTTACGAGAGGTTCTCGGTTATTTTTCAACACGGAAGAGATCAGTAATAAGAGTATGATAAGCCACAACAGTGTTTCACAACGTTTGTTCGTTTAAATTTCCATATTGGTTTTCTAGCTATATTTCCTGCTTAAAAGTTTTTTTTAGTTTTGTAGCGTTCGTCGATCTCTAGCATTGAACTATGCATGTGTCGGTTGAATTCCCTTCTATTCCTACCTTGTGATGTTTATTCAAGTTCAGATCTAAAAATACATCCCAAGAAAAATAGCTTCCCAATCATCTGGACCACTTTCCCCCCTGGGACGGGCTAAAATCCCGGAAACAAAAAAACTTCTAAGAAGAAACCTATACTGTGTGCGATTATCTTAGAAATTTCCGGAAAAACCGCTTTTCTCTCGACAGTTCCTGTAGAAATCGTTTGAAATTGATCTCACAGAAACTCGCACAAAAACGTTACCGCAGGTTCTTCGGCAATTGCCAGAAAACCGAGCTTGTTTTGATCTTTCAAATTCAAATCATCGAGTATTCACCCCTATTGACAATTCCTTCATAAGAATCTTACTTCACTTTCACTATTCATTCCAGCCCTCTCCACACCGCAGCCGTTGGGGGAGGGCGAGGGGGTAAATGATGGGGCCAACCAATATCTGAGAAGGAAACTATCAATTCTTAAATCAAGGTGAAAGTCCCACAGAATTTGCTATTAGCTTGTGGACGATTTCTGGAAGAAAACTTAAATTTATTCTATGCCTTTATAATCAATAAGCTATTATCCTACCCCTCTCCCCACCGCTCCCTCACGATCTGTAGGAAAACTTCCACTTTCTAAGAACAAAAAAAAAACGTTTCCCTCGAAAACATAAACACAAACCCCTGCCCTATCCCCTCTACAGGCGTTGAGTAAGAGCAAGGGCTACGTGACGAGACCAAACAACGTCTGAGAAGGATACTGTCAATTCCCAAACCAAGATGAAATTCCCACAAACCCTGCTACCAGTTTGTTGACGATTTATGGAAAAATCTTACACTTATTCAAAGCCGAAATAGTCACATTACTGTTATCTCCACCCCTCTCCCCTGCGCCACTTCATGAATACCAGGAAAAACCGATATCGATCGACTCCTTTCTTAGAAACATCAGTCGTGTTTCCTAGAAAACCCGAACACAAACCTCGGTTACCCAGAACATAGCGTGGGTGTACGTCATAAAAACTTCAAAGCCCACGCTTGAGGACTTTCAAAGCGCTGATTTGACGGACTTTAACGGCAACTTTTCAAGATCGTTCGTGTTGCAGTCGCGGATAAAGTCGATGAAAGATGCCAGCGTCACATAGTTGCTGCTGTGGACTGTGGAGATTACGCCGACCAAGATTTTTGTTTAAGTTACGTCCTCAGGACCAAGTCACAAATCAGTATAGCAAATTCAACACCGGAAGGATTACAAGTGAGTAAGGGTTTTTGTGATCTTGTAAATGGGAAACGAGCAACATTTGCGAGCGTCTCAAATCTTACGTGCATTGCATCAGTAGTGAACACTGCCTCACTACTAAATAAAGTACAAATGTTGGAAATTTCAAGGAAAGATGCTTGCTTGAGTCAGGCATAACGACCAAAAGGTGACCGTAGTTCCTTTAAGAAGCCGGTTACCATTCCACAATACATTTGGAAACGCATGTAAACTTTAAAGAGGGTAGACGAGTTCGATTTCCGGGTGTCGCTCGTTCTTCGCAAAAATAATTTACGTTACTCTGCTACAGAAAATGCAAGACTACCGTACCCTATATTAACCTTGCTACTTATTCATCAATGACTTGGAAACGCAAATGTTTGATTTGAAGACTAAAGGGGTGGCTTTAATCATCCTAGAGTACAGTTAATCGATATTGTGTCCTTGGACTATCGATTATTATACTCCAGATCAACAAGGCTTCTACAGAAAGCCTATTAATACTGACGGCATATCGCCCTCGAACTGTACATTTATCCGCCCCGTATGCCCAAACCTTATAGTTATGGACGCATCTGTCAGTCAGATACGCGCTATTTCTCACCGGACTGTTAAATTTTTTATCAATATTTTCAGCTATCGGTTGAGCCCTACGCATGAACTGAACGTGCGAAATACTTAAACGCTAGCCGACAAACTTAACAAAAAATTTAAGGAAAATTAACCAGGCCTATCCTACAGATGCACGACACGATTGGAAATACACGTGAACTCTTCGATATCTATACGTTAATACCACAATAACATGTTAAATGTTACGCGTCATTCCGTGGGTGCCTTAGCGGGTGGCAGGCCTACGGTAAGGTTTGCAAAGCGTTCCTTTCGGACGAAACTCGGCAAATTCTTTAAATGCTTAAATTGTTTGACATCTGAGAAGTTACCAGTAAATCAGATTCTTGTGTTTGCGTAAGGTTGTTTCGACGTAAAATACGCGATTTTGGTGAGAGATCACAGCTATTTCGCCGCCATTATATCACAAATGGATTTAAGTAATGTCGATACGAGAGACGCGTACGTTTGAAATAGAATCTGTCGATTAACCTCTTACCTTGTGCGAGGTTTGTTGTGAAATTGACATAGCGCAATGCCTCGAAATATCACAAAATTAACCACTAATAAGTATTCTTTCAACCGTATTTACGGTACGTGTGTACAGCCTGTTCTCGTACTTGTTAACGTTTTTGATAAACAAATTACGGCGGCTGAAAATGTATGTCCTCATAGGAGAGAAGTCATTATCAACGGAAACGGAAATTGTTTTCACCATACTGTTGCTCTTGGGCGGGATAAAACAAGCTATGACAAACACGAGGAGATCAGTTAGTAGGTCAAATTCCAGGTCTTTGAGCCGCCACTCTTCACTATTTTCAACTACAGACACAGCCATGGCTTCTATAACACTAAAATTATAGACAGTGATTTCTACGGCTGATCTAACTGACCAACCAAAGTAGTTTACTGTAACTGCACAATTCTTTCCAAAGGCCCAGTAGCCGACGCATCCCACGAAATTGCCTTTAGGCGTCTTTAAGAACAACAGTGTTGTTGTTTTCTTTGATTACCAAAGCTATCGCTAGATTGCAAGAGTTCGATTAGTGTTTCGTTTGATTTGGTTTATCACTTAAGTACAATGTCTAGCGGAAAGTGGAGAAGGGGGTGATGGATACGTCGCGCGAATACTGAGTAAATACTACGGACAAAGATACACAATCTTCACAAACCACACAGACTCAACACTATCTCAGCTTAAATTTTCGGTAAAGGGGTTTCTAAATCGTCTTTGAAACTAATAGTTTGGTCTGACGATAAATTATTTACCATCAGCAGATCCAGTCCAATGCACTGACCAAGAACCCCCTGTTTTGCTAAGAAGAGCCTTTGGAAAAGAAGAGTTCTTGAACCCCACCATTTCAGAACATCAGCTGAAGCGAGTCTATTTAGTTTATGAAAGGATAGAAACAGAAGCAAACTTCACAGATTGAATTGATCACATGAATGTAAATGAAATCATGGATTTTGAACATTCAGTTTCGAAATAAAATATTTGAAAGAATGTGCCTTATGCAGTTTTATGTGAGATTGTGGAGTGTAAAAAGTGGTGATGTATGACGTTTGAGGAACTAGCATTCCCAGGAACAAGGGGGCAAGCTACGAACTAGGAGGGAAGCGCTAATCAAATTATATTACATGTAATGATCTGTTACGTTGCTTCCGGTTGTGAGTTCTCAATAAGAACCCTGCTTCTCTCATTTCAACAACATCAGTTCAATCCTTAAAAGGAATTTCCTTCCATAGGGGAGAAGGCGTATATATTTTTCAAATTTCACTGCTGTGCTTCTACAAAGATCTTAAAATACATACAATGAAAGATCACTCCGTTTTTGCCCCAGCCCTCTCCCTTTAGCAACTTCTTAAAGGAACAATATGACGAAACGATGCTGAACTCCACATTTAAAATTAAAGGCATTTCTCTGTAGAGAAACGCTTACATTTTCACAACTTTCCTTCATTTCTCACCCTGTAATGCGTCTTCAACCACAAGTAGCGAAGCACTTGTCAAATCAACGAAGGAATAGACAAGCCCCGGCCAAGCACTGCAGACAAGGGTTAGGTGCATGTACCCCATGAGTTGGGAATTTTGGGTTGAGCCAGGAGCCCATGAGTAATGGGCTCCTTATTGAACTAATTTACGAATGGTCAGCGGCTGCAAAAGGCGCCTTTAAAGGGCTGATATCTGGTATCATACTGTGCCTTTGAGCGAGTGCCGCAGTGATTTTGCAAAATCTGCATTAGTAAGCCCGGCATTGCTGGTACATCAGGTATAATTAATACGCCACAATATTCCTCAGGGGTTCCTCTCTGTACCTCTGATCGTGATGTAAAAATAGGACAATAGCAAGACTTCCTTAGCTAATCAGCAAGGAAGTATAACACCTGCAAGCTCGGTACGAGCTTTGCAGTGCCGCAGGAATCACGACACAAAATTAAGAAAAGTCGTAACAAGTTGGATTGGTAAACGAGGATTAAGAGGATGAGCCAGTACTACTACAAGTCAGCAGATGGGAACGGTACTGTTTGTTGAGTCCTGTCATCCAAAACTTCAGAACAATCTCGTCTTCGGGTTTTGCACCAAGAATTTTCAGAAGTCTGTAACGGGTATAACAAGGTACCATTAAATCAAGCTGCAGATAATGATCAACCATACAAAGCATAGGCAAATGTGTTCCTCAAAATGAAAACTTCTCGTGGTTGAAGAAGACTGTGTAAATATGAGGCTGATGCCACTATCGGTAAAAGATATGAGGAAATATGGCTGCGTGAAAACTGGGGATGAAATGGGAGCAGTTTCCGATTCTCTGCTTTTTTTAAAATTATTTTCCTCGACCAAACTAGCTTGAATATCAGGGGTAAGTTTTTAAAGAAACTGTGAAGCTGTGTGGGCGGAGGGTATCACGGGATAATTTGGTTTTGTAAATTGGTTGATAAGGTAGATTTGCCACCGTAAAGAGTTTCTAAAGCTGACGTTTAGAGCGTTAGCCCTTCGTCACTCGCTCTGACAAAACCTCAGCTTTAGAAACTCTTTACATACGGTGGCCAATTTATATTATTAACTCAGTTGAAAAAGTTATCCCGAAAATCAAATGATAGCGCGAAACATTGAGTACGACGGATGGATAAAATTCGAGAGGAAGGGGAAGATTGCAAGATGAAAGTTTGAATTAAACGTTTGAACAGTGGGAAAAAAGTGATCTATGATCATGCATGACACGGCTGATATCACACCCTAATTTTTTGTGTAAGGAATTTGATGGGGTAAATGCAGAGTGTATCAGCAGCGTGTATCAGCAAGAATTATCCACAAATAGTTGGACTCAAACTGATACAAGATTTGGAACGAAGTTATCTAGCTAAAGAAAATACAAATGATTTAAACTTACTTCTCTTTATCCTCCTTGGTACTTGGACCTGACCTTGAAAACTTGAAAATCACTTTTACTTTGCTACAAAAATGTAAAAAGTGAGAAATTGGGAGTAAGATGCGGATAGCATGCTTTTCGAAAAAATTCAGAAAGCTCTAACCCTTTACACCTTCAGTATTCATATTCTCCATACTGTTCACTGTACATTTACTAAGGTGCTGACATGGAGGATTTGTTTAACATTCAAGAGTTTCTTTAATTGGTGATCATTTCCTTTATTCTCATGACATTAATGTGTGATTCAGGGGTGATATTGTACGGGGAAATTAGATGCTGGTCACTCTCAGGGGTTAAAGGGTTAAATTGCGACTTACTCCATCCATTCTTCCTTCAGACAAGTCAACAGCTGATCAAAAACTGCATCCGAGAGAGAATCATTCGCCAGGGCGCCTTCTACTTTCTGGAGAACGGTGGGATCTACAGATATAGTTGAAAGAGCACAGACTACCCAATAAGAACCAGCCAGAGATTTGAAAGGATCTACATTTTAGGGGCTTGGCATGGACCCGATGAAGACTGTTTTAGGTAGCAGTGAATATAGTATGATCGTGTAGTCTGATCTTCCGGGTGAGGGTAGTGCTGAGAGCGACTGTAGCTGGTAGCAGCGACTAACGTTTCTACGATCTGAGCGGATGTCATCATCAAAGTCAAGTGAAGTGCCATTGTCATTCGAGTCATTCATTAAGTCCGATTCGTGTAAAATGATCAGTCAGTTTAGCCGTGATGTGATTGGCTCAAGACTCGGGTGGCGTACGTCGGTTGTGATCGGTCAGTATGACCATGCATCAGGGGTATGTCATCAAGATTCTGATCATAACCCTCAACAGAAGGTAAAACATTACATCCCTCATTGGGTCAAAACGCATTTCTTACTATACTCTGGGAAAAAAGAAAAAAGCAACAACAAGAACAGCAACGAAATACTTTAGAAGACCTCCTTTAGGACCGAAAAGAGACTGAATCCTACCTGTAGCATTCTCTTTACCAAAAACAACAAAGCCATACCCAAGAAAGTCTTGTTCTTCATCTCTATTTCAATATAAGAGAAAGGTGATAACAAAACGTTTACCGCGACGACCATCAAAACTTGTCCTAATTGATTATAACTCATGAAATCAGAAAAAAAAATACACTGACCTTTGCTGCTCCGAGCCAGAAGCTTCAGGGACCTGGACCTTGGTAAGGGATGGAAATTTTGAAGAGGTGGTAACTATTCAAAGAGGGCAAACCCTAGGAACTAACCTGTGATTCTACCTAGCTCTGAAGGATGACGAATGTGGTACAAACAGGTTTCTGACATTATAAGTATAATTGCTTCATATTCAAGTCAGTTTTGTTTCAGTATCAAGAAAAGACAATAACTGGGATTATCACTACGTCAACGCTTTTTCTTACCTGCTCTCGAGGTGATATGATATCAAGCAAAACAAAGAGATCTGATGACAACACATGCGAAGGAATCTCTACCCCTGGAGCAAGACCCAGGAAATTACACCGCCATGAATCCTAAACGAGTCAGACAGAATAAAAAGAGAAAAAAAAAAGAAAAGTTGCTGACTAGTGCCGCGGATATAAAACTTCTAGGAGGATATTAAAGTCAACGTCCATCTTCAAAGCAGTTGAGCTAATGAACTCTTCTCTGAAGATCTCTCGTCCTTTTCACTGATTATACATAATTTGCAGGGCATCTTTCAAGACAGGCCAAGCTTTTGACAGCTATTTATTGCTATAGATTTCACGTTTAAAAAAACGAGTTCTGAAAGGTAACGTGTTTTTAAGCTGTTTCCAACTAGAATTTACGACCTATCTTAAATGAGGCCTCCTTCTCAACATATTTACATGGATGATGATAGTGATGATTGTAATTGTAATTATGGATTAAAAAAAAAAAGGAAACGAACAAATAGAGAAAATGTACATCCAGGGACCGAAATGGGCCTAACTTAAACTGAACTCCATTCTGCATAACTGATTGAGAGGAGTACTTTTTTATCAATTTCTGTTTTCATATTTTCTATTCGCAACTGTACCTTGTATTTCTTGCTGTAAGGAATACATGAACAACAACCACTCGGTATCAATACCTGAAAAAGGGTGGTGTGATATGATTAATGGGGTTAACAAATAAATTAAAAAAAATCGATGACGCGTATGCATTCGGCAAAGAGTGCTACTGAGTGATTGAGTTACTTTGAGGCAGCTGGGACTTCACTTCCTAACAAGCGAACACAAAGTCCATGCTTAAACAAGCGCACCAGCAAACAAAGGAATAAGAAACAGAGACAAACAACCGAAATATCGCTGAAGGGGGTCAGGTCTTCACAATTCAATTGTCCACATTGCCAGAAGTCATGCAGGTTTGTGTGGCGTGAAGTGAGAGGTATTTTGTTCTTATTTGGTTACCAGTTCCTCGTGAGAATCCTTACTCATTTTGTCACATTATGTGGCACTAGGCACCATGACAGAAAAGGAATGTGCAGATAAACCCATCAAATTTGGGGATTGGGGAAGGCGCAATGGTGAGAGCACCCGCCTCCCACCCCTACGACTTGGGTTCGATTCCTAGACCTGGTGCCACATGTAGGTTGAGTTATTGTTAGTTTTCGTCCTTGCTCCGAGGGTTTGTCTCCGAGTCCACTAGTTTTCCTCCCGCCACAAAAGGCAAAATTTCAAATTCCAATTCAACTTGGAAACAGTGGACAAGAAGAGCTATCTCGTGGAGTGCCCACTTTTAAATCTCATCACTATTATTATTATTATTATTATTATTATTATCACCATTATTATTAGTATTGTTATTGTTATTATTATTATTATTATTATTATTATTATTACTATTATTATCATCATCATTATTATTAGATTAACCCAAGACAGGGCCTTTTGCTCCCAACCCATCTCAATTTCGCTAACACGCTTCCCACAAAAATCGATGAATAGACGTATTAAATAATGTTTACACTCCACTATCTAACACGAAATAATCTAAGGTGTAGCCTTTTTTATATGACTTTGTATCTCTCACCTTCAAGCAATTTAAGACTGATTCAACAGTCTTTCGTTTCTCACCGCGCACAATGACTTGATTGCCTTGAATCACATGAAAAGCTAACAAATGGAACTTGTGACCTCCCAACACCTGCATACCAAGTTGATAGAATAACAACTCAGTTACGACTGTAGCTCACCTGTTTTTGGAATTACTTCAAGTCATCGCAGTTAGTTTTCGCGATGACAATTTCGCACAAAATTGCAACGCAATCGAATTGTGGCCCTTAAAATTTGATTGACTTTGAGCTGTTTCTTTTGGTTTAATGACTGATTGATCGATCGATCGATCGATCGATCGATTGATTGATTGATTTACTGATCAATTAACTTTGCTGGGTTCTGATTTTAGACTAGATGATAAGCAATAAAAAAAAAAAAAAAAAAAGAATGCCTTCTTAATTTCTGTTCCCGCTTCCCGCCCTCTCCCGCCCCCTGTTCTCCTGGGTTCCCGTCCCCCATCCCCCTCCTCTTAAGAGCTGTAACTACTAGTTGAATGATTGACTGATTCATCGTGAAGGTGCATCATCATTAGCGACCAAACGGATATCAGTGGATAGGATATTCCAACTGATAGACTAAATCGCATCAAACACAAGCAACGTACCTTTAAAATGTGTTGAAGAGAGGTAAAAATTGGCCCAGTCGTTTCACCTGATTAGAAAATCAAGATATGCAAAATTCAAAGAAGATCTTAAGGTAAACTTAAAAGTTTCTCATCTTGTTCCTCTGCCTTCCCCTGACCCTCCACTGTTCAAGTGTATCAAAAGAAGTATGAAAATTAGGTAAGCATTCAAAGAGAAACTTCAATTTATAACAGTAGTGTCATGTAACTACATGTACACTGTATGCCTTTTTATCTGAGACGTAAAACGGCGAAAAGGATAATTATGTGAATCTCCAAAGCATAACTCAATCATTATTGTTCATGGCTAGCTAAAAAGGAAGTGTGCTTGGGTATCAAGTGATGAAAATAAATCACTGAAGTTATTATAATGTGAGATTTGCCTATATAGCATAGACATGAATTTTTTAGATTACACGTACACTATGGGTCACCACTGGGATTTTGCTACGTTCAAAAACAGCCATTATTTCCTATCCCAGGAATGTCAATTAATTTTCCATGGTGTAATAAACGGCTGTGCCTGGAAGAGGGATGGCAATGAGAGGCCTTATTAAGGCAGTGGTTTACTGCCCTCAACTGGCTTTCACCCTTTACACCCTAACATCAGTAGACATATTTTCCAATCTGTTCTCAACACATTTCTTGAAGAGCTGACAAGGAGAATTTGTTTAATAATAAAGAACTACTATAGTTGGTGATCATTCCTTTTTTCTTGTGACCTTTCTGTGTAATTTGGGGGTGATATTGAAAGAAGAAATTAGATGTTAGTCACTCTTAGGGGTTTAAAGGGTTAATTGAAACACCTACCATCCTAGTAACACAGTTAAACAAATTCTTCTTTGTGTAATGTTACTTTTTTACCTTCTTGAATCTCAGTTTCCTTTTCTGTATCAGACGTTTCTGTGAAAATGAACCAAAAAAAACTTGGTGTTCAAGAGTAAAATTGTTTTTTACATATCATTTACCTATCATCTTTAACACTCATATTCACAAATGCAAAATGAAATGTACTGTATATCAATTTTTAATCGATAGAGGAAAGAAAGATGACCAGGATAAACATTAAGAAAAACAATTATTAGCTACAACTGTAGCTGCTGCAAGTGCAGCAATCAACTTTTAAGTGCAGGTAAATTGTAAAAGTAAACCTTCTAAACTATGTGGACTTACCTTGAAGATCATCATCCTCAAAATGAGCTTCAAGATCTGTCAGTAGTTCCTCCTAGGACAATATATATGTGTACATGTAACTGTGACAATTGAAATGATGAATAGACTACATGAAGATGTAGGTTGCGTGAAACAAACTCACTGATGTTAAGATGATAATTGCATGCTATTTAACCACTGTTCATTGCTTATACAGTAGTTGTATACAGCCAATGTAAAGGTACATACTCTTGGTGGTCCTTCTAGAAGCTTTTCAGTTATTCTGTTTCCACAGGCTTTTAACATCCATGAAAACCGTTGATGAAGAGTAGCAAACAAGTCCTTTTCATGAATCAAGAAACAAGGTACATGTAAGTGGAGAAATGAATAAATTTATAGAATGATTTAAAACATGAGTTTAGATTTTTGGATCAAGGGTGTCAAGCCAATGGCTCATTTTCAAACTTAGATAGAAAATAAAGTTGAGGTGTCATAGGATTTGTCAAAAATTAGGTCACTTATAAAAAGTTATAAAGTTATGCTGTAACACATGTAGTGGTGCTGGGCTACTTTTTTCAAGCCATGACCAACAGGTACATGTATCTCTCTAATACCCTCTGGATGGTTCCTGTTAATGAAAAGACTTTAAATCTTGCTCTCCAGAGGCAAATTGTCTCTGAATATTAACAGAATGATAAAGACTTTTCTGCACTTCAGAAAGAAGGAAAAGGAGGAATTTTCTAAAATTTTTGAAAAATACAGTCAAGTACAAAAGACATAATTTTTTGGTTCTTTAAAAAACCTTTGTGCATTTGATACCTTATCTCCTAATATGTCTGCAATCCCTCTGTAAGTTTTATTTCCACCTCGCTGTCTTCTGAAAATATCTATTTATCATAAAAAAGAGGAAAAATAAAAGTATTCCAAAAGAAATCTTTGCACTTCTTGTATGATAAATAAAACAAAGACTGGAACTAAATCTCTGGATATACTGTACATGCAGTTGTCATAAAAAGATAGTATTACCAGGAGCATGAAGGAATCCATTTGCACTAGGCTGAATGTGTTGTCCTTTCTGAACACTTTCTGCATGTTCTGTTTCATAAACTGCATTTGCCTAAAATTACATTTAGCATAAGAGAAGACTGGTTACTTAAAACTGAACAATGTCAAATAATTTTAAAAATCTATGTGGTTGATATATAGGAAAGAGGAAAGTTTGCTAGAGATTTACACAATATAATGGATATCCACACCCACTTTTAAAATGCACATTTCAAAGGATGGCTAAATGCATGAAAAATCCCATTATAATTGTGTTTCTTGGTTTGAGGCTCCATTACATACAGTAGTAAACCAGTCATTGGATTTGCAGATGATGTTGAAGCTTGAATGCTTTACCCTGGTGAAAATCTTTCAAGGATCTTTAAGGATCTTACAAGATCTTCATGAGGACCTTTGAGGATCCTCTTGAGGATCTTCATGAGGATCTTCAAAATTCTTGTTAAGATCTTCAAGGATCCTTCATTTTCTTGCCAAGATCTTCAAGGATCCTTCATTTTCTTGCCAAGATCTTCAAGGATCCTTCATTTTCTTGCCAAGATCTTCAAGGATCTTTGATTTTCTTGCCAAGATCTTCAAGGATCCTTCATTTTCTTGCCAAGATCTTCAAGGATCTTTGACTTTCTTGCCAGGATCTTTAAGGATCTTTCATTTTCCTGTCAAGATCCTTGAAGATCTTGTCTGGATCTTCAAAGATCTTTACATGAACTTTGAAGATCCTTTAAAGATCTTTGAAAATTCTTTGAGGATCTTCCAAATTCTTGGTAAGATCTTTCAGGATCTCTCATTTTCTTGCCAAGATCTTCAAGGATCTTGTTGAAAATTTTGAAGATCCTTAAAGATCTTGGAAAGAAAATAAAATAAAATAAAAGATCCTTAAAGATCTTGGCAAGAAATTGAAAGATCTTTGAAGATCCTGGCAAAAAAAAGAAAGATCCTTGAAGATTTTGACGGCCAAATTAAAGATCTTTGCAAGAAATTTGAAGATCCTTAAAGATCTTGACAAGAATGTCAGGAATCCTTGAAGATCCTGGCAAGGAAATGGAAGATCGTTGAAGATCTTAGCAAGAATGTTATAGAACCTTCGAACTTTTGACAAGAAAATAAGCATACTTAAATCCTCATACTAAGTTAAAAAGAAAAATTGAACCAAACATAAAAAAATGAAGATAAAACTTTTTTTATTGCTAAACAAGAATTACCCATCCTTTTCTAGTAGGACTACTTCTACACTATTTCTGTTCAGATTTTAGGTTAGTACTAAGATTTTCATTTTCCAAAAAATCTGGCAACAGTCCAGCTCAAAGGTAAAAAGACCAAAATATATGTGTTAAACTTGTCTAGGACTAGACTATGACCAGACTAAGACTACTCTTACAGAGGGGGTAAACATGAAAAAAAGGCAAACAAGAGTACTTCAATGACTATATTTCTGAACCATATTAACCTATAAACCAAAGGAAAGCTTAGGAATCACACATACTGAATATAACTAATATGTTGCCCTAAACTAATTTGTTATTTGACATCAGATCAATTTGTCCACCACATGGTGTGAAAAACCTAGGCATACTTGAGAAAAGATAACTGCACAAAGATTGCATGAAATCAAGTGTTTTTAGTGTCAAAACAAAGTACTAGGGTCGTTCTTTTGGATGAGCTAAGGAACTTTTGGAGTCGTTTATATTATGGGCACAGTGCCCGTTCAAAGTTCACCGAGATTATTAGGTGAGTTATTCCACAATATCTTACATAAAATTCAGCTTATGGAGAAACTGTCAGCTTATCCAACTCAACTCAGTAAGAGGATACAGCCCTGAAAACTTCAGATTAATTGAACTAATACATCCTGAGGTACAAAATAAGTGTTTTCGGGAATTCATATGACAACCTCTAAAAGAGCTTTTTAAGTTGTTACACAGAACCAAGTAAATTCACACCTTCTTCAGAAACATGTCCTTCAGTGAGCGTCGAGGAGAATCTCTCTAGATCGATAAGCCTTTATCCTTGTCCCTGTAACACATCATTTGCATCCTCACTCTCCAAGAGCTCAGAGCAAGAATCATTAGGCGAGGATGGCATCTTCATTTTCTTTCCAGAAGTACCAATGAATTCTTTTCATTAAGCCTCAGAGTCAGAGCAATCGCGAGACCTGCTTGGAGTTTGATTGACGATTGCGGTTATTTCTGTCTCTCTTTTCGCTTGTTTCTGAACTCCAGAAAACGCCTTTCCTTTACTTTTTATTTCTGTGTACATTTTCCCTTAGTTCCGACCATTGTCGATGATATTTGCCGTAACAACGAGCTTCTTATGTTTTTATGCGACCGTTAAAAATCTCGGCGCGTATAAATTCCTATCCCATAATGCAAAACCCTATTTACTGTCATGTAAGTTGTCACAAAGTTTCCCCTAAAGCCTCAAGCATGGCGTTGCTATGCGTTAACCTTCATTACACTTATTGCACAATAATTTTCTGCGAAAATTCCTTGTTGTGTTTAAATTATCCATATCAGATTAAAAAAGGATCCTTGCAAAGAGCTGTACAAAATCATGAAATGAATCTTTTAAAGATATTTGGAAGATCCTTTTCAATTCCTTGAGGATCTTGAAGGATTGTAGAACAGATTGTGCAAAGATCTTGACTAGAATTCTTAAGGATCTTAGCAAAGATCTTAGCAGGATCCCTGACAGGTTCTTTTGAAGGTCTTTAAAAGATCCTCATTAAATCCTTGAGGATCCTGAAGGATCCTTGAAAAGATCCTGCAAAGATCTTGACTTAAGGATCCTTTAAGATCCTGATCAAATTCCTAAGGATCCTGGCAAAGATCTTTACAGGATCCTTGAAAGGATCTTTTGTAGGTCTTTAAAAGATCCTCATTAAATCCTTGAGGATCTTGAAGGATCCTTGAAAAGATCTTGCAAAGATCTTGAGTAGGATCCTTGTAAGATCCTGATCAAATCCTTAAGGATCCTTGCAAAGATCTTAATAGGATCCTTGAAAGGATCTTTGGAAGGTCTTTAAAAGATCCTCATTAAATCCTTGAGGATCTTGAAAGATCCTCAAAAAGATCCTGCGAAGATCTTGACTAGGATCCTTGCAAGATCCTGATTAAATCCTTAAGGATCCTTACAAAGATCTTGAAAGGATCCTTGAAAGGATCTTTTGAGGGTCTTTGAAAGATCCTTGATAAATCCTTGAGGATCTTGAAGGATCCTTGAAAAGAACTTTGCGAGGATCCTTATGAGGATCTTTGTAATATCCTTTGAGGATCTTTATCAAATCCTTGAGGATCTTAACAAATGTTTTTGCTTACAAAGATCTTTGAGGATCTTTTACAGATCCTTTAAAGATCTTTTAAAGATCCTTGTCCTTAAGGATCTTTGGCAGGTCTTTGTCAATCCTTGAAGATCCTCAAAGATCCTGTGAGGTTTTTCACCAGGGTAGTTTGAGTTCAGCTTCTAGCAGTACAAGTGAGGAAAATCTCTGCACTTAAACAGGTATTCAAAATAACTAGAGCATACCTTAGCCTGCAGTTCATCTATCAGTTCCCTGAAATTGCTGGAAACAAGAAAAAAACACAAATTTGTAAAACATTTTCTTAGTGAAACATCAAATAATTATTCTCAAAAATCAGATATATTGTATATGAAATCAATCAACATTGAAATTTTAAATGGAAGTGTCAAGGAAAAACTCACAACTTACACTGTAGAATAACAGTGACTATGAAAATTACAATGAGAGTGAGATTGACAGTGACAGAGTCAATAACAGTCACAGTGACTGTTATAGTGGCATTAACATTGTCATAAACAGCGAAATTTACAGTGAGGTCTCTGTAAAGGTACTGATGATCAATCAGTCAAAAGGGGTTTTTAGACTACTGCTGATACATGTATTAAAGTGAAGTAATAAGCAGCTGCCATAAATCAAGAGAGTCTTCAATACTATTTCTCTTATTGTATCATACAATTGGAGAAAATAGCTACTGTGTAAATTTAGGTGAACACTGTTGCAGAAAAATTAGGTAATTTAGTATTATCAACTGAGTTGATGATACTAAATTTATTCAGTTGATAATGAAAATTGGCCACTGTAAAGAGTTACAAAGCTGATGTTTCACGCGTTAGCCCTTTGTCAGAGCATAATTGTTGCAGAGAAGTTGTGTTCATTTTTGCTGTTAGCATGTCATTCATGTCTTTGCACATACAGTTTACATGACTTTCCACTTTTGTTTCTAATACTTGTAACAGACACTTCAATGCAAGGGTGGGACTATTCAGTCAGCAAATGCTGCGATAGGAGAGACAACTCCTAAGGTGTTCTCCACTGCCAGCATTTGATGGGAAGACATCCTACTTGCAAACTTGCAGTACCTCACAAGGAATGGCCATGAATTCACCAAATAAATGCGATCCTTCATAACTGCAATTATGCTATACCTTGGGAGAAACATAGAAATATGTGAGTAAGGAGTGTGCCTATATGTACAATTAAAAGATCATTTTGAAACCTCTTGGTAACCTAACTACCCAAATGATAATCTTTATGTCCTGAAGGAGCTTCAAGCATTCTTTCTAAAATGTTGTCACAGCAAGGAAAGGTACCACAATGCTGGTAGCACAGAGAGAAATTGACTTATCACAAGTATGGTGAATATCACAACTGCAAATAACTGTTCGACTGTGTAAAATACCTACAATGGGACATTCATTTTTCATTGGAAAAAGAGGCAAGGGATCTTGACCATTATAGGAATGCTCCCCTCATAGGCAACTGCTCTAAGGATAAAAATCATAATGTCCCTACCTCTTTGGTGAGGGCCTTTCCCATTAACAGGAAACCTCATAAAATGGAATTCACCTCTTAAAAAGGAACCCTTTTTGATCTTTGTGATCAGGAATTAGGGGAACTTCAGTAAAAGAGTTATAGAAAAGAATAAGGAAAACAGCAATTATTATTATTTTTTGGAATGTTTCAAAAAGGGTCTAAAGTTTTGTCAGTATATGATGAATGAACAGCTTTACATTTTAATGGTACGAGGGTTAACTACAGAAATCTTTCTTAATGATGTTCCATGGATGTGGTGTTTCATTGTAGGTGTATAATTATATAAAAATGGCATCATAATGAACCATCCCCACCCCTTCCCCCACACATCTTTTGGCATTGTAATAACTATTCTAAGCCGTGACATGTGCACTGTTTCTTGCTGTTTGACATACCATCTTTGGAATCCTCTTGACTGAGAATCCTTCAGAAAGAAGGTGTGAGTGAAAACATATCCTGATGTCTCCTCTCCAAAAAACATTGGACCCTCGCGACCTGGACACACCTCGCAGCTCAAACTAGAAAAAGAAATGTTTAAGTGAAAGGTGTAGAGGATTAGAGGATAAAGAGGAGGGTAAGATTTAGGGCTTTTTGGATCAACTCCCACTCTGAGAATTTCACATTCCACATTTACAAGTGCTATTAATAATGATTGTACCTTTGCACTGTTTATTTGCATCCTAAGAGGGGTACAGGTACTGCTGCCTCAGAGTCTGAGCCATGAGGAGCAGGGTGCTACCTAACTTTAACATTGGTGAAGGAAGGAAAGTGAGTGAAGGTATTGTATAAAGCAATACAAAAACATGTGTGTCAGCTTTACTAGATGAAACATTAAAAAAAATTCACTTTTCAACAGGGAATATAATGGCTGAGCTTGATGAATAACAACTTGACCCTTCACACCCTTAGAGAGCTAAGTATCTAATTTCACCCAACAGTTTCAGTCCTAAATGACTGTGAATATATGAAAATCATATACTGCTCAAGTAGTGTTCATTACTATGAAGATTGCTTTCACATTCAAGTTTCAGCCCTGAATCACTATTGAGGTCACGAGCATAAAGGAAATGCTTGCAGTCTTAAGAAGCTCTTGATTTCTTAACAAATTCTTCCTGTAGGTAACAATGGAAACGTAATAGGGAACAGTATGGAGAACATACATACCGATGTTAGGGTTTAACAGGCTAATGACAAATAATGCTGAAATATTATGGAAACCTGGGCATAATTATAGTACTGTGTTTCATTCTCTCAAGCAAGGACTTGCCATTTTTTCACTGTGGCATTCAATAAAGAATACAGGATAGACTAATAATAAGAGGATGCTTTACCTTTCATTAAAGCTATTGCCAAGCCAGTTCTTACCTTCTAACACAAGCCTGTCTTACTACACTGTATAACTCTGGCTGCTCTGGTGACCTGTTGCTGTAGTAACTGATATGTGCTTCATGATCTATACTGATGTATCCTGCATGGGTGTGATCCAGAGACCTGCAAGCCTAAAAAATGGTTAGACAAAGGTAACGAGTTAGGTATACATCAGATACGGAAATCTTGGGGTTGTAAATAGGCCTCTTGTAATCACTTCATGACAAAGCAGTCAGTTACAGAAGTTTACAATCAATTGGTCGGTCAGTCCATCAACAAGCCCACGAGTGAGTCAGCCAGTAAGTCATCCCTTCAGACCATCAGTGAGATATTCAGTTTATAGAAAGTTGATAAGGCAGTTAATCAAGTCATCAGAGCCTGTTTGCAATTTGTCAGATAAGTGCTGTGTCAGTTGGTTAGTTCAAAAGTCTGTCAAAGGGTACCTCTATTACATGTAGACTACAGCAGTAACATCAGAATAACAATAGGCAATTATCGGATGAGGTTGAACATGATGACAAGAATTATCAATTTATAACCCAGGTCTGAGTTATCTGCTAGGCCAAAAGCTTACACGGACATGAGGTTTGATAATTCACTTAAACGTAATTCATAAAAACTGAATTCAACAATTGTTTTATCATACATTTTTTGAAACAATCTGCAACAAAAACTTGGCCTATATTCAGCCATTGTGACATTATTCTTGGTCAATAACACACATATGTTGGCCTAAAGATAATTTTATTATGATATCCACAAGCTTATCTGTTTATGATGTCAATGTTGTTTTACCTCACATTGGCTTGATCTGGATGACGCCCAGACATCACGTGATCCTTGTGTACTTGATCCTGGAGTATCTGACCCAAACCGTGTAAAATTCCTGAGGAAAAGAAAATGCAACTAATCAAATATTTATCACAGCATCCATATGGTAAAACAGGTTGTTTCAGTGGAAAGGCACATTACCAATTGAGAATTACTGTTTTTCCCATAAAATATACAAATCTAATCAGCATTTTGACTGTTTACTGCTACTAATCTTTCATGTCACCCTTGAGAGCATGATGTGCCATTGTAACTGGTTGGTTTTCAAAAACTTTTCTCAGTCTGATCCCAAATGCATTTGTGTGTTTGTCAATACAAATACCACAAATCTGTGATAATTAAGCAGCACATATGTACAAAAAAATTTACCAACAAATTTCAAAACAACGAATTCCAAACACACACACTCACACATGCACACAAAAAGTGTCATTCATGCAATTACCGTTTGTTGCAAGCTCCACATTCTAGAACAGAGGTATTGGTTCCCTTTAAGGGGTCATGAGCTTCACAATGAAATGCCTATAACCAGAGAAAAAAAAAGAGAGAGAATTTTCCTATCAACACTTGCATTTCAGTAAGCAGGCCCACATTCAAACTAGCTTGAAGCTGAACTAAGCCAGCCTGCATAAATATTGCAAATGAATAAATATATAAGTTATTTGTTTAGATGGTGTCTTTGTTTAATTTTTTCTCAGGACTATCAAGTAGCTGACTTTATGATACTCATCTGTGTTTACAATCGTCAGTGAAGTGTCTTCTGTGTGATCAACTGAGGTGTTTCCATTTACAAGTACATGAACATAACATTTCGATCCCTGTTATGAGCAAAATTAGTTTGGTAACTCAACTCACGCATACATTGAACATAGGAGCAAGTCGCTGGTAAACTTTTCTGTGCTTGTTCATCAGCAAAGCAAAGCCAACTACAGAAAAAAAATCTCCAGTCTCCAGCTCTGTATAAGTTACTTTAAAAATGTAGATATGACTTTGTTTTCGGAAAAATAGACAGGTTATGTCACTTCCGGGAGTGAAATGGTTAAGAACTCTTTACAAACAGTAAAATAAACGTGCAGGTATCATTTAGCGACAGCATTATACTATACCGAAAAATGTACAGGCATAGCTGAATAAATCTTTTGAATCTTTATACGTATGTGGACTGCTATGTAGCAGACAAATTCCAAAGTTGGTTTCAAGGATTACCTGAGTACAGAACAAGACGCTTGGTCCATGAAATTCGCAAAAGTGACACAGGGCGATGATAGCGTTCATTGTGTGAATAAATGACCAAAAACCAACCGAAAACAAACTGTGGAAGGACTGGACAAATATCTTCACGACATCTTTCGCTTAAAGTTCAATTCACTGTTTGTGTGAGATGACGTTGATATTTGCAAAAAAAAGTTATGAAAGCTGCAGCTTCCTTTCTGTCGTAAGAGCGTTCCTTAGGTAATAATAATCCGACGTTGGATGTAATGTTTAAGAACTAAAAGTTTTCCGTGGAAAGACTGTATTTTTGCGCTGAATCACTCTGCCATGACTGTCACATGATAAACAAAAAATAGTAGGTACAGTGTCCAAGCCTTCTATTTGGGCTTGTAAAGACTCATGAAGACTAAGTCCTAGTCGCGATGAGAGTCACGCGCGTCACGCGCATTGTTTCAGTCACACAAAGGTCAAGCGAAGGAACTGAGGTACTATTAATCTTTCCTTTAGTATGTTGCGGGTAGTAATGTAGTTAATTGGTACGATTTTCCTTATGTGGTTTTCAGTGTTTTCTATCGACAAGACCAAGGTAATAAGATGCCCCGTAAAAAATTACCACTTGAAGCTGGTCATATAGGCAAGGGAGATCAAAACAGAAACTACGAAACAAATTTCGAATAGTAGGATTTCAGCAAAAGAGAAAGCTTTGAGTAGAAGCTTTGTTTGAATTAGAAATTATCTAATAAAGTCTACGGCGTCATTTTCGTTCGGCGCTTTCCCGGCGCAAGGAAAAAAGAAACAAAAAACAAAACACACACACACACACACACACACAAAGAAAAAAAAATTAAAAAAGAAAGATAACGCAAACATGACAAATTCTTCAAGCAGAAATACTACAAGAATAAATAGCGGTGACTCACTTAGAAAATGCAACTTTTATTTACCAAACAGCTAAAAGCACTTATTTTAGTTTGTTACCTTTGCTAGTTCAATGCAAGTTATTTTGAGAGAAAAATATTGGCACCTACTACATTCAGTAATCGTTCACATTCATGATCTCAACAGAATTCCAAAAATAACTCATATGCAGACTTCAACAGGTGCGAGAGTCATGGTTGAATCTAGATAGATTAGTGCCTTCAGGTCTGCTCGGCTGAAGTTAAACAAAAAAAAAAAAAAACTGTTACATTATTCTTACAAAATAATCACAAGTAAGCAATTGCAAAGAGAACGCGCTCTGAATAAAACGCACGCTCTGAGTTTAAAGCCAAGCTGAGATGTTTTTAATTTAGAACGTGTTCTTTGAGCCTGCTGTCACTGTCAAAATATCTAATCCTCTTCTACAATTACATTGTTTATAATTTCATCGATATTAAAAAAGGGTGGCTTGTCCATAAAACTGTGGAAGATTACAGTAGCTCACGATAATCTAAATCTTTGCATTTTTTATTCATTTTCTGAATGAACTCTTGGCTCCACGTTTGCACAACCGCCGGCTTAGTGACAGATATGTCAACTTTTGCACTGTTGCCTTTTGGTTCAACCACGACATCTCCCATCAGAAGGAAAGTTTCTTGGTCGGGTAGCAAAGGGCATGGGCAGTCTGGTGACTCACTGTAAGGAACATTCACGACAACACTTCCCAATGTAGGAAATCCCTCAGATTTCCTGAGCACGTTCTTTATCACGACCAGATAACGAGCTTGTTTCTTGACTGGATCATGTCGCAATTTCCTTTCGACTTCGCCTACAAAAGCTGAGAGTGAAGACAATCGTTTAAAGAAAAGTTTAGACATATAAGAAAGGAAACAACACAAGACACCAAATTTTAGCACAAGGTCGACCCTCATTATCTATTCGAACTATGATCGCTATCCGTGATCTCTGGATAATAAATGTACTATACATGCGTTTCTCACCGCATTTAAGCAAACTCAATCCTTCCAGTCATGTTATAATACCAAACACCCAGTTACACACATCAGGAGACTGGTAACGAGGTAAGTTTATTATTGTGAGTTTTGACCAACCTACGTTTCGCAGCGTAGCCCAGATAGAAGGACAAAACTGACTGAGAGCACTACATCTAGCGATCGGGATGCTAGTTCATATATTTTGCTATTACGGGCTAAAGAGCTCCACGGTAGAGGGTTCGGTGGAACGTTTGTGAAAACGAAACTGGCTGCTTGGAACCTTTTCGGTAACCAAATACAGGGAAAAAGCAATATTCTCTTTTTATCACTACCATCGTCACAACTATTATTTTTAATTCACTTTTATCACTCTTTATTTCCATGGAGAACGTGCGTCGACAACAGGCCAACTCACCGATACTGCTGGATTTGCATGCCTCACGAAGTTTCCTTTGAGTGCATCTTGGACAGGCTTTGTTTCCTTGTTCTAAGAAAAACCATGTAATTTCACAATGTTCAGTAACACAAAGTGTAAAATACCGTCAACGTCAGCTTTAAAAGCTGCGATTAAGAGCACAAACTAGAGCGACTCGTAAATATATTGCACAGCTGAGAGACAATCAGAAAGCAAGGATCATTAGTGATTTTATATTAAATGTAATATGGAGAAATAAAATTTTTTTTTCTGAAATACAATGTATCTACTCCTCCCTCGTCCCTGCTCTTTTTTATTCATTTATTTATTTATTTTGCTCTCTTTCATCCAATGCCTAAGCGTGACTCCCGTTCAGCACACTCTTCTCCCGTTTATGAAGATTACTACGTAGACCATCACTCGCAATCTGATCGATTCAAGAGGAACTAGAAGATTCCCAGAGAATTCTTCTTAATCTCTAAACTTCGAAAAACCGCAAAAAACAAGGGACGAACAATAAAGCGGCAGGAACACCTTACCAGTAATCACAGGAGGGCAGCGTTTATTGCATTTTTCTTTGCTGTCAAAGTTATTTTCATTTCCAAAACAGCCTCCATAGTTGAATCGTTTACAACGACCAGCTTTGGGGCTAAATGCCCATCGATGTATGGTGTTGCTACACGGTCCCGGCTCAGTAGGCTGGCTACATACGTCCACTAAAAGCATTGCATAAATCAAATTTATAGTAACTTATAGCGATTTTATAGCAATGGTATTGAAAAAAGATCCAGCAATGTATTTTTTAGCGTATTTTTCTCGAGAGTCAAACCATAACAACTAAATAAGAAATAAGAGGCCAGACATTCTTTATCATCGGTCTGGGGGATTTGGGGGATTACATGGTTTTCACTGGGGGACGGAGTGGAGGTCAGTCTTCGCCAACCGCGTATAAAGAGTGGACTTTAGAAAATTGCGAATGAAGGGGGGGGATCATAAGCAAATTACAGAACCTTAGCGGGGACTAGGTTAATTTTATCGTTAATTTTACTATCAAAATCCTTCAACCCCCCCCCCCCCCCCCCCCCCCCCCCCAAACATAAATAATAACCGGTCCATTAACCCAAATATCGAAAATCTTTAATTGCTCCACCTACCAGAACAAGTGCGATTGCAATCTTCCATGGTAGGGAAACCATTCCATCCACTTGGGTGACAACCACCAGCAACGATTGGCTGACACGTATTAGTTGTCACGTTGAAATAAAAATTTCTGAAGTAAGCTCTGCATTTGCTTGCAGGGTTTATCTGACAAATTCCACCTGTTAATTGAATATAAGTTATTTTAGAAGTGGAATGAACACGACAGATTAGTGATCTGTCGATATCTTTTTCATTGTTACACTGACTTTATACTCAGGCTTTAGAGATAAAATGTCCAATACATTCCAGTTCATTAATCCTTTAACTCCCGTAAGTGACCAAGACAGAATTTCTCCTTACTATATCTATACAATATCATAAAGACAAGTGATGAGAATAAAGAAAATATCAATCATGGGATTACTAATTGATCCGATACCAAATTCTCCAAACTAACATAAGAGAATCATTTGGCATACAGTAAAGAGACTTACTAATGAGATCTTGGGAGTTAAAGGGTTAACATGATGATTCTCATGTTATCTATTATCACTTGTTTTTGCCGCAACCATTCTCAAAAGTCATGTAACGTACTACTGCCTTTCTGCATATGTTACATGATTTTTTTTCTAAAAAAAACAAAAACACACAAACAAACAAACAAAATCGCACCAGTAATCGGGTTTTTATTTGGCTGGTATTAGCTTTAGCAACTGATAGGCGATTAAGCATTAGAAACCTTGAAAGAACAAGACGAAAGAAGACATACCAGGAGAACATGACTTATCTGCTACCTTCTCCACCTTCTTTCCTTCTCGACAAGCAGTCGCCTTCATGATGCAGTAATTGTTGTAGGTTTTCGCATCCGAACCACAGATGGGTTGTAAATCGGCAGGGCAGTCCACGTTGTCACGACAGACGCATCTGACCCCTTGGGCACTGTTATAGACACACTTCTCTTCAAGTTTACAAACCACGCCCTCGCAACGATCTGTAAAATTTATAATTTCCATATCTAAGTAATCGTTCGCACAACGATCCTTCTCATTGACCAAACAACTTCAAATTTTCTTACAAATGTAAGAGATGCGTAATAGTCGATCATATTTAGAGTCAAAAGCAAATAAATTCTATAGCAATAATTAAAACAGGCAGTGGAACATTTCGAGAGAGGTGAGAGAGTGTGCGTAGATATGGAGAAGAAAGAGGGGGGGGGGTGGGAGGGAATATGGCTCGTTGTACACCAATGCAAACGTGTTCCCCTTGTCAAATTTCCCGAGTAACGTAGGAGGGGGGAGCGAAATTCCCTTTAAAGGGAGGCCTCTGATTTAAATAATGCACGAAGTCGTAAGTAATAGAAGTCACCCGTTGACCTTGCAGCGATCACTGAGAATTGCGATGGCACTACTCCACCCCTCCCCCCCTCCCTCACAAAGATAGGCCTAGAAGTTCTAATAGCTAACAGTAAGAGATCCATCGGAAATCGAACTATTTAAAATCTGGTTAGAAATTGAAAGTAAAAGTCTTTACTGATTTTCACCACAGACTAGAAGCAAAGAAGGCGCACTGCTTTGTCGTACCTTTACACAAAGGTGTATGGTCAGACCATTGACCATCCGGGCGACATGTCAGCTTCGATTCTCCGTCAAGCTCATATCCCTCGTCACAGGAAAAGGTCACAGTGCTTCCAATAGAAAAGTCATCACCAATTCGTTTGCCATTTTTTGGAGGAAAGACATCGAGGTCCCAGCACGAAGTAACTATTAGCAAATTCATTTTTATTTTATGCATCTTGGAAAACAGTATCTTGACGTGCACGTTTAAATTCAGACTAGCTGAAGTAAAATACATCATTACAGGGTGGGCCTGTGTCTTAACGAGCAAACTGACTCTATTTGTGCCAGGGTCTTTGTTTGATACCTTATGTTTACTGGGTCTAATCTTTATTAGCTCACTAAAAAAATACAGACAGTAACTGATGATATTAATAAATACAAAAGTCTTAGATACTCTTAGACTGCTCATAACAAAGGCTGATTGAGGCGTTGGAGATCATTTATTAATTAAGATAAAATGTTAAAGACTCTATTAACTACCACCTCTATCAAGTCTTCTTGCTTCTGTCTTTGAATAATCACCATTCTGGTGTTGATGGCGTCATGATGCCACTGAGACGTCGAGCTTTTTCTAAAAGTTTGTCTGCAATATTTGCATTTCTTTCATTTGCCAACGCGAATCTCTCTTTATCATTTACACTGCCGTCATGGCGATTTTCGTTTCTGTCCTTCAAAACTATGCCTATTTCAAAGTATCTCTTACACTTACTTTCGCAAGTCGGTTGTTCTCCAGACCATCTTCCATTTGGTTGACAAGTTCTCTTACTTGATCCGATCAGACGGGTATTTATTTCACAACCAAATTCCACTTCGGTCCTTACAATAAACTCCTCCAAGTTGTCCGTTCTAAAGCCTTTATTTGGCTTTCCAGGGTCTGAACATGTTGCTGTAATGGTATAAATCAAAGGGCGATTTCAGAAAACTGGCCTAAATTAGGTGCAAATTTTCATCTTTTGTCAAGAGTAATAAATATAAGATTTATACGTAGTCTTTGATAATCGTGCTGCCAAGAGTTAAGTTCCACTCCTTGGAGCGTTAAGTTCGCGCTCTTTGGGATATAACTTAGTGGCTAAGTTATATATTCCAAGGAGCGCGAGCACATTTCTAGAAAAGCAGCTGTTAGTTGAGCCTAGTCCAAAGTTTTTAAGGGCTTCATTTTTGGCTCAGGCCAATAAATTAAGACGCTGGTTAATGGGACAAGTACAGTTAAAAGCCATAGGAAAGTTTCTTCGTAAGATGCAGTCTAGTTCTTGGACAAAACAGAAAGAGCATGTCCTCATTTGGATGTCACTTTGTAAGACTTTTAAAGGAAAAAGTTTCTCGACCGTCAGGTTTTTACAAGAAAGTATTGGCTAGTTATATAAGAAAGAAGAGGACGTTGAGCTGGGCAGATTGACCGCATGATCCAGGCAGATTTTGTTGAAGGTGGCTAATAAAAATTTCCTCAACACTTCAATAGGCTTCTTAGCTTAAATAAAGGTACCATGACTGACTTACCACAGAATGTCGGGGGAAACAAGTTACGGATATGCTCTAATGTCACAGTCTGCTTAGTCCGCTGTTTGTCCTCAAATGTTAGCGAATACTTGTCACCATTGATCGCGTCAACCTTGGCAAAGATGTACGTTCCTCTTTGCATTGCAATCACACGCGTTCCCAAGAAGATGTTCTTCGGAGATGGGAGTTTGTCCTCTACTATAATGTAATGTTGTGTTCCAGGTCCAAATATCGCAACGTCTCTTTGTTCTTTGGATGAGTCAATCAGAACTGTCACAATATTTTTGCTTTTTTGCTGAATTATTCCATGGATGAAACGTTGGCCATTCCTGACAAAGACTGGGGTGTTAACACCTGCACATTCTATAAAATAAACAAATAGATAAATAGATAGATGTAAATCTGAGAAAATAACACACTCGAGTATTAAAATTCGCCTGTCCCTCTGGACAACGTGCTTATGAGGTTAATGAACTTTAAGAAGGTGAAGCTGAGGTAAAACTAGAAGCGCAGGGTTTCAAAACAAGCCGCGACCTAATGGCCCTTAATAAACTTTTCACAAAATATTTTGAAACCCCTGGAAGCAGCTTTAAAAAACAAAGTAAGAAAAAATGAAAAGAAGATTGATTGACAATGGACATAGGAGTGTAAAAATGATAAAATGAAAGTGTAAGTTATAGTAAGGAAGAGAAACCGAAATAAGCACTAAAACAGTGCAATGATTGTCGGGAAAGAAACTGATCATCATGAAACATGATAAAGCGAAATAAAAGATGTACTACCATGATATCATTAATCAAAGGTACAGAGATGTTTACTTATTTACCAACACAAAACGGTTGCACCCCAGTCCACTCCCCTTCACCAACACAAGAGCGCCTGTCAGATCCATACAAAATGTATCCATCGTTACATTTATAGAAGATCATTGACAGGTAAGAGAATGGAGGGCCGGTTGAATTTGTTGAACCGTGTTGAGGTGTACCGGGATCAGCACACGTTACCACTAAACAGGAAATAATAATGACAGTAATAAAAATAATTATAGTAATAATATTAGTAATAAAAACAATGGCCTCAATTGATAGCTACCTAATGGGTCTTCTCCTCTCAAGAAAAAAAAAATGAAAAAAAGAAAAAATTGTAAATAAACCTAGTGTTAAAAAAATAACAACTAGCAGGAGGTGGACCAGTTGGTTCTCTAGAAGGTGCAGCCAGGTAGTTGCACTTAAGGCAAACGAGAACAATCCAGTGAGTAGCAAGGTGTGATGCTTGAACTCGCGACAACCAGTTCAGCAACCCGTGATCAATCGGTTACACTGCCACTCCCTAAAAAACTTCGACCTGCCGAAGTACTTCAGTTTGTAAACTATTGCAGAATGTGAAATTACATGGTTTGACATTTTTGACAGCTTTAGTCTTATACAGCCAATCAGATTATTTGAACTATTCTAACTGGGATTCTGATTGGCTTATTGTAGCGTGCTTTATGAGAATATAGGGCGTGCTGCCGACACTGTTGTTCTCTTTTGGACTTTGTTTTCAAGTCGACTACGTCTCGTGTTTCTCCCTATTCTTCTTTCGTGCTCTAGCACGCTTCTTGTGTGCTTTGCAACAGAGCACAGTCAACGCTTCTCTATTTGTTAAGTAATTGGTATATTTGAAAGCTACTCATTCACTTTACTCCGTGCTTCATTCATGTATAGAGAAAAAAAGGTACAAAACGAAAGTCAACTAAGAAACTCACCTTTACAAACAGGTGTCTCACCGACCCACTTTCCATCTTCCCCACATGTCAAAGTATCTTGTCCTTTCAATTTATACCCTTCATTACAAGTGTAATACACGTGTGCTCCAAAAACAAACCCACCGCCGAACATCACTGCGTCAGGCACTTTTGGAGGCTCCTCGCAGGGTACAGCTAAAAAATATATCAATCAAATAAATTTTTCGTCATAGCGATGGCTCATTCTATCGCGATACTGATCCATCTATTTGACTTTTAGTATATTGCATTGACGAGGAAAAACAAGCATTCATTATATCGGGGTAGATGTCTACGCTTTAAGGCATTCTTAATGAAGGGATTCCAAAGTAACCCGGACCTAACGCACCCAGGTACGTATAAAAAGGTACTAGATGACGGGAAACTAAGTCAGCGGAATGAGGGTTTGTTTATTTAAGTTGGATTCTGTTACATCAAGAGGAAAGATGGTACGTTATTCTCTCTTAGTTGCATCCATATTACTATCGTGGGTGAAATCGTGAATTCTGTTCGTTACACAGGAGACTTCATTGACACGGGGTCATGATGATTCGTTTTAATCGTATACTACATTTTTAAAATACAAGAGAACATCTTGCTGCATAATGTAATCTTACGTTTGCAAATTGGCTGCGTGCCACTCCAGGTTTGGTTCGCAAGACATGTTCTTGCGTTGGGGCCTTCCAGTTTAAAACCGCGATGGCAGTCGAAAGTGACACTGTTATTGTACTGAAATAACCAGCCCTTGCGTTTTCCATTCAAGGGAGATCCAGGGTCTCCACAACTTACAGCTGAAAAGAGATAGGATACGATAACTACATCAAGTTAAAATAAATAGAATTAGAAAATGAAAATCATCGTCAACGTTACTGAAAAAATAGAACATGAGTCACGACTGTATATCATTTAATTAAGGGAAATAACGTAACAACATCAGCAAATTAAAATATGGAACAATAATTTTAAAACAGAAATCTTGAGAACAAAACAATCAGTTCCAAGAAATAGACGTGTTTCATAAATTGTTACAGTCCCACCTGTCTTAAACAGTCAGTTGTCAAAGTCCCGAATTTCTTCCCCTTAATCACTATAATGTTCACCTCTATTAAGTGGTCGGTCCTTTATTTTATCCCAGCGGCCTGTTTTTATGGTCCTCTACTTGTATTGAACGGTCTCTAGAAACGGGACCACCCAAATGAAACTAAGAATAATCTTTAAAGTACTTTTTGATACATTTTTCCTCCCAAGTGGCGTTGTTTATCGTTTTTCTAGTACCCTAAACTGTTGAAACTGTATTAGGCTGTCACCCCGCCATTCTCGCATTCCCGGTGGGTGAGTGCTTATTACAGGTTCGACTATATATGGAGAATCATAACCATGATGAAATTATTTGACATCTAATCTGTACTGACCAACACAGGACACATTATGTTTAGTCCATTGTCCATTTGACTGACATCTGATTCTATGAGGATTTCCAAGTCGATAGAAGCCCTCTTTACACAAGAATTTGACGACGGAACCAGCCGTGTTATTGCCAATTGCATCAGCATTTTCCGGAGCTTCTGGAGGTGGGCATGTCTTACCTATTATCGAAACAAAAAATAAAGATCATCATTTGGTTCCGAGTAATAAAAGCCGTAAATTTCTTAAACGACCCAAAAATATCGAGTCAGAAGGAAATTTGCGCCGTTGAATACCAATTTTGTAAAAAGGATACCAGTTGTGGTCAATTAAACAAATGGCATTAAGGGTACATACTCAATTTTATCCTCACAAACGTGTCTTCGTAACTGATTACTCATCGCTCACGTGTAATCGCGTTAACCACGCGCGAACGCGGGAGCGAGCGCGGAAACAGCGATTGCGTTACACGATCTGTTTCACTTCCTGCGCTATCCTTGTTACCCTGAGCACCCCACTGAGATTGGAAAAAATCTAACATACCACTGCTTAGGCTATTTTGATATCGTGGAGCTCTCCTCTGGAGAAATAATATGTCATCTCACCCCACGAGTGAAGAGTTGCCTTGGTTGCGGCACCCAACATCACATGGTATCTATATTGCTTCATCGCAAGGATTTTCGTGGAAAAAGAGGAAGGTAAACTTATCCCGAAAGAAAATATTTGACAGGTCCGGTTACGTTCTACACCTAGTTCACTGATGCATAGAATTAAATAAATACATAACGTAATCAAAATTTCAAAACGAAAATCTCAATGCCGGTCATCTTTCGTCTTACTCTTTTTTCTATTTTTTTTATCTACGATGACGAGTGTTGCTAAACACATTCAACTTGAAGCAGAGATAATCAGTTTTGCCGCCACAACACATAATGACTCACCTAATATATTGTCTTCGCCTCTTGCCAGTTGGAGCAGGAAGAGACCGAAAATAAAGCTCTGAACGCAACGCATGGTTATCACCGTACACTGTGGTTATGAGAACGAAATGTAATTTGAAAGTATTGCTTCTGCGTTTCAGACACAAAGGAATTAAATAGGGAACACGCACGAACGTGCCAAAAGATTTTTCCTTTCAGCGCACCTATTTGGTCAAGCTGTCAACGGTAACGTTATCTTTGATTCCTTAAATTTGAGCGCTGTTATTTCTCAGGGTGTTAAGGGCAGGAAATGAGAAGCTATCTGTCAGCAAACTATTATTTTAGTGCGGAATTTTCTCTACGTGAGCCAAATCACTGAGGCTGAAACTGTGCTGTCATTTTCATCCCATTAAAAGGCCTGTGTATTTGGAAGTCATCCAACCCCTGCTGTTTATCTTTTTATCAGAATTGGGCAATATGGTGTTTCAATCAGACCTATTGAGCCGCAGCACCGTCATACTTAATTTAACACTCAACTGTGTATATTTTCAACCTCTCCTTATTTCCTTTATCATAGATAGTTTACCGTCTCATGTTAAGCAGCAGAAAACCATACCAGATTTAACAATTTTCATTGAAAGCGACAAGGAAATGACGGCTCAACAAAGCGAAGAAAATATGTTTTTTTCCACGGGAAGAAAATAACTTCCCTGACCTTTTCCTGCGACTTCCCAAAATCCGACCTCAACATCCGCTGAAACTGAAGCAGCTCAAATTGCTAGCACGTTCTGAGTGTGCGTGCGGGCTGTTTTCTCTGGCAACCGATAATTCGTGTTTAGGCAGCGCTCAGAAGATAAAAATACACCGAAAGAATTAACTAAACAATCTTAACACGTTAGTGTATAGCGGAAACAGAAATCGTTTCATCGTCCGTGAAACTTATCTAGAGTTAGATCTACAAACAGAGCAAGATGCAGTTTTTTCGATATCAGGTAAGACGTCAATTTACTGTACATTGTAACGCAACTGAAGCTGAAAGGACTAAGTTGGAAAATTTACGTGCTAGATTGACCAATATGGTGATTGATCTTGACGGGGTATTTTGATCATTGTATGATTAAATATTTTTTTTCTAAGAGGCCAGATACGTGAAAAGTATGTGAACAGGTCTTGCAACTATATCTTAAAATTCAATGATGTGGAGCGAGTGGTGTCACCGCACAGAATAACAAAGGACGTAACGTATTTATTTAAAAGATTCAAATCCGTCTAGTCCTTTTCAAGATGGGAACGTTATAGGTCAACAAATAGCATGCAGTACAAATCAATAAAAATCGATGATAATGATACTCTATGCCAATTGATCGATCGAAACTGGACAAAAATCAAAGTTTTATTCTGTAGTTATAAGATCGGAAATGTTGCTTTCAGTTACAACAAAGAGTTTCTAACATTGGGTAACCTTTAACCTCCTCTATGCTAAAAGGGAAGATTCTTCTTTCAGCAGGGGGAGGAAAGCACGAAAAAAATCACTCCTTGAAATACTCCTATTTCTGCATGTTTACAGGTGTAGGCTTAAATTTATTAGATTTCTGTATCCAATAAGGGCACTCAAAGGATGTACGATAGCATCAGTCGAACTTCTTTAACATTGGCCATGGAGACTGCTTACAACCAAGATATCTATTCAATTAAGATTAGATCTCCCTTAGTGTTGCTATACACTTCCTTTAAGTTAGGCAGGAGAATTTTGACTTTCATCAAAGAAACCCACTATGGCAGTAGAGCTAATCCTTTTCCAATTCTCATCACTTGTACACTGAATTATGAACTGATCTTGTAAGGAGAAGTTATCATTCAATAAACGGTCGAACCAAAAAATTAGCGGAAAGGATGACTTTCATTCTCCATACAATTCAAAATGTAGCTAAGTTTGATTAAACGAGTTCCTTTAGAAGACCATTCAATCAGTCAAGAATATGTTCGACAAATATTTCCGACTCGACCAACTACAGCTAAGTTTGATATTATCTACTGAGTTGATAATGTACATTGGCCGCCGTGAAGAGTCTCTTAAGCTGACGTTTCGAGGGCTAGCACGTCTTCAGAGACTGCCACAGAGTTGACCTAAAACTTGCGTTGATCTTTACTGGATATCTACTAATCTGCTTAGAGAAGAGAAAATTAACTAAATCGACAGCGCACTTGAGCTTCAAGCCTATGATTAGCTTAGGAATATCCACTGGAAAAAAAATTGAACCTCTCTCTTATTTCCTAGATTCTCTGGTACGTGTTTTTGACTGCACTGATGTTGGCCACTCAAAATGTAATGGGCCGAAAAACTAGTAAGTTTTACGGAAATTTACGTGTTTACTCCTTGAATTCAGAGTTAACTGACCATCAGCTGATGTATTCGTTTCCTGTTGTGCCATTCTCTTTTGGGGATCTCCGTACAAATTTTTACGAGGTGGAACTTAAAATAAAGGGAAGTCCCACCATTAAACAAACGGCGAACAGAGGGAACAGTAGAAGCTTACGAACAAAACTGAAATCAGTCCTTTCAAAACGAAATGCTATGCAGGTGCAAGGCGCGTGTTTTTGCATTAGCTGACATCAAACGGGAGGCTCTAATTTGGCCTGTCGCAAGAATTCACCCTTATAAACAGAAGCGAGGTCTAATTTCGGTTCATTAACAGTTGAAGAAGATGAATTGAATGAACTTGCAATCTCAACGAAAAGATTGACTATTTTAGATTATTAATTTATAAAAAAACAGTATAAAAAAATTCACCGGAGCGTTAAATTCCAGTTCAGTATATCTAACTGCATCATAACAGATTACCTTACTTGGCGCACGTTACATGTTTCTTCTTATGTTAGACTGTGACAAGAAATGCCTTGATATTCTCCGTAAAACTCGAAGAAATCCGCCCCCCAGTACTAAAGTGGAAATACACACTGGTTATTGTAAGGCAAAATATGTTTGCCGAAAAGGAACTGATATAAGAGCTTGCAGGAATGGGCAGTGGATTGGAAGCAAAGCACTCAATTGTCCAGGTGAAGTTCGGCGGGTTGACTCACTTCGGTTTGGATAAATTACAATCATTCGATCGGACAGAATGAGTTATTACAAATCAAAATCCCTGAGCCACGTCACCATTCGATGTTCATAGGTTGAATCATAAATTGGACTTTGTTATATCGATACGAAAATATCCATTCCTAAGCAAGATCAAACGCATTTCACTATAATCCATGATTATTACTAGTTTGTGATTGAAAGCTTAAGAAACTGCATGCTCACATATTTTATCTTATAAATAATTTCTAACATTCTTTTATCAGCATATTGCGGCAAACCCGCGGACATTCCACACGCCACATTCTCTGGTTCCCGTTTCGGCGTCAACAATAAATTAAAGTACCGATGTGATCAAGGCTACGTACTCGATGGACCAAAAAGAAGGAAATGCGAAAAAAGCGGACAGTGGTCTCAGGCTCCTACATGTTCACCACGTAAGCTGAATTTGATAATCTTTACACAAGTGTAAAGACGACAGCAATTTTCAGTTGAGTGTCGAAAGCAATCAGGGATTACTTTGGTTTTGCTTTATTTCTTCAGGTGATTGGTCCAAAAGACTCTCATCACTTCCTCGACCAATCAGATTCAAAACTAAAACCATTCGCGACTTGGACACCCGCGTTTTCTCGCGCTTCAGGCAGTTTGCTTGTTTTCACTTCGAGTTCTCCTGGTGATATCGTGCTTACTATGACTGGCTGTTGTGATTGCATTGGTTTTGGTTTTCCGACACTAATTCGAACACTGCACTTACACCAATTAATTCATATTGAACACAATGCTTACATTTTACGTCACTGTTCACTTAAAATTGTCTGAGTGAAAATGCAACAACACCGACAATTAGCTTTATTTGCAAAATCAAAGGAAAGGAATGCACAACTATATACTTCCCTGCAATTGTTTAATTCCCTTGTTTGGGCCATAAGAAAATATTTCTAGTAAAATTAGGAACAAACAAGTAAATCACCCCGATTAGTCCCAACAAAGCCCTATAAAAATGTCAGACTGAAAATATGCATTGGAAGACAGTGGAGTCAACAAACATGATAGAAATAATTATGATTGGAGTAACCGATCTGAAGATGCCAAAATTGAATGGGCAAGAAGAGTACCTTACGATCCGACAAAAAAAATTTAATTCAACGACAATGCATTCACCCTCAGGACGTGCTTTTCTTGTCTCTGGACGGTCGTGAGCATCGGCAACAGCCATAATGAATTGGCAGAGAGAAGTCTAGGGCTCAGAATGTTTCATAGTATTCCAAAGTTTATCTTTGTTCCAGCTTCTTCGCGTTTTATGGGGTTAAAAAAATATACTTGTGTTCTCTTTGGTAGGATCATGTGGAAAACCTGAGGACATTCCTAATGCTATCGTAAGCGGCTCAAGTTATAACTACATGGATATTTTGAATTACACTTGTTCAAAAGGTTATCAACTTGATGGGCCGGAAACGAGAACGTGTCTTCATGATGGGAAATGGTCCAGTAGTCCGACCTGTACACGTAAGTTAGCTAAGGAATTACATAAGCATAACAACTGTTGCAACCGCAAAATTACCAAGGGAGGTGCTATCGCACTGTTTTCAATTTGAACGGAATGGGAGGATATTTCGCAAGCATTTTTTGTTACCAAGGCGAAAGAGTACAACAGCCCGACCCCCGCCATTTAAAGGCCAAGGATGCTTTTACTGAATATTCAAAGGAAATTAAGAACTTTTTAATCGTACCATAGGAACATTTTTGGAGTGATTTTATATAGTATTTTGCTTTTTAATACCATATAATAATACCTTTTGTAATGTAAACATAATGATTATGATTAACTTACAGGACCCCCATTGATACCAGTGTCATTACACTGACAGGGTTATCTTGTATAAATATAAATATATATACATATATATATAATTTTTTTTGTTTTTTTGTTTTTTTTGTTTTTTTGTTTTGTTTTGTTTTTTTTGTCTATATGACTCTATACTTCATTATGCATACAGTTCTTTATAAAGGAAAACAATAGCAAAACAACTGATTGGATTTGGGAACACAGCTCTGTTTAAGAATAGTATTTGATTACATGATTGTGTATGGAGAGCTTTCCAAATCGCTCTCATAACTTCGTAATAGATCTCGCTCACCGTGGAGTCTCTGTGGCTTAGTGGTTAGAGCATCGGAGCGCGGAACCCGAAGGTCTGAGGTTCGATTCCTCATGGGGACTCCAAAATTTTTCTTTGTTCCACGCTCGTGACAAGACGGAAAACATTCTTCCGCTTTCTAACTGTATTTCATTTGTGTTTACAGAAATCCGTTGTAGGAAGCCACGGCGTCTTGTTATGCGAAATGGAAATGTCACTACCTCTGACCCTGAATACCTGTATGGAGCAACCCTTGCGTTTGAGTGTAATGAAGGGTATGAGTTACGAGGCAGTGACTCTATGACTTGCCTAAGATTTGGTTGGAGTCCCAGGAGACCACCATACTGCGCTAGTAAGCACGTTTTGATGACTGAAATAATGTTAAAACTTACCTATGTGGTAGAAAGAGACAGGAATAGCCTATTAGTCTAAGGGCTCGCCCTCACTGCTTTGGTCTGGGTTGATTTTCACATCTGGAGTAACATTTGGGTAACATTCTGTTTGGCACTGTTTCTTTTCCTCGAAAGTGACATCTTCTCCAGGTTTATTCACCATTGATATCAAACACAGTATGCAATATTTGAGGAACACAGTCTGTTGCCTAGCAGAGTAAGACCCTATTGCTAGAGATCAATTAACTTAACTGCAAAGGGTAGTGTGGGTGCGACAGCCTATACACTGAAACAGTTAAGACTTACTGATCAGGGGTGTGTTTTCTATGGTAATTATTAATTGTTTTCAAGGTTGATCATTGTATTATTATCCTTCATTCCCAAATACCCCAATCGGATAAAACAACAGGCTTTGGAAAACGAGAATCCACGTGAATGTGCAACTGATAACATTCCATGGTGTTATCAATTTTTGAAATTATAATTATTGATATTATTTTCTTAACCATAACCAATGCTTCTTTGTAGTAAAATCTTGTCCAGATCCTGGGAGACCAGAGAATGGTGATCGTTATTATCAAGATCGATATTTTAGAGTTGGTAGTACAGTGCGGTTTTCCTGCCAGTCTGGTTTCCAATTGTCTGGCTCAAAGGAAAGGACTTGCATGGAGAATAAAGAGTGGAATGGAACTTTGACCACATGTCAGGATGGAAGTAAGTGAGAAATTTCTCAGGCTTCTCTCAAATGTAATAGAGAGGGGCAATGGCTATTTGCTCTTTATTTATTTATTTATTAATTTTTTACTTCCTGTATTATCTTGGCTCTGAGTGAAGACTATAGTGTGCGTGTTGTTTTTCATTCACCTGGCATAAAGTCATGTTGGGACAGGATAAGATGAAAACTTTCTTAAATGAGATGGTCAGTTCAGTAGTCAGCTAGTTCCTCAGTCAGTCCTTGAGACAGTCAGTCAGTCAGTTAGTATAATGATTAAGTCAGTCTTTCAGTCAGTCAGTATGTGAGTCAGTCAAGTTTTCAGTCAGTCAGTCAGTCTATGAGTCTGTCAGAGCATGAGCCAGTAACTGATTCAGTCAGTGAGTGCATCCATTGGTCAGTCAACCTGTTAGACTAAAGGATCCTTTCTTCTTACATCTCTCTTAAGTAATGACTCTCCTATAAAGTTCAGTTAGTCAGTCAGTCTGTGAGTTAGTCTGTCAGTCGGTGAGTTGGTCTGTCAGTTATGCATATATGAGTCAGTCTGTCTGTCAGTCAGCTTGAGAGTCAGTCAGTCAGTCAGTCAACTAAGGGGTCTTTCTCTCATATTTCTTTTTGATAATGATTTTTCCATTCGTTCAGTCAGTCAGTCAGTCGGTCATGCGGTCCATCAGTCAGTGTAGGTCCTGAGGTGGTATAACAACAAGTGAATTGTCGACTGAAAACGTTTCTTTTTCAATTCTCTTTCAGATACCAAGTGTCCCATTTTGGGTACCCCAATAAGTGGACGTAAATATGGCAGCAGATACAACAAAGGAGACATTGTGTCATTCGAATGTAAACGGGGGTTTGTTCTTAAGGGTTCTGCAGTGAGAAAATGCTTAGATAGCGGAGCTTGGAATGGCACCGACGCAATTTGTCGAGGTAAGGCTGCACAGTAGTTGCACAGTAGTTGCATTGCTGTATCGAAGCCTCAGTATATTACAAACAAAAACATTTCAAAGTATCACGTGCTATGGACTCTGATGAAGAGCGGTTTCCTCAGTTTTCCTTCTATCCATTTGTTTTTACAGACGAGTTCGAAGATCGTTTTAAAGGTGTTAACGTCACTGCCTACAATCTTCGCAAAAACCTGCTTGATCCTTTATCAGAGTACACATGTAACAGTGATAACAGCACTGGATGCAACAGGACAAGTATTCGTGGCATGGATTTCAGAGGCAGAGCCATTAATTTGAACTCAAGGGGTGGCTTAGATCTCGTGTTCGTCATCGATGCATCTAGCAGTGTGAGAAAGCTGACTGATTTCAAAAATGGTTTGGAGTTTGCAAAAGAGCTGGTTAGAACCATCGGGACCAGCAAAAGGTACGATTAATTTTTAAGAGACAGAGTTCTTTTACATTTGTTCAACATGTTAATAATTTAAAGGATAAGTATATCGCTAATTGAGGCGCTCAACACATGGAGAGCGTCGCTTACACACCAAATCATATTTCTTGTTTTATTACGTCCATACCGCAAGTAAATGGCTCGTGACTTAAGAACTTATGAGAGCAAACTCGAGGAAACTGTTCGTTGTCAAGTTTTGTTATAGTTACTAAGATAGCTTATAATGGTTTCTAAGTAGCCCAATAGTAATAATCACGACCATTGTCATCAGCAGCGTTAAGATCAAGACATTTATCTTACCTTCAGATTTTTAACTTCTTAGAAAAGATGGAACGCGAGTAGCAGCTGTGACCTTTGGGACGGATGTGAAAGTTGAATTTAACTTAGGAGATGCTAAAGTCGACACAATGGATAAAGCAATCAAAGCCATCGATGAGATAATCTACATCGGGGGGGCTACAGCGTCGGCACTTGCGTTACAAGAGGTCAGAGATGTCGTGGTGCCGTTAGCTCGTCCAGACAGTCACCGCGTATTGATGTTCATCACAGACGGAATGTCTAACATAGGGGGTCCACCTAAAAAGTTAGCGAAGTACCTTCGTGAACAAGAAAACTTTGAAATCTATGCAATAGGTAAAGTAGCTTGGCAGTGATTTAAAACAGGGTTACTTGAAGATTTTGAGAACGTTAAGTGTATAAAATTTCTTAACGGACACTCTTGGGAAGATGTTTTACTCGATTCTTATTTTGACATTAACGTAAGCGCTCATTCCCTGCAATGGGACGCAAACACTTTGGAAGAGTGCAGTTTCCACTTCTGTATATCATGTCTGTGGTCTTGTTTTAATTTGCATATAACTCTTATCAATGAGTTTTCCATTTTACCTTCAGATTTGTAGTGAACGTTGTTCGCTAGTTTGACGTTTCCAGCTATTATCACCTCTTGTCCCACGCAATTACACAGTACTACAGTCGCTACTTCCTGTTGCGATGACCATTTTTGTAAGGGGTCCTCATTTCTGAAGTTGAGCTACAGTCTAAAAGGGGGGAATCATCGCTGAGCAAGGCATGGAGCGCTATCCCCAAACGACGCCGAGCATTTTAAAATATGGTTTTTTCTTTCATAACGATTAGTTTTTCAAGAATTGTTTTAAACTTCATCACTAATTTACATCTACGCACTATCACTTAACATCTTGCCCCTTTAGGAGTCGGTAAGAAAGTTCGTATTCGTGAACTGATGGATATAGCCTCACCTGAAGCGGGCGATAATCATGTGATCCATGTCAAAGACTACGACAATCTTCAGAAAGCCATCAAGAGAGCGACTTACGTCAAGATCGGTATGTCGTAAATTGATAATATCAGCTTAAATTTCATTGCTTATGATTTCTCTTATATTTTGAAGTCGATTATGAATCGAGATTCTTTATTCGGAATGGTTTCGTTCCAAGGGAGACGTCCTAGAATAGTTGAGTGTTTAGTAGCAGCTGGATCGATCGGCCTTGTCCACAAAGTATCACCATAAAATACAGAAAAGACACGAAAAGAAAAGAGCCAATAAAAGTGCATTGCAATAAACCGGTCTTCTTTGAAGTGAACATGACTTTTTGTGTGTTTCTTGTTCACAGATTATACAACCTGTGGTGTAAGTCCTGTTGATCTGAGGGCGAGAATGGTCGGTGGCAAGAATTCGAGAAGAGGCTGGTGGCCCTGGCAGATTGGACTACGTAAGATTAACCCAAAAGGTAATTTGAAAGGAAAATTTGCGTTGTCTGGCTCATTCATTGAATGCTGTATGTACAAGGAAAGCATTAGTAACATTTCCTTTCCATCATGCGGCAAATCGTTCTAAGTAGCCTATGACTGTCTGTGGCCTTTCCGTACATCTAGGTAGTTCGGAAAGCCGCAGAACTCAAGAACAAAAATTCATCTTTCAAATCTCACTCTTAATCTTATATTATATCAACTAACGATTCTCATTCTATTGATTCATTTGTTTGTTCATTTGTCTGCCTGTTTTTGTACGTTATTATGTTCTCAGAAATACAGAGTGGCTCCATTTTTCTGTATGTGATCCCTACACAACCCTCCATTCCTTTGTTCGTTCAGACGAGGGGCCAAGCTCGAAAAGTTACTTAAAATGCACTTGTCAAAAGCTGGTTTTTTTTTCGGGCATAATTTTCTACGAGAAGTTATTTCTTAAAAAGAAAGTATCGGTTGAGATTAATAATTATTGTTTTTTATCTTTTTCCTTTTTCCTTTTTCCTTTTTTAAGCGGAACTTGTGCTTATCTGTGGTGGCGCACTGATTTCTCGTCGCTGGGTTCTGACGGCTGCACATTGTTTTTACCACAGAGGTCTTCATGGGGCTCGTGTTCTCGACGATTTGTCCAATAAGTAAGCACTGAGTCCAATAATTCTTTTTACGTTTGAAGTTTAAAGAATCTTTTTATATCTATAGATATCTTTTTTCAGTGTTGTATCTGAAAGTTCACATTTCAAGGTGGAGAAAATTCTGCACATAAAAAGGTTTCGAATTTCTGATATCATTCATAGGGGGAACTCTTCAAAAACTCCCAAAACCAGTCTTTCCCTAGTGAGTGAAGCAAACTTGGCTTATTTTCTCTACAACTGCTGCTCTTTATCTCGCAGGTACCAAGTGACAGTGGGTGACCACCACTTGCAGAGGGTTGAAAAATCTCAAAGTGAAGTGGCAGTGAAGAAGATTTTTGTTCATCAAGATTATGTTGATAACAAAATCACAAATGACATTGCTCTGGTCAAACTCGACGAGGAAGTGAAACTTGGCCCCTTTGTACGGACATTGTGTATTCCAGAAAAGGATGAAGGTGATTTGGCAATCCCTAAAAAGTACGGTATAGCAACAGGATGGGGTGTAACACAAGCCTTGGAATTCGGAGAACAACCCGATGACAAGAAACGCTACTCAGACCGTCTTCAATACTCAGCCTTCACAATTCAAAGCGACCAACTGTGCGTTAACAAATCAGCGGGATTTTTTGTTAACTCCACAGTGACGTTTTGTGCCGGGGATGGAAAGGGAGGAAATGATACTTGCCAAGGTGACAGTGGAGGAGCTTTCGTCCGCGAGGCAAAAAGAGGAGACGACTTCCTTTGGGTGGCTACTGGGCTGATCAGCTGGGGAGAGGGCTGCGCACAAAAGGATAAGTATGGATACTATACCAGGGTGTACTCATTTATTGATTGGATAAAGAAAACTATGGAAGACAACTCATAGGAAAATGACTGAACTTCTTCAATACATGTTCGAGTATCTTTTTACTGATTAGTAGTGCCAAGAGTGTCTGTTCTCCTGCGAAAATCGTTGCTTTACTATTCTCAAAGTTACTTTGATGTCTGATTGGGGTTTTTGCCTAGAAAGGCCGTGCTTTTGTAGATTAATGTGCAGATTGATAGTTTGGCTTTTTCCTTTTTTTTTTTTTTCGTTTTGTAGTCAAATAAAATCGCCGATGGACGTAAGATGGTTTCTTTCATCCTTTCTTAAAGTAGATGTAATCATGACAGAAGCAAATAGACATCTTTAAAGGAGGACATTTAAGTCCTTTTCCTTTGGGGTCATTACTGCCTGAGCTGCCTCTGCTTTACCTCTGATTTAAAGTGGCCATTCACCGAATGGAACATTTGTATATCGCGATGGGTCAACTCCTTTGCCACAAGTCTTCGATAACTGAAGATAATTTCGTATCAAAATTTGTCACCTTCGGTTTCGTCAGCAGGGGATTTTGTTTCAAGATCATCGATTAGATAGGACGTTTCCGCGTCGTTACTTATGACGCATGAGAGAGTAACATGCTGCTGGTACGTTTTCGTTTTTCTCGTTTGAATACCGTTATCATTCCAACAAGTTGATATTGTTCAGTCGTTCCTTTTGTCAATAACATGCTGTTTTGCAATATGACCATGGGTATCCATACCGCGGGAATTTCTATTTCTCTGTTTCTGTCTATATAGTTTTAATGAAATTTTGTGTCAATAGCTCCCAACAACCTGAGCGTGTAACGATAAGGGCCTGTGTTTACGATTAGTAACTTAGCTTGGTTTCAAAAACAAAGAACATCTCCTTATTAAGAAGGTGATCTGAAACCACTAGGTGCATGGATGTTAGCAAATCGTTTCCCCTTTCATATTGTTTCACTCAGTTCTTATATCACTGTCCTTTTTTCTCCGAGTTATACTTTGCTGTGTTCGCATGGAACCCTATAGTAAGGGCCGCCCTCCTGTGAGCTGAGCGTTCATTATTTTTTCGCCGGTTGCTGTGACACCTATGATACCTATGATAATTATGTGGAAACATTTTTCTCTCAAAAGTATGATTTGCTCCAGTTTTCTTCCACCATTTGTTTGCAGCCATTCAGAGAGTCCTTCGTTAATCGGGAACTCTTCTCGTTCAGACCAAATTTTCAAAATTTTTTCCTAAATCAGTGTTGTTGCACTCGAAAGTGCAAATTAATGAACAAGTTTGGTTTGGGTGCACCACTTTTAACCCATGAAAGTGCCTGTGATACGAAATTTTTTTTTGCGTAAATATTTAGCTTATCATATGTACCAACCAATTCCGGTAGAAGAAAAATTTCAAAAAAACCTTAAAAATCGGTTTTTTCTGGCCCTAAAGTACTCTTATTTTGTTGTAAAAGTGTCTCCTGGACTGGTAACGAATTAGCGGGTGATGACGTAGAAGACTGTGAAAATCTCCGTTCACACCTACAAATCTCTCGCATCTCTCGTAATTTTGTATTAGTCAGCGTTGAAATACTCTCAAATGATGTCCGATGGCGATGTATACCTACCTTCAGCAAGCTCTACCGAGAGTTGTGATACATCGTACTCGAGTAGTAGAAAAGAAATGGTAGTTGTTAGTACGGTTCAGCCCTACGAAGGAGAACCGCGTGCATCAAACGAGGATTTCGACTAAGACTGACAAAGACGGTTTCTCGCTGGCGGTGTTTAGGTGAAGATTAGAACAAAAAATTCCGTTACTGAATGTTATTCTGATGCGTTTTTGTTTTGCTTTCTAATGCGAAATCTATGGGTAGCTGTGTTCGTTTCTGTTGCTATAACATTTCATTCCTTCGCATTGTGTGCGGCGAAGGTTCTCCTCAGTCAGTGCTCTAGAGTTTCGTTGCTGTAGAGAATTTCCCTTGGTAAACCAAACGCTAACTTTTGATGAAAGAGTCAGCTGTACGAGGCACGATGATTTTTCACCGAGAAGTCATCGGGCAGTTTCACTGCAAGTTGCTCCTTTCCTCAGAGATTGCAAGGCAGAGGCTATCGTCGTGATCGTCGAGCTGGTCAAACCGAATGGAAAACAAGTGAGTTTTAGTCATTTGAATCAAGTTAACCTCAAATAGGAATTTTAGTGGAGAAAAACCTCTTATTTTTAAGAGCAGCATTGCCATATGACCCATTCTGCTCAAAGGAAATAACTGACATCAGTATTGTAAAGGAATATTTCGCACGCATCGACTTTCACATAAAACTTGGATTCACTACCATCTAATTCAATAAAATTTGTGTTTCTTTATTATCTCGTTGCAGTGCTCTTATCACAATGACATTGTTACTGTTGCTACTTTTAGTTTCTTGAGGGCAGAGGGGAATTAATGGCTCGTGGGATGGATTTTCGGAAACCTAGGTTAGGAGAACACACGGCTCCTTGGAGCTTTTGTATATGCCAGTATCTGCTAGAGGGTTCGCACTGTTCACGCAACAGGACACCGGTAAGCTCAGTAAAGGGCTTGAACTTCATTACAAATGATGTATTTCTGTCATCAAAATTCGATGGAAATTACAATTGGTAGGATTTTCATACAATAAGAAAAGCGCAAATGTGGTCATGTGGAAAGACAAGGAGTGCGAATACATCTCAAGAGCGTGAAATAAACAACAATAAGGAGCTCACCATTCTTCGCTTGCAAAATGTCAGCCGAAAAGAAAGTTGAACAATTGTGTTCGGTGTGGGAATAGACCCCTTAATCAGTATTATTTCCAGCTGAATTCACTGGTTATCTTACCCTGATTTGACTAGTGATATGAGTTTGTAACAGCCGTCTTAGAAGCCGGTACGAAGCATGAGGCCAATGATCTTTGAAGAGTAAAATCTCCTCGATGTCGACGATTGAAATGCGTCCATTTGGGCCATACAGCTACATCCTTTGGAACGTAGTGTATGGAAATACCCGGTATATGTATATTATTCTTGTAGCTAACATCATTTGGCGCTCCGGCCACGCATTACGTTCGTCATTTTTTCTAAATTTCCTATCTCCACCATGTATAGTTGCCGGCGTGTCTTCACAGTTTTCGATGTCACAGCTATGTAACATGATCGTTTTGGCCGCACGCTTAATGGGGACACTTTTTGGCCCCTAAATCGTACTTTCAATGCACAAAAAAATTGGTCAGGGAGGACTCGCTAGGCGTTAAGGTCGATTATTTCTAACTTTAAAACTGCCATCAATGCGATCCCTTATTAAAGAAGCTTGATTTTCAAACAAATTCTCCTTACCAAAACCTTAGAAAATGTATAGAGAACAGTATAGAGAATATGCATATTGATGTTTGGGTGTAAAGGGTTAGTCCAACCTTAACACACCATTTGCGTCCACAAATAGATACAAAAAAAGAAATCTTGATGCTTCGGAAACACGTTTTAAATGAGACAAAGTTTGATGCTACACTGGTTTGCAGATTTAATGAATGTAACCGAAGAAGTTACAATTCATAGACCCAACGTTTCGACAATCCTGTCTTGTGCCTTCATCAGGGGTGATCTAAACGCTGCAACAAGAAGTCCTTTTATATGATCACTAATTAGCGGCCTTTTTTCTGACGAGGTGTAAATAGGCGTCAGGAAGCAAACCGCCATCGTCACGATTTAAAGGAGCGTGGGCGGAGTTAATATGCCAAGCCTCCAAACAAAGGCGCTGGTGGTAACGCCGATTAGTGGTGATAATTTTAGAATTATCCCACCCAATTGTATGGTTGGTTAGGCAAGTATGCTCCGATAAAGCTGAATTTTCCTTTTCGCAAAGAAAAACCGCTTTTTGATGCACTTTTAACCGTGTACCAAACTGGCGTTTGGTCTGTCCGATGTATTCGTTGTCACAGTCATTGCAAGGAATAGAATAAATGGCGTCGGTTCGTTGTTCTTTCGTGACAGGATCCTTAGGTTTGGCGAAAATTTATATACAATTTATTAGAAGTCGGTGGAAAAGGAGATTTTTATCAGAACGGTCTAACATCCCCCCTTAGGGACCGGTCACTCTATATGGCCTAAACGGGGGGGGAGAGGCTGGAGAATTTTGGTTGAGTCATAACGAAATTTACCTTCCTTCTTTCTATACACAATTAAGAAACGACAAATGTGTAAGTGTCTGCTGAACTGTAGCTGGTACAAAAATTTCAACAAGCGCCATACCGACACGCGTGTGTTCGTGTTAACAGGAAACTATTTACATCCTCTGTCACTGTCACTTACGGCTTAGTTCCACCGAATATAAATGCAATTTCCCCTTATAAGGCACGTTTAGAAATATTTTAAGATGCCTCCTCATAGGCGTTAATTAGCAATCAATTTTCTAAAGTTCCTCCTTTATATTATGATGGTGACGATTGATCTCGCCTCCGTTCGCCCCCCCTCCCCCCGAAAACCATGTGTTCCCTTCAAAATTCTTCACCCCCAGGCGATAACAAATAACTGTTCGTATTTTAGGTCATCGTGTGATTTCACACAGTTCTTTTCTAAAGACTCGCACGTTCTCCAACTTGCTCTGCCATGCTTCACCGTCAGTTTCAATAGTACACTGAATTGAACTACATACTCGTTTTATTTTTCCCTCTTTTAAGTTTCCTCTCGGATCTTCCCCAACTACCGCAGTTCCTTCAGGTATTTCGTCCAAGTTTGGCTTCTCATCAAGAAGTACTTCATCTTTGCTTTTGTATAAATATTTGTCTCCATAAAGAACTTCCCACAGCGAATGGGGTGCGATAGAAACGAAACGCCCTTTTAAATAACTCTTTCTTTCCCTGAAGAGGACTGCGGAGCCTGACATGATGCAACCTAAGAGTGATAAATACATAGTACATGATTCGAAATAACGACTCATACAAATATTTACTGTATGCAAATGGGGGATACTGAAGCTGAGCCAGTAGTTCCTAGTACCCTGAGACCTTTCTTATCGGAGGATGTCATACGTCACACAACAATCGATGCTGTTAGGCTTCGATGAAAGGGTGCATGGTTTCTATATATTAATTCATATACGCTCTATTTCAAAAAAGGATGGATGCTGATCTAGATAGAGAGAACAAGAATATCAAGTTATCTAGGATATAAATTCTTACCTCGAAAAACTGCAGACTTACAACCAAACACTCTTGGAGTTCTTGACAGTGAAAAGTTATAACCCTTTCGAAAAAAAAGCCAGATTTGCAAAGACTGAGTGATAACTGGTCGAGAAAGTTTCAATTTTTCCTCTTCCTCACCGACACGTGGCTGAAACAAAATCAAATTTTATTTGTAAAAGAAAATTGTGACTATGCTTTTCGAAATAAATTTTTCATTTTTCAAACTGGTGCGACATTGGATGCAAGCAGTTTGTGTCTAAGAATCAGAAATTAGACAGAAACAGCAACTCCGTCTCTTTCTATGATCAGCGGTTGAATCAAACTTTATATTTCGATGCCTTATCAAAGAAGCCAATATGACTCATAACGAAGGGAAACCAACAATGATGATGTGAATATAATCATTGAAATTAGGATCTGTAAGCAATTTGTTACCTTAAAATGATTAATTTGTACCAATTTGTTGGAAATACGTGCTCTTATTTGAATCTGTTGATCCTCACGTCTGATATCTTCCAGGTGGACACTTGCCGCTGTAATAACGTTTCCCTTTCTGAGGTGTATCTCAATTGAAAGAGTATTCAGTGTACTGTGTATGGATCCAATGGAATGCCTGTGGATATCCAAGGCCTCGTTGCACTCTAAACGTGGAAAAAAATGTATGGTATCACGGCACCTTTTAATTTGACCCTATGAAAGTAGGTATACATCGCCATCGGACATTATTTGAGAGTATTTCAACGCTGACTGATACAAAATTATGAGAGATGCGAGAGATTTGTAGGTGTGAACGGATAGTTTTGACCGAGACTCCCAGGGAATTCTTCTTAATCTCTCAACTTCGAAAAACCGCACTTAGGAAGAGAAAGAAAGAAAGACGCAATGCCAATATTACGAGGGACGATCAATAAAATGGCAGGAACACCTTACCAGTAATCACAGGAGGGCAACGTTTACTGCATTTCTCTTTGCTGTCAAAGTTATTTTCATTTCCAAAACAGCCTCCATAGTTGAATTGTTTACAACGACCAGCTTTGGGGCTAAATGCCCATCGATGTGTGGTGTTGCTACACGGTCCCGGCTCAGTCGGCTGGCTACATACGTCCACTAAAAGCATTGCATAAATCAAATTTATAGTAACTTATAGCGATTTTATAGCAATGGTACTGAAAAAAGATCCAGCAATGTGTTTTTTAGTGTATTTTTCTCGAGAGTCAAAGCATAACAGTTAAGGGGCCAGAAATTCCTTCTCATCGGTCTGGGGGATTTTGGGAGATCATATGGTTTTCACGGGGGACGGGGTGGAGATCAGTCGTCGCCAACCGCGTATCAATTGTGAATGAAGGGGGGGGGGGTGAATGCATCGTAAGAAAATTAAAGAACTTTAGCGGGGACTAGGTTAATTTTATCGTTAATTTTACCATCAAAAGCCTTCAACCCCCTCCCTCCCCCCCCCCCAAACATAAATAATAGCCGGTCCATTACCCCAAATATCGAAAATCTTTAACTGCTCCACCTACCAGAACAAGTGCGATTGCAATCTCCCATGGTAGGGAAACCATTCCATCCACTTGGGTGACAACCACCAGCAACGATTGGCTGACACATATTAGTTGTCACGTTGAAATAAAAATTTCTGAAGTAAGCTCTGCATTTGCTTGCGGGGTTTATCTGACAAATTCCACCTGTTAATTGAATACAAGTTATTTTAGAAGTAGAGTGAACACGACAGATTAGTGATCTGTCAATATATTTTTTATTGTTACACTGACTTTATACCCGCACTTTAGAGATAAAATGTCCAATACATTCCAGTTCATTAATCCTTTAACTCCCGTAAGTGACCAAGACAGAATTTCTCCTTACTATATCTAAACAATATCATGCAGACAAATGATGAGAATAAAGATAATATCAATTATGGGATCACTAATTGATCCGATACCACATTCTTCAAACTAACATAAGAGAATCATTTGGCATACAGTAACGAGAATTATTATTAGGGAGTTAAAGGGTTAACATGATGATTCCCATGTTATCTATTATCACTTGTTTTTGCCGCAACCATTCTCAAAAGTCATGTAACGTACTACTGCCTTACTGCATATATTACATTTTTTTCCTAAAAAAACAGACAAACAAACAAACAAACAAAAAAACAAAATCGCACTTGCAATCGGGTTTTTATTTGGCTGGTATTAGCTTTAGCAACTGATAGGCGATTAAGCATTAAGAAACCTTGAAAAAACAAGACGAAAGAAGACATACCAGGAGAACATGACTTATCTGCTACCTCTCCACCTTCTTTCCTTCTCGACAAGCAGTCGCCTTCATGATGCAGTAATTGTTGTAGGTTTTCGCATCCGAACCACAGATGGGTTGTAAATCGGCGGGACAGTCCACGTTGTCACGACAGACGCATCTGACCCCTTGGGCACCGTTATAGACACACTTCTCTTCAAGTTTACAAACCACGCCCTCGCAACGATCTGTAAAATTTATAATTTCAATATCTAAGTAATCGTTCACACAACGATCCTTCTCATTGACCAAACAACCTCAAATTTTCTTACAAATGTAAGAGAAGCGTAATAGTCGATCATATTTAGAGTCAAATGCAAATAAGTTCCATAGCAATAATTAAAACAGGCAGCGGAACATTTTGAGAGATGTGAGATGTGAGTGAGTGTATGTGTGTAGATATGGAGAAGAGGGGAGGGGGGGATATGGCTCGTTGTACACCAAGGCAAACGTGTACCTCTTGTCAAATTTCTCGGGTAACGTAGGAGGGGGGAGCGAAATTCCCTTTAGCGGGAGGCTTCTGATTTAAATAATGCACGCAGTCGTAAAAAGTGTAATAGAGGTCACCCGTTGACCTTGCAGTGATCATTGAGAAAATGCGATAGCACCCCTTCCCTTCCCCCTTACAAAGATAGGCCTAGAAATTTCTAATAGCTAAAAGTAAGAGATCCATCGGAAATCAACCTATTTAAAATCTGGTTGGAAATTGAAAGCAAAAGCCTTTAATGATTTTCACCACGACCTAGAGGCAAAGAAGGCGCGCTGCTTTGTCGTACCTTTACACAAAGGTGGATGGTCAGACCATTGACCATCCGGGCGACATGTCAGCTTCGATTCTCCGTCAAGCTCATATCCCTCATCACAGGAAAAGGTCACAGTGCTTCCAATAGAAAAGTCATCACCAATTCGTTTGCCGTTTTTGGGGGAAAGACATCGAGGTCCCAGCACGAGGTAACTATTAGCAAATTCATTTTTAATTTATGCATCTTGAAAAACAGTATCTTGACGTGCACGTTTAAATTCAGACTAGCTGAAGTAAAATACATCATTACAGGGTGGGCCTGTGTCTTAACGAGCAAACTGACTCTATTTGTGCCAGGGTCTTTGTTTGATACCTTATGTTACTGGGTCTAATCTTCATTAGCTCACTAAAAAAATATAGACAGTAACTGATGATATTAATAAATACAAAAGTCTTAGATATTCTTAAACTGCTCATAGCAAAGGCTGATTGAGGCATTGGAGATCATTTATTAATTAAGATAAAATGCTAAAGACTCTATTAACTACCATCTCTATCAAGTCTTCTTGCTTCTGTCTTTGAATAATCACCATTCTGGTGTTGATGGCGTCATGATGCCGCTGAGACGTCGAACTTTTTCTAAAAGTCTGTCTGCAATATTTGCATTTCTTTAATTTGCCAACGCGAATCTCTCTTTATCATTTACACTGCTATCATGGCAATTTTCGTTTCTGTCCTTCAACACTATGCCTATTTCAAAGTATCTCTTACACTTACTTTCGCAAGTCGGTTGTTCTCCAGATCATCTTCCATTTGGTTGACAAGTTCTTTTACTTGATCCGATCAGACTGGTATTTATTTTACAACCAAATTCCACTTCGGTCCTTGCAATAAACTCCTCCAAATTGTCCGTTCTAAAGCCTTTGTTTGGTTTTCCAGGGTCTGAACATGTTGCTGTAATGGTATAAATCAAAGGGTGATTCCAGAAAACTAGCCTAGATTAAGTGGAAATTTTCATCTTTTGTCAAGAGTATGTGGGGAATTTATTTTTAAGGATAGCCCACACTGTCTCGTCTTCACTAGATTTTTATTCTTCTCCTCTTCTATTCTCACTAGGTTTCACAACTGTCACAACTCCTCGACTCGACTGGTATAAAAGATTACTTCGACTGAAAGCTAAATAAATCACAGACAATTGTTCCTTATCTTTGCGGGACACCTTAGTTAAAAAAGAACGCTGATTGGCTAGATACGAATCTTCCAGACATAAGAATAACAAAATTTCCAGACAAACATTTCACAATCGCTATTTGATATCTATGCTATTATTCTGTTTCCGACAAGTAATAAATATAAGATTTATACGTAGTCTTTGATAATCGTGCTGCCAAGAGTTAAGTTCCACTCCTTGGAGCGTTAAGATCGCGCTCTTTGGGATATAACTTAGTGGCTAAGTTATATTCCAAGGAGCGCGAGCACATTTCTCGAAAAGCAGCTGTTAGTTGAGCTTAGTCCAAAGTTTTTAAGAGCTTCAATTTTGGCTCAGGCCAATAAATTAAGACGCTGGTTAATGGGACATGTACAGTTAAAAGCCATAGGAATGTTTCTTCGTAAGATGCGGTCTAGTTCTTGGACAAAACAGAAAGAGCATGTCCTCATTTGGATGTCACTTTGTAAGACTTTTAAAGGAAAAATTTCGTCGACCGTCAGGTTTTTACAAGAAAGTATTGGCTACTTATATAAGAAAGAGGAGGACGTTGAGCTGGGCAGATTGACCGCATGATTTTGTTGAAGGTGGCTAATAAAAATTCCCTCAACCCTTGAATAGGCTTCTTAGCTTACATAAAGGTACCATGACTGACTTACCACAGAATATCGGAGGAAACAAGTTACGGATATGCTCCAATGCCACAGTCTGCTTAGTCCGCTGTTTGTCCTCAAATGTTACCGAATACTTGTCACCATTGATCGCGTCAACCTTTGCAAAGATGTACGTTCCTCTTTGCATTGCAATCACACGCGTTCCCAAGAAGATGTTCTCCGGAGATGGGAGTTTGTCCTCTACTATAATGTAATGTTGTGTTCCAGGTCCAAATATCGCAACATCTCTATGTTCTTTGGATGAGTCAATCAGAACTGTCACGATATTTTTGCTTTTCTGCTGAATTATTCCATGGATGAAATGTCGGCCATTCCTGACAAAGACCGGGGTGTTAACACCTGCACATTCTATAAAATAAACAAATAGATAAATAGATAGATGTAAATCTGAGAAAATAACACTCGAGCATTAAAATTCGCCTGTCCCTCTGGAAAACGTGCTTATAAGGTAAATGAACTTTAAGAAGGTGAAGCTGAGGTAAAACTAGAAGCGCAGGGTTTCAAAACAAGCCGGCGAGCTAATGGCCCTTAATAAACTTTTCACAAAATATTTTGAAACCCCTGGAGGCGGCTTTAAAAAAACAAAGTAAGAAAAAATGAAAAGAAGATTGATTGACAATGGACTTATAAGTGTAAAAATGATAAAATGAAAGTGTAAGTTAATAGTAAGGAAGAGAAACCGAAAGAAGCACTAAAACAGTGCAATGATTGAAGGGAAAGAAGCTGATCATCATGAAACATGATAAAGCGAAATAAAAGATGTACTACCATGATATCGTTAATCAAAGGTACAGAGATGTTTACTTATTTACCAACACAAAACGGTTGCATCCCAGTCCACTCCCCTTCACCAACACAAGAGCGCCTGTCAGATCCATACAAAATGTATCCATCGTTACATTTATAGAAGATCATTGACAGATAAGAGAATGGAGGGCCGGTTGAATTTGTTGAACCGTGTTGAGGTGTACCGGGATCAGCACACGTTACCACTAAACAGGAAATGATAATAACAGTAATAAAAATAATTATAGTAATAATATTAGTAATAAAAACAATGGCCTCAATTGATAGTTACCTAATGGGTCTTCTCTTCTCAAGAAAATAAAAAAAAAAGAAAAAATTGTAAATAATCCTAATGTTAAAAAAATACCAACTAGCAGGAGGTGGACCAGTTGGTTCTCTGGAAGGTGCAGCCAGGTAGTTGCACTTAAGGCAAATGAGAACAATCTAGTGAGTAGCAAGGTGTGATGCTTGAACTCGCGACAACCAGTCCAGCAACCCGTGATCAATCGGTTACACTGACACTCCCTAAAAAACTTCGACCTGCCGAACTACTTAAGTTTGTAAACTATTGCAGAATGTGAAATTTCATGGTTTGACGTTTTTGACAGCTTTAGTCTTATACAGCCAATCAGATTATTTGAACCATTATAACTGGGATTCTGATTGGTTTATTGTAACGTGCTTTCTGAGAATATGCCGACACTGTTGTACTCTTTTGGACTTTTTAAATAACTAAATAACGGGAAACTACGTCAGCGGAATGAGGGTTTGTTTATATTAGTTGGATTCTGTTACATCAAGAGGAAAGATGGTACGTTATTCTCTCTTACTTACATCCATATTACTATCGTGGGTGAAATCGTGAATTCTGTTCGTTACACAGGAGACTTCATTGACACGGGGTCATGATGATTCGTTTTAATCGTATACTACATTTTTAAAATACAAGAGTACATCTTGCTGCATAATGTAATCTTACGTTTGCAAATTGGCTGCGTGCCACTCCAGGTTTGGTTCGCACGACATGTTCTTGCATTGGGGCCTACCAGTTTAAAACCGCGATGGCAGTCGAAAGTGACATTGTTATTGTACTGAAATAACCAGCCATTGCGTTTTCCATTCAAGGGAGATCCAGGGTCTCCACAACTTACAGCTGAAAAGAGATAGGATCCGATAACTAAATCAAGTTAAAATAAATAGAATTAGAAAATGAAAATCATCGTCAACATTATTGAAATAATAGAACATGAGTCACGACTGTATATCATTTAATTAAGGTAAATAATGTAACAACAGCAAATTAAAATATGGAACAATAATTTTAAAACAGAAATGTTGAGAACAAAACAATCAGTTCCAAGAAATAGACGTGTTTCATAAATTGTTACAGTCGAACCTGTATTAAGCAGTCAGTTGTCAAAGTCCCGAATTTCTTCCCCTTAATCACTGTAATGTTCACCTCTATTAAGTGGTCGGTCCTTTATTTTATCCCGACGGCCTGTCTTTATGGTCCTCTGCCTGTATTGAATTGAAACTAAGAATAATCTTTAAAGTACTTTTTGATACATTTTCCCTCCCAAGTGGCGTTGTTTATCGTTTTTCTAGTACCTTAAACTGTGGAAACTGTACTAGGCAGTCACCCCGCCATTCCCGCATTCCCGGTGGGTGAGTGCTTGTTACAGGTTCGACTATATATGGAGAATCATAACCATGATGAAATTACTTGACATCTAATCTGTACTGACCAACACAAGACACATTGTGTTTAGTCCATTGTCCATTTGACTGACATCTGAGTCCATGAAGATTTCCAAGTCGATAGAAGCCCTCTTTACACAAGAATTTGACGACGGAACCAACCGTGTTATTGCCAATTGCTTCAGCATTTTCCGGAGCTTCTGGAGGTGGGCATGTCTTACCTATTATCAGAACAAAAAATAAAGATCATCATTTGGTGCCGAGTAATAAAAGCCGTAAATTTCTTAAACGACCCAAAAATATCGAGTCAGAAGGAAATATGTGCCGTTGAATACCAATTTTATAAAAAGGATACCTGTTGTGGTCAATTAAACGAATTGCATTAAGGGTAAATACTCAAATTTTATCCTCACGAACGTGTCTTCGCAACTAATTGCTCATCAGTCGCGTGTAATCGCGTTAACCACGCGCGAACGCGGGAGCGAGCGCGGAAGCAGCTATTGCGTTACACGATCCGTTTCACTTCCTGCGCTATCCCTGTTACCCCGAGCACCCCACTGAGATTGGAAAAAATCTAACATACCACTGCTTCGGCTATTTTGATATCGTGGAGCTCTCCTCTGGAGAAAGAATATGTCATCTCACCCCACGAGTGAAGAGTTGCCTTAGTTGCGGCACCCAACACCACATGGCATCTATATTGCTTCATCGCCAGGATTTGCGTGTAAAAAAAGGAAGGTAAACTTATCCCGAAAGAAACTATTTGACAGGTCCGGTTACGTTCTACACTTAGTTCGCTGATGCATAGAATTAAATAAATACATAACGTAATCAAAATTTCAAAACGGAAATCTCAATGCCGGTCATCTTTCATCTTACTCTTTTTTTTATTTTTTTTTATCTACGATGACGAGTGTTGCTAAACTCATTCAACTTGAAGCAGAGATAATCAGTTTTGCCGCCACAACACATAATGACTTACCTAATATATTGTCTTCGCCTCTTGCCAGTTGTAGCAGGAAGAGACCGAAAACAAAGCTCTGAACGCAACGCATGGTTATCACCTTACGCTGTGGTTATGAGAACGAAATGTAATTTGAAAGTATTGCTTCTGCGTTTCAGACACAAAGGAATTAAATAGGGAACACGCACGAACGTCCTTTTAGCGCACCTATTTGGTCAAGCTGTCAACGGTAACGTTATCTTTGATTCCTTAAATTTGAGCGCTGTTATTTCTCAGGGTGCTAAGGGCAGGAAATGAGAAGCTATCTGTCAGCGAACTATTATTTTAGTGCGGAATTTTCTCTACGTGAGCCAAATCACTGAGGCTGAAATCATCCATCAAAAGGCTTGTGTATTTGGAAGTCATCCAACCCCTGCTGTTTATCTTTTTATCAGAATTGGGCAATATGGTGTTTCAATCAGACCTACTGAGCCGCAGCACCGTCATACTTAATTTAACACTCAACTGTGTATATTTTCAACCTCTCCTTATTTCCTTTATCATAGATAGTTTACCGTCTTAAGAGCGCTTGTCTGTAAAAATTAAACATATCGCGGCAAGGGTGGAAAATTCGATTTCTTTCCTATTTTAAAGTTAGATAGGCTAGGCTATAACTAAAATCACCGGATACTTTTTTTGGCGAAATACCTTTTTATTTCAGAAAAAAATACAAATAACGAATTTCTGTTAAAATCGTCATTTTTAGCAGCAAATTATTGCACGAGTTTGAGGGCTTCACGTGCAAAATCTAATCACTATCTCGTCTTTTAAACACTCAAATCTTCTTTTTCGATCTCATAAGACCTCACAAAATAATTTTTGTAAACATTGCGCTCTTCTTTGCGCTTAAAATAATTTAATTTCGAAAGCATGCATTTCTCTTCAGTAAAAATACTTCGTGAATAAAATTAATTTTCACCATGTGCTAAACCTTCAAATGGATTAAGCTTTTGGCGGTAGAATTGCGAAAAGATGTTCTCAATATAACTGTAAAAATTTGTTTAGGCAAATGATTGGGAGCGATACAAAAGCTTTTCAAAGTCCGTTAAAATGCAGTTATTTGACCTTTTGCGGTCAACATTCCAGTCGCGAGTCACACATATTTTAATATGTTTCAGCCAATATGAGGCCGAAAAATGTACATAGAAACATATTTCCAAATGTTCTAACCTCATTAACCGCAGAAGACCGATCCAGAGACCATTTTAGTGTGATTCTCTTGTCGTTCGTCGTATTTAGGTCGGTATAAATGATAACGTCCGATGAAACCACAAACCCTGTCGAACACCATCTTGTTGTCAAACGTTCGATATTTTTCTTCACTGTGGCATCTTAGTCAACGGTTCAGTTGACTGCGAGTATTGTTCAGTTTACAATGCACTAAAAGATTACATCGGACAGTCTAATTCAATGCTAAACTGAGTTGACTACAAACATGTACGCCCTTTGAGTATTTGGGTTGTCACGCAATACCGGTGACAAAGGAACTTTAGGGGGTAGGTGAAGGGAAAAACTCCATATATTTAAGCACTATCAGAACTGAACTCTTGGAACCTACAAAATATTTTATTCTGTAACCATTTTTGTAATAGTGCCATCTTTTTCTGGTGAAAAACATTTATTATTCTTGTTTTTTTAGCGCTCTGTACCTTTCGTACTCGTTAGGGGTGTTATTCTTTCCACTAAAATTGCAAGGAATACCCCGAATAGCATGAAAGAGAACCTTTTATACATTTTTGCTGCACCATGCTACAAAACACAGTGGTGGGGATGTGTGGCTTATGTGAGGCAGGGGTGCTATGTTCCGTGGCCAATGGGTGGGGCTTGCAAAAGGGAGTGGTACTATTAACCAGTGTTAACAGACCCAACTACCGTATACTAGTTATAGTTCTCACTAGAGCTGCCCCCGCCCTACAGTACCATTTTCTTTTGTTTTTTTTTTTTAGTTGGGCTTGTTGTTTACAGTTGTGTAATTTTTCTGTTATGTTGTTACGGAATTGTGGCTCAATACTTTGGTTTTAGTAATTTTGGATCTCAAAATACTACAAGTGTACAAAATGTAGTTTTGCGAAGTGCTTGGGATGTTTTTTTTTTTGCTGTAATTTACAATTACAACCAGTAATTTCCTTTCTTTGACTACTGTTTACTTTCAGTTGTGCTGCGAGTCCTTCGCGCCCAATAACAGACTTGCCTCTGACAAATCCAGAAATTGCCGAGTCTTTCGGCTTTGTGCAATAAGCTTGATTTGCGGCGGACAAATCGGAGTTAACCGAGTCTTTCGGTCAAAATGCTAAACTTACACCGTCTTCTGAGCATCGGTGAAATTATTTCTGTATTAACTTCTGTATAACACAAATGAGTCAAGACAGCTTTTAAGCACAAAACAGCACTCTCCGCACCTTTCGCACTTTGATGGTCGCGTGGACTCCGACCGAAGAAACTCTAAAACTCTGAGAATAATCCAACATCAAAGCAAACGAGTTAGAAGCTCAACTTTTTCATGTATTTGATATCTGGTTATACTTTAATTATGCTGCAAGTTCTTTGCTTTAAGTTCTCACGTTAGCTGACTGAGCTGTGGACCCTCCGCCGCCTTCGATCGAGACTTCACACAACCGTTTCTCTTTTGACGGATTCTGATCACCTTTTAAACTCAAAACTACCTTTAATTGTTAGAAAGATGCTATACACAATTACCGTTGGACTTGGAAACGCTTCTCGACGCGGACGCTTAACTCGAAATCTCGACAAGGACAAAGCTCGTGTCAAAGACGCCGATCCCAAAAGTCCTCGCGCGCGTGTCTTTTTGCTGGCCGCCCATGACCATTTGCGGGAAAAACGTTGATACCTTGCGGCCGCGCGAGCGATCAAATCGAGATTTTTTCTGGTTATGATCTACCGAAAATACCTACATTCTCTCTTCTCAAGTCTTCCTCTATATTACGCGGGGAGTCCTAAGGTGCCTCCTCGGGTTTTTGGCCCTCTGGGGCCAAAAAACCCTGCGGGGGCAAAAACCTTAAACTACAGAGGGGCCGACATGTGCGCTCGGCACAAAATAAGGTCGATCTCATCTTCAGGACCGGTAAATTTGAAAGCCGACTTATTAATTGCGATATTCTTGGTGCATGAAAGTAAAGGAACAATTTCCGTTTCACGCTTTCGATCTCTAGTGTTGTAACAACAAACTCCGCCGATAACCGACTTGAACGAAAAACAACCTTCCATTTTTTGTAACAAAGTTGACCGTGTAAGTTAGTGTATAAGTCCGAAGCCCCGCTTGTAAGCAAACAATAGACATCGTGTAATTACCATAAACCAGGTTTTGTTTACTAAGGCTTACTACTTTTAGCAGGTACTAAATTTAGCTTTTTAACGAGTATACGAGTATTAGCCAAAGGCCCGATCTCCGCGACTTACATGTAAGAGATTTCCATTCACAGGAACAAAAAATCTGAGCAGCAGAGTGACGTTTTTTTACTCTCCCCTTCCCCTACCCCCTAAAAAATAACTTTCCATTGTATGATTTGCATTGCGTGACGACTCTCCGTATGCAACACTACTTTGACTGCAACATGTGTAGTGCCACTTTAAAAGCATCGATCAGATTTACTGCACTACAAACTGAACAACACTCACAGTCAACTGAACCACTGGATAAGATGCCACAGTGCAGAAAGATGTCAAACGTTTTACAACGAAGGTTCGCAAATTGACAGGCAGTTTCATCAGACGTTATAAATACGACGAGCGACTAGATAACCACTGTAAAATGGTCTTTGGATGTTTCTTCTACAGCAAATGAGGTAAGAGCATTTGGAAATGTGTACCCATGTACATTTTCCGGCCTTATATGGGTTGAAACATATTAAAATATGTGTGTGACTCGCGACTGGAATGTTGACCGCAAAAGGTCAAATAACTGCATTTTAACGGACTTTGAAAAGCTTTTGTATCGCTCTCAATCATTTGCCCAAAGAAATTTTTACAGTAATATTGAGAACATCTTTTCGCAATTCTACCGCCAAAAGCTTAATCCATTTGAAGGTTTAGCACTTGCTGAAAATTAACTTTACTCACAAAGTACTTTTACTGAAGAGAAATGTATGCTTTCGAATTTAAATTATTTTACACGTAAAGAGGAACGCAGTGTTTACAAAAATCGTTTTGTAAGGTCTTATGAGGTTAAAAAAGAATATTTGATTGTTAAAAAGACGAGATAGTGATTCGTTTTTGAACGCGAAGCCCTCAAACTTGTGCAATAATTTGCTGCTAAAAATGACGATTTTAACGAAATTTTGTTATTTGTATTTTTCTCCGAAATAAAAAGATATTTTGCCAAAAAAAAGTATCCAGTGATTTTAGTTATAGTCTAGCCTATCTAACATTAAAATAAGAAAGAGATCAAATTTTTCACCCTTGCCGCGAAATTTAGAATTTGTCTGATTTTTACAGACAAGCGCTCTTAAGCAGCAGGAAACCATACCAGATTTAACAATTTTCATTGAAAGCGACAGGGAAATGACGGCTCAACAAAGTGTAGAAAATATGTTTTTTTCCACGGGAAGAAAATAACTTCCCTGACCTTTTCCTGCGACTTCCCAAAATCCGACCTCAACATCCGCTGAAAATTCACCTTTTGGGCTTTAGATTTCACGTGTAGTGTCACGTGACTTTTGATGTAAACAAACCCCGAAAGTTCGGACATTGAGTCGAGCTCGCAGTACATGTGTCCGAAATTCGGCTTTGGCAATTTTTCGTAAATAACTTCCCACTTTCAAGAAACGTTTCTTCGTTCAAAATTGACATCTTTCTTTTATCATTTAATTGATCGTTTATCAAGCAAGTTGTCATTTCGCTGCCGTTGAAGCAGATGCGAAGAATGTTACAGGAAGCGACTTGCGGCATGAAATAATCGAACTAGTTCTGCGTACAATGATGTATCTGATCAGGTATTTTCCGGGTGTTAAGTGGGTAAATTGTTAAATAAAATCACTTCTGTCAGGAAATTAGTGCCCACGAATCGTTGTAGAACGTGAGGAAGCTTTAATTCCCACACGGAATTACGTATCTGGGTGTGGTTTCCATAGCTAATAAATGTACCGATCTTTTTTAACCATAAGTAAGACAAGAATGAAATTCTGCGAAACTCAGAACAACCTTTAAGTAGAGTTAAACTCAAGAATGGCAGGCCACAAAAGTAAAGCAGATTTCAACGCGATGAGTGTGGCAGAGTTGAAAGAATATCTACAAGAACGAGGGATTTCAGCGAGCGGATACTTGAAAACCTCGTTAGTGGAAATCGCCTCCGCAGTCGAAAAAATGGTTCTGCCAGTGGATCCAAATTTCGAAAAAGACGACGCCACTACTTTAGATGAATTAATAATTCATGACATGCTAATTCCAAACCCATTTTCCCTGAAGACTGTTAACGATTTTAACGCGTAGCCGCCGTTTGGATTGTACGACATTTATAATTATTTGATTTACCACTCCGCCGATTACGATAAGCAGGGACTCGCCGCCTATAAGTCTTTTGAAGATTATCGACTCTTCGATGATGGTTACGTGAAATCATTGCTAACTTCTCATTTGAAACAAGAGGGAATTCATGTATACGTAGCCAGTGTGCGCCCTTTCATGAAAATAAAAACTGACGAGGGAAAGGAATACTACGATCTCTGGTTTGTTGTTGAGGGCAGAGGTGCAAACCGGAGCAGTGTCCTCCAAGCTAAATGTAAATGTAAAGGTGGTCGAGATGGGGGATGCAAGCACATTGCAGCTGCCATGTATTCCCTTGAAGATTTGTTAAACACTCGAGGTAAAGATAGTGTAACCAGTGGCCTATGTATCTGGGTTAAAAAACCTAGAGCAAATACTAAATCTTGCGAAGTGAAAGAGCTGGTAGGCAAAAAAATTAAAAAACCCTCTCACCAAATAAGAAAACGTAAACACACTTATCCTCGGTATATTGATCGAGACGTTCGCGCCCCAGAAGACAGGAATCCAAAAGATGAGGAATATCTCCGTCAATTCACAAAAAGATGTGCCAGTTAAAAAAACTGATGCACCTGCAGTTATCCTACCCCCTATTCAAAAGACTCCACTACACTTCCAAAGCTCCCTCAGAACTGGACAATAAGCCTTTTAATAAGGCTAAGACTGGTATCATGAATACCAAAATACAAGAGATTATTAGAGGCCATTCCAACATCTCTAGCAAAGATGTGTTGAGGTTGCTAACCTTCAGTGATGTAGAAAGAGATCATGTAGAGAGAACCATCACAATGCAGTGGCAATGTGAGGAATGGTATATCCACAAGGCTGGTTTCATAACAGCTTCAAGGTGTAAAAGAGTCTTCACTAGGCAAGAGGCCATTGAGAAAAATGAGAAAGATGTTACAAAGTTGGTAAAGGATATTGTGCTACCTGAGTCACCACACAGTTGTGGTCAAAATCAGGAAGTGGAACCACAAAATCCAAGAGAGTGGGGATTATTTCATGAGGAGAGTGCACGTAGGGCATATCAGCGAGTTGCTAGCCATACCCACCACAAACTGGAACTGGTCTCAAAAGGCTTTCTAATTTCAAAGTCAAAGCCTTTCCTTGGTGCCAGCATGGATAATATTCAGAGATGTCAGTGCTCTGATGGTTGTCCAAACAAAGTTTTGGAATACAAATGCCCCTGGAAACACAGAGATATGCACCCTAAAGAAGCTTTCCTTACCCCTGAAATTGGTGGCACTGTGAGCAAAAATGGGTTTGCCTTGAAGCCCTCTGAGTACTACTTCCAACTTCAGCTTCAAATGTTTCAAGTGAGTGAGCTGTCCTTGAGTATCTTAGTCGTGTGGACAAAACAAGGTGTCTTTACTGTTGAGGTGTCTTTCAATGCAAGTTTCATGACTGAAGTGTGCTCCGAGCTTGAGATGTTTTGGTTTCAACAGATTCTCCCTTTCATGATGAATACCTTAGTTTCCACCACTTCTTTTCCTGGTATGTAGCATTTTTTTCTAATCATGATTTCAAGTAGTTAATTTGTAATTTTTACTTTTCAGTATTTATCAGAGCTCTGATCTCCACCCAGAGATTGATAAATTATAAGGTCACTCAGCTAGAGATTTCCATGACAGTGATACTGATATGTTGTAATCTTTTTTTTTTTTTTTAATAGATTCAACAGATGAACATGAAGTTTGCTCATTGCAAAATTGCTGTGGTTCACAGACCATCAGTTCTGCAGCTCTGCAGCCAAGTTATTCTTGCGACAATATCATCTCTTCATGCAGGGTATACTTTGAAGGAGATACCAGTATCAGCCCCTCTGCACAATCAGATCTTCATGAAGTTATAGATTTGTCGACTTTGCAAACAAACAATAACCCCTGCCACATCTACTCCAGATAGTGTTGAACTTTCTGGTCTGCAAATTTACAAGACAGATGTGGCAAGTGTCCAACCAAATGCCATGATCACTGACATAATAGTTTTATTCTTGTTCAAGTAAGTATATTTGTCAGTGTTATCATATATATTGTAAACTTAATTTCTGTTGCTTGCAATGTATAAATAAACATGTTTATTTATGTTAATTTTGTGTTTTGTTTCAGGCAGCTACCTCAGTGTATGTATCCCATTGTGAGTACCTGATTCTACACCATTTTAAGTAGGGAACAAGATGTTGGACAAACTTCCTCAAGGTACAAAAACTTTGAACTGTATTGAATTTCATGGTTCAAGAAATTCAGCCTTTTTATACACAAATATACTACTACCATAATGGCACATAATATTCATTTTTTCATATTTTTGTCTATTTCTAATTTTTGTTAGAATGGTCCTATTAACATCTGCAGAGAAGTTTTTTAAAGGAAACCTGCTGAACAGTGACTATGTGTTCATTCCAATCAACAGAAGGTGACAGAAGCTACCTAGCTATCATCACTGTTTTATAGATAGGTGTTATAAAATATGAAATGGTTTACTACCTCCACCTTAAAAAAAACAACATGTAAGATTATTTTAATGAGAATCAAATTTATTTATTTTTTCAGTTTACATTGGTTCTTGGTTGTCTTAACCCCATGGTAAGCATATGGTTAGCACAAGAATGCAAATTAGTAAGATTTCTTTTCCTGGAAGCAGTAAGATTCCTTTTCATGGAAGGTATAATAACCACTGTGACAGTGTTATTGTCCTTTTGCCCAAATTTATAACTGTTTAATTAACATTCCTTTTCTAGGCACTTTCTGATAATGGACTCACTGACGTGGGATATTAGCATTAGGCAAGAGGAAGTACATAATATCAACAGGTATAAATCTTCTTAAATGAAAATCTTAAATATGGTCATTTTTACATCTCCTTCCTTTGATCAAATAGAGTAATACTTTTTGTGCTACATGTTAACATTTTTTTAAAATTATTAATCAGCTTCTTGGATCATCTGTGTGCAACTAATGGTATATCCACAAAAACAAGGCAGCGAACAAATCATGTGCTTAAGGTAACCTATTTGACAATGTGTTTACAATACAGAATCCTGTATATAAACTATTGCAACAACATAATGTCAAGTCTGAATTGAACAATGCAAACTGACACCACTGATTACAGAACAACTAGGAATATTTCACTGATCAAATGGCTCTCACTTTCGGGTACCACAACAATTGCCAGGGAGCAACAACTGTGGATTTCACCTGTTCATGTTTGTTGACCATTTCTTAAAGGTATATCATTGCATGTTATAATGTTAATGCAATATGATCATATTTACCATAGACCATGGCAAATCACATGAAAATGGATCAAAATCCTGGCTGTTTTAAAATGTTGAGTTTCTTGGAATTTAACAGAAGTTAAATGACATTCATGTCAATATATTATCCCATACGATATTGAGGAGTATGAAAGTGACCCCAGTGGGTATGTCAGTGCAGAACACCTGTGGTTTTCTCCACAAGATGTGGAAAGCAAGAGAACATTAACAAGGAACTATTTAGAGGCTTTATTTGTAAAGGAATAAAATGTACTTGAGTATAGAAAATTATACATTAGACATTTTTATAAAAATTTTTAGGAGATCTGTTTTCAGCTGAATATATAAAAAATAAAAATATAAAAGATTAAATGAATAACAACATTATACTGCTGATGAGCTTAAGCATAATTCAAGAGTGTACTCTTGCAGTATTGATTTACTGTTAGTATGGTCAAGTTTCATTTATTATTGATGGTTGCAAATGGTAACCAGTCAACTCGCCGACGGACCAACTCGCCGACGCCAACTCGCCCACATATAAAATCGAGTAGAGACGTCGGCGAGTTGGTCGTCAATCCAATACAACTTATTAGAAGTTAAACATACAGAAAAGTAAACGATATTTAGTAATAGATGGCTTGCAAGGTTTTTCTACATAGAATTCAGTACAATCTATTATTGCTCTAGATTGTTTAGGGATTTCTTTGTGAAGCATTTCGGTTTAGGCACCCTAATCATTTCCTCTCTAGTTGAAAAGGGTAAGAGAAAGTTCAGTTCTTTTTCTAAAAATAAAATCCATGTTATAAATATTTTGCTTCCAGTTCCTTTATCAATGCCAAATATGTCACACAGCATTTCCAAACTTGGGTTTCTTCTAAGTCTCACAAGGGTAAAGATAAATTGCTCTTTGGTTGTGAGCTTCACCATCTCTCGTCGCTTCTAAAAAGAGAAGTCAAAACTGTTAAGAAAGTGAAAGAAGAACACCACAAAAAATTGACTCAATTCTTTCTGTTAGAATGGCAATAAGTGATGTGTCACTTCAACAACATTTAACTAACTTTCAAGTACTTATCCTGGATCTTTCCTGTCTTAGTTCTTCGCGAACCCTTCCACATGTTGATGCGTTCACTTTTTATCTTAATTTCGCTGTAAATCAGCTCAAGGTAGTCCTTCTTCATGCCTAAAATACAACCAGAAATACATTATGTGAAAAAGGATGGTCTGCCTAACTCTGCTACATGTACTTTGCTTGGACGTGAATGTTGTTTACGAAATAGACCTTCTTTACGCATAAGTTTATTTGTCTACCTGTGTAATGGTAGGTTTTCTTTGAGTCCAGTACTTTTTCCATAAAGAAATTCTTCAACAGCTTGTCTCTACCTGAAGTCTGATTTGAACCGATTTCATGAGAGTCATGCATACCATACACGAAAAATTATCTGTTATAAGTTTTGTTTTCTCTAGTATTTAACTTACTTGAGTGCCACAATCTCTGATTCCAAAGTGACTTGAGACTCGATCGATTCAGTTGACTCGACGTTTCGATTTTCCGGTTCGCCATCCTCCAGCTGATCCTGCAAGACGTCGTGCTCTCCTGAACTCATCACTGGCTCTACGCTCAGATTTAAAAGGGTTGTGGCTGCTGCGTATTCTTCTGTCGATTTACCAGTTTGACGATCAAGTGCCAGAAGGGTTTTAGCCACTGATCGTTCAAGGCAAACTCTCTTGAACCTCTCTTTGTCTGCTTCTCGTTCACAAGATGCCTTCCGTTTACGATTGAGTCGCAACACCTAGGCATGGTATACATATTAATCCCAAAGACAAAATAATGATATAAAATAATGACTGAATTAACTTACCCTTTCTTTACTAGCTACAGCAGATATGGGATCAGGATCCTCCTCTGTTGGACCATTTCCACCGACAAAATGGAGACTACAAACGTAGCAGTGTCCTTCGTGCACACAAACGAGTCACCTCGATGACACGACCTTATCCACCTTTGCCTTCTCCACTTTTGTCTAACTGCCCCCGGAAAATGGAAAAACTTGACCGGGTCGCAGTTGGCGTTTCTTAGCCAAGAGTTGGGGTATCGTGAATCATTTTTGCAGGTGCCATAAGCACATCTCTTCGTCGTAACCATTATGTTTAGGTACACACTTATTAAACAATTGCAATCGTACACGTCGTGAAATCGGTTTTATTTTTAGGAATCAAGGCTTCATCGCGTTCTACAGCGATTCGTGGGCACTAATTTCCTGTTAGAAGGGGTTTATTTCACAATCTACGCACTTAACACCCTGAAAATACCTGATCAGATACATCACTGTAAGCAGAACTAGTTCGATTATTCCATGCCGCAACGCTTCCTGTAACATTCTTCGCATCTGCTTCTACGGCAACGAAATGACAACTTGCTTGATAAACGATAAATTAAATGATAAAAAAAGATGCCAATTTTGAGAAAAGAAACGTTTCTTGAAAGTGGGAAGTTATTTAGGAAAACTTGCCAGGCCGAAGTTCGGACACATGTACCGCGAGCTCGACTCAATGTCCGAACTTTCGGGGTTTGTTTACATCAAAAGTCACGTGACTCACACTACACGTGAAATCTAAAGCCCAAAAGGTGAATTGTTAGCACGTTCTGAGTGTGCGTGCAGGCTGTTTTCTTTGGCAACCGGTAATGCGTGTTTAGGCAGCGCTCAGAAGGTAAAATACACCGAAAGAATTAACTAAAGAATCTTAACACGTTAGTGTATGGCGGAAACAGAAATCGTCCACTGAATGCACTGAGCTCTGAAACTTATCTAGAGTTAGATCTACAAAAGAGCAAGATGCAGTTTTTTCGATATCAGGTAAGACGTCAATTTACTGTACACTGTAACGCAACTGAAGCTGAAAGGACTCAATGGGAAAATTTACGCGCTAGATTGACCAATATGGTGATTGATCTTGACGGGGTATTTTGATCATTGTATGATTAAATTTTTTTTTTCTAAGAGGCCAGATACGTAAAAAGTATGTGAACAGGTCTTGGAAAACTATATCTTAAAATTCAATGATGTGGAGCGACTGGTGTCACCGCACAGAATAACAAAGGACATACCGTATTTATTTAAAAGATTGAAATCCGTCTAGTCCTTTTCAAGATGGGAACGTTATAGGTCAACAAATAGCATGCAGTATAAATCAATAAAAATCGATGATAAATGATACTCTATGCCAATTGATCGATCGAAACTGGACAAAAATCAAAGTTTTATTCTGTAGTTATAGGTTCAGAAATGTTGCTTTCAGTTACAACAAAGAGTTTCTAACATTGGGTAACCTTTAACCTCCTCTATGCTAAAAGGGAAGAGGAAAGCACGACAAAAATCACTCCTTGAAATACTCCTATTTCCGCATCTTTACAGGCTTAAATTTATTAGATTTCTGTACCCAATAAGGGCACTCAAAGGATATACGATGGCATCAGCCAAACTTCTTTAACACTGGCCATGGAGACTGCTCACAATGTAACAATTACAACCAAGATATCTATTTAATTAAGATTAGATCTTCCTTAGTGTTGCTATACACTTCCTTTAAGTTAGGCAGGAGAATTTTGACTTTCATCATAGAAACCCTCTATGGCAGTAGAGCTAATCCTTTTCCAATTCTCATCATTTGTACGCTGAATTATACACTGATCTTGTAAGGAGAAGTTATCACTCAATAAACGGTCGAAACAAAAATTAGTGGAAAGGATGACTTTCATTCTCCATACAATTCAGAATGTAGCTAAGTTTGATTAAACGAGTTCCTTTAGAAAACCATTCAATCAGCCAAGAATATGTTCGACAAATATTTCCGACTCGACCAACTACAGCTAAGTTTGGTATTATCTACTGAGTTGATAATGTACATTGGCCGCCGTGAAGAGTCTCTTAAGCTGACGTTTCGAGGGCTAGCTCGTCTTCAGAGACTGCCACAGAGTTGACCTAAAACTTGCGTTGATCTTTACTGGATATCTACTAATCTGCTTAGAGAAGAGAAAATTAACTAAATCGACAGCGCACTTGAGTTTCAAGCTTATGATTAGCTTAGGAATATTCACTGGAAAAGAAATTGAACCTCTCTCTTATTTCCTAGATTCTCTGGTACGTGTTTTTGACTGCACTGATGTTGGCCACTCAAATGTAATGAGCCGAAAACCTAGTAAGTTTTACGGAAATTCACGTGTTTACTCCTTGAAATCAGCTGATGAAGTCGTTTCCTGTTGTGCCATTCTCTTTTGGGGATCTCCGTACAAATTTTTACCAGGTGGAACTTAAAATAAAGGGAAGTCCCACCATCAAACAAACGGCGAACAGAGGGAGCAGTAGAAGCTTACGAACAAAACTGAAATCAGTCCTTTCAAAACGAAAAGCTATGCAGGTGCAAGGCGCTTGTTTTTGCATTAGCTGACATCAAACGGGAGGCTCTAATTTGGCCTGTCGTAAGAATTCACCCCTATAAACAGAAGCGAGGTCTAATTTCGGTTCATTAAAAGTTGAAGAAGATGAATTGAATGAACTTGCAATCTCAACGAAAAGATTGACTATTTTAGATTATTAATTTACAAAAAATCAGTATAAAAAAATTCACCGGAGCGTTAAATTCCAGTTCAGTATATCTAACTGCATACATAACAGATTACCTTACTTGACGCACGTTACATGTTTTCTTCTTATGTTAGAATGTGACGAGAAATGCCTTGATATTCTCCGTAAAACTCGAAGAAATCCGCCCCCCAGTACTAAAGTGGAAATACACACTGGTTATTGTAAGGCAAAATATGTTTGCCGAAAAGGAACTGATATAAGAGCTTGCAGGAATGGGCAGTGGATTGGAAGCAAAGCACTCAAGTGTTCAGGTGAAGTTCGGCGGGTTGACTCACTTCGGTTTGGATAAATTACAATCATTCGATCGGACAGAATGAGTTATTACAAATCAAAATCCCTGAGCCACGTCACCATTCGACGTTCATAGGTTGAATCATAAATTGGACTTTGTTATATCGATACGAAAATATCCATTCCTAAGCAAGATCAAACGCATTTCACTATAATCCATGATTATTACTAGTTTGTGATTGACAACTTAAGAAACTGCATGTTCACATATTTTATCTTATAAATAATTTCTAACATTCTTTTATCAGCATATTGCGGCAAACCCGCGGACATTCCACACGCCACATTCTCTGGTTCCCGTTTCAGCGTCAACAATAAATTAAAGTACCGATGTGATCAAGGCTACGTACTCGATGGACCAAAAAGAAGGAAATGCGAAAAAAGCGGACAGTGGTCTCAGGCTCCTACATGTTCACCACGTAAGCTGAATTTGATAATCTTTACACACGTGTAAAGACGACAGCAATCAGGGATTACTTTGGTTTTGCTTTATTTATTCAGGTGATTGGTCCAAAAGACTCTCACCACTTCCTCGACCAATCAGATTCAAAACTAAAACCATTCGCGACTTGGACACCCGCGTTTTCCCGCGCTTCAGGCAGTTTGCTTGTTTTCACTTCGAGTTCTCCTGGTGATATCGTGCTTACTATGATTGGCTGTTGTGATTGCATTGGTTTTGGTTTTCCGACACTAATTCGAACACTGCACTTACACCAATTAATCCATGTTGACCACAATGCTTTCATTTAACGTCACTGTTCACTTAGAGTTGTGTGAGTGAAAATGCAACAACACTGATAATTAGCTTTATTTGCAAAATCAAAGGAAAGGAATGTACAACTATATACTTCCCTGCAATTGTTTAATTCCCTTGGTTGGGCTATAAGAAAATATTTCTAGTAAAATTAAGAACAAACAAGTAAATCGCCCCGATTAGTCCCAACAAAGCTCTATAAAAATGTCAGACTGACAATATGCATTGGAAGACAGTGGAGTCAACAAACATGATAGAAATAATTATGATTGGAGTAACCGATCTGAAGATGCCAAAATGGAATGGGCGAGAAGAGTACCTTACGATCCGACAAAAAAATTTTTAATTCAACGACAATGCATTCACCCTCAGGACGCGCTTTTCTTGTCTCTGGACGGTCGTCAGCGTCGGCAACAGCCATAATGAAATGGCAGAGAGAGGTCTAGGGCTCAGAATGTTTCATAACATTCCAAAGTTTATCTTTGTTCCAGCTTCTTCGCGTTTTATGGTGTTAAAAAATATACTTGTGTTCTCTTTGGTAGGATCATATGGAAAACCTGAGGACATTCCTAATGCTATCGTAAGCGGCTCAAGTTATAACTACATGGATACTTTGAATTACACTTGTTCAAAAGGTTATCAACTCGATGGGCCGGAAACGAGAACGTGTCTTCATGATGGGAAATGGTCCAGTAGTCCGACTTGTACACTACAAGTTAACTAAGGAATTACATAAGCATAACAACTGTTGCAACCACAAAATTACCAAGGAAGGTGTTATCGCACTGTTTTCAATTTGTACGGAATGGGAGGCTATTTCGCAAGCATTTTTTTGTTACCAAGGCAAAAGAGTACAACAGCCCGACCCCCGCCATTTAAAGGCCAAGGATGCTTTTACTGAATATTCAAAGGAAATAAAGAACTTGTTAATCGTACCATAGGAACATTTTTGAAGTGATTTTATATAGTATTTTGCTTTTTAATACCATATAATAATACCTTTTGTAATGTAAACATAATGATTATGATTAACTTACAGGACCCCCATTGATACCAGTGTCATTACACTGACAGGGTTATCTTGTATAAATATAAATATATATATATATATATATAATTTTTTTGTTTTTTTTGTTTTTTTTTGTCTATATAACTCTATACTTCATTATGCTTACAGTTCTTTATAAAGGAAAACAATAGCAAAACAACTGATTGGATTTGGGAACACAGCTCTGTTTAAGAATAGTATTGGGTTACATGATTGTGTATGGAGAGCTTTCCAAATCGCTCTCATAACTTCGTAATAGATCTCGCTCACCGTGGAGTCTCTGTGGCTCAGTGGTTAGAGCATCGGAGCGCGGAACCCGAAGGTCTTAGGTTCGATTCCTCTTCCGCTTTCTAACTGTATTTCATTTGTGTTTGCAGAAATCCGTTGTAGGAAGCCACGGCGTCTTGTTATGCGAAATGGAAATGTCACTACCTCTGACCCTGAATACCTGTATGGAGCAACCCTTGCGTTTGAGTGTAATGAAGGGTATGAGTTACGAGGCAGTGACTCTATGACTTGCCTAAGATTTGGTTGGAGTCCCAGGAGACCACCATACTGCGCCAGTAAGCACGTTTTGATGATTGAAATAATGTTAAAACTTACCTATGTGGTAGAAAGAGACAGGAATAGCCTATTAGTCTAAGGGCTCGCCCTCACTGCTTTGGTCTGGGTTGATTTTCACATCTGGAGTAACATTTGGGTAACATTCTGTTTGGCACTGTTTCTTTTCCTCGAAAGTGACATCTTCCCCAGGTTTATTCGCCATTGATATCAAACACAGCATGCAATATTTGAGGAACACAATCTGTTGCCTAGCAGAGTAAGACCCTAGTGCTAGAGATCAATTAACTTAACTGCAAAGGGTAGTGTGGGTGCGACAGCCTATACACTGAAACAGTTAAGACTTACTGATCAGGGGTGTGTTTTCTATGGTAGTTACCAATTGTTTTCAAGGTTGATCATTGTATTATTATCCTTCATTCCCAAATACCCCAATCGGATAAAACAACAGGCTTTGGAAAACGAGAATCCACATGAATGTGCAACTGATAACATTTCATGGTGTTATCAATTTTTGAAATTATAATTATTGATATTATTTTCTTAACCATAACCAATGCTTCTTTGTAGTAAAATCTTGTCCAGATCCTGGGAGACCAGAGAATGGTGATCGTTATTATCAAGATCGATATTTTAGAGTTGGTAGTACAATACGGTTTTCCTGCCAGTCTGGTTTCCAATTGTCTGGCTCAAAGGAAAGGACTTGCATGGAGAATAAAGAGTGGACGTTATTGGTACCCCAATAAGTGGACGTAAATACGGCAGCGGATACAACAAAGGAGACATTGTGTCATTCGAATGTAAACGCGGGTTTGTTCTTAAGGGTTCTGCAGTGAGAAAATGCTTAGATAGCGGAGCTTGGAATGGCACCGACGCAATTTGTCGAGGTAAGGCTGCACAGTAGTTGCACAGTGGTTGCATTGCTGTATCGGAAGCCTCAGTATATGACAAACGAAATCATTCTAAAGCATCACTTGCTATGGACTCTGATGAAGAGCAGTCTCCTCAGTTTTCCCTCTATCAATTTGTTTTTACAGACGAGTTCGAAGATCGTTTAAAAGGTGTTAACGTCACTGCCTACAATCTTCGCAAAAACCTGCTTGATCCTTTATCAGAGTACACATGTAACAGTGATAACAGCACTGGATGCAACAGGACAAGTATTCGTGGTATGGATTTCAGAGGCAGAGCCATTAATTTGAACTCAAGGGGTGGCTTAGATCTCGTGTTCGTCATCGATGCGTCTAGCAGTGTGAGAAAGCTGACTGATTTCAAAAATGGTTTGGAGTTTGCAAAAGAGCTGGTTAGAACCATCGGGACCAGCCAAAGGTACGATTAATTTTTAAGAGACAGGGTTCTTTTACATTTGTTCAACATGTTAATAATTTAGAGGATAAGTATATCGCTAATTGAGGCACTCAGCACATGGAGAGCGTCGCTTACAAACCAAATCATATTTCTTGTTTTATTAAGTCCATACCGCAAGTAAATGGTTCGTGACTTAGGTAAATCAGAAGAGTGAATCTCCTCATTTCTCCCTACTCTTTTGCTTGTTGTAGCCGATTAGAAAATGTCTACATCATAACTTTTAACGTTAAGATCACAAGACTTAATGGAGAGAGCTGCTAGAGATTAAGTTTACTACAATTAGAGCTATACGCGCAATAAATGTTACAACGTGGGCCCCACTTCTAATGCTAATGAGCACAAACTCGAGTAAACTGTTCGTTGTCAAGTTTTGTCATGGTTACTAAGATAGCTTAAATTGGGTCCTAACTGACCCAATAGTAATCATCGCGGCCATTGTCATCAGCAGCGTTAAGATCAAGACATTTATCTTACCTTCAGTTTTTTAACCTCTTAGAAAAGATGGAACGCGAGTAGCCGCCGTGACCTTTGGGACGGATGTGAAAGTTGAATTTAACTTAGGAGATGCTAAAGTCGACACAATGGAAAAAGCAATCAAAGCCATTGATGAGATAATCTACATCGGGGGGGCTACAGCGTCGGCACTTGCGTTACAAGAGGTCAGAGATGTCGTGGTGCCGCTAGCTCGTCCCGACAGTCACCGCGTGTTGATGTTCATCACAGACGGAATGTCTAACATAGGGGGTCCACCTAAAAAGTTAGCGAAGTATCTTCGTGAACAAGAAAACTTTGAGATCTATGCAATAGGTAAAGTAGCTTGGCAGCGATTTAAAACAGTGTTACTAGAAGATTTTGAGAACGTCAAGCGTATAAAACTTCCTAACGGACACTCTTGGGAAGATTTTTTACTCGATCCTTATTTTGACTTAAACATAAACGCTCATTCCCTGAAATGGGACGCAAACACTTTGGAAGAGTGCACTTTCCACTTCTGTATATAATGTCTGTGTTTTTGTTTTAATTTGCTTCTAACTCTTATCAATGGGTTTTCCATTTTACCTTCAGATTTGTTGTTGACGTTGTTCGCTAGTTTGATGTTTCCAGCTATTGTCTCCTCTTGTCCCATGTAATTGCACAGTACTACAGTTGCTACTTCCTGTTGCAATGATCATTTTTGTTAGGGGTCCTCATTTCTGAAGTTGAGCTACAATCTAAAAGGGGGAAACATCGCTGAGCAAGGCATGGAGCGCTATCCCCAAACGACGCCGAGTATTTTAAAACATGGTTTTTTATTTCATAACGATTATTTTTTCAAGAATTGTTTTAAACTTCATCAGTATTTTACATTTTTCGCACAATCACTTAACATATTGCCCCTTTAGGAGTTGGAAAGAAAGTTCGTATCCGCGAACTGATGGATATAGCCTCACCTGAAGCGGGCGATAATCATGTGATCCATGTCAAAGACTACGACAATCTTCAGAAAGCCATCAAGAGAGCGACTTACGTCAAGATCGGTATGTCGTAAATTGGTAAAATCAGCTTAAACCCCATTGCTTATGATTTCTCTTATATTTTGCTGTCGATTATGAATTGAGACTCTTTTATTCGAAATGGTTTCATTTCAGGGGAGACATACTAGAACAGTTGAGTGTTAATTAGCAGCTAGATCGACCGGCCTATTCCACAAAGTATCACGATAAAATACAGAATAGAAACTAAATGAAAAGAGGGAATAAAAGTGAATTGCAATAAACTGGTCTTCTTTAAAGTGATCATGACTTTATGTATGTTTCTTGCTCACAGACTATACACCCTGTGGTGTAAGTCCTGTTGACCTGAGAGCGAGAATGGTCGGGGGCACGAATTCAAAAAGAGGCTGGTGGCCCTGGCAGATTGGACTGCGCAGGGCCAACTCAAAAGGTAATTTGAATGGAAAATTTGCGTTTCTAGCTCATTCATTGAATGCTGTTTATACGAGGAAAGCATGACTAACATTTTCTTTCCATCATTCGGCAAATCATTCACATAATGCACATGACTGTCTCTCGCCTTTCCGTACATCTAAGGAGGTTCGGAAAGCCGCAAAACTCCAGACATAAAAATAATCTTTAAAATCTCTCTTCATACCCACGATATCAACGAACGATTCTCATTCAACTGTTATTTTTTGTTTGTTTGTCTGTTTTTTTTTTAACGTTACTATGTTCCCAAAAATACAAACTAGCTCCATTTTTCTGTATGCAATCCCTATACAACCCACAGTTCCTCTATTTGCTCTGACGAGGGGCCGAGCTCGAAAAGTTACTTAAAATGCACTTGTCAAAAGCCTGAACTTTTTTCGGGCATAATTTTCCATGAGTAGTTCTTTTTAACAAGAAATTATTGGTAGAGATTAATAATTATTGTTTTTTTATCTGTTTACTTTCTCTTTTTTTTTGAAGGGGAACTTGTGCTTATCTGTGGTGGTGCTCTGATTTCTCGTCGCTGGGTTCTGACGGCTGCACATTGTTTTTACCACAGAGATTTTCGAGGGGCTCGTGTTCTCAACGATTTGTCCAATACGTAAGCACTGACTCCAATAATCCTCTTTACGTTTGAAGTCTAAAGAAACATTTTATATCTACGGATATAATGTTTTTCATTGTTGTACTTGAAAGTTCACATTTAAAGGCAGAGAAAATTCGGCCAAAAAAAAAAAGGTTTCGAGTTTCTGAAATCATTCACAGGGCTTAACTCTTGAAAACTCCCAAAACCAGTCTTTCCTTAGTAGGTGAAGCAAACCTGGCTTATTTTCTCTACGACTATTACTCTTTATCTCGCAGGTACCGCGTGACAGTGGGTGACCACCACTTGGGGAGGGTTGAAAAATCTCAGATTGACGTGGAAGTGATGAAGATATTTGTTCATCAAGATTATGATGATGGGAAAATCACAAATGACATTGCTCTGGTCAAACTCGACAAGGACGTGGAACTTGGCCCCTTTGTACGGACATTGTGTATTCCGGACAAGGATAAAGGAGATTTGGCAATCGTTAAAAAGTACGGCATAGCAACAGGATGGGGTGTAACGCAAGCCTTGAAACCCTTACAAGTCCCCAAAGAACACAAACGCTACTCAGACCGTCTTCAATACTCAGCCTTCGCAATTCAAAGCGACCAGCTGTGCGCTAACAAATCAGCGGGATACTTTTTTAACTCCACAGTGACGTTTTGTGCCGGGGATGGAAAGGGAGGAAATGACACTTGCAAAGGTGACAGTGGAGGAGCTTTCGTCCGTGAGGCAAAAAGAGGAGACGACTTCCGTTGGGTGGCTACTGGGCTGATCAGCTGTGGAGAGGGCTGCGCACAAAAGGATAAGTATGGATACTATACCAGGGTGTACTCATTTATTGACTGGATAAAGAAAACTATGGAAGACAACTCATAGGAAAATGACTAAACTTATTCAATACATGTTGGAGTATCTTTTTACTGATTAGTAGTGCCAAGAGTGTCTGTTCTCCTGTGAAAATCGTTGCTTTACTATTCTCAAAGTTACCTTGATGTCTGATTGGGGTTTTTTTTGCCTAGAAAGGCCGTGCTTTTGTAGATTAATGTGCAGATTGATAGTTTAGCTTTTTCCTTTTTTTTTCGTTTTGTAGTCAAATAAAATCGCCGATGAACTTAAGATGGTTTCTTTCATCCTTTCTTAAAGTAGATGTAATCATGACAGAATCAAATAGACATCTTTAAAGGAGGATATTTAAGTCCTTTTCCTTTGGGGTCATTACTGCCTGAGCTGTCTCTGCTTTACCTCTGATTTAAAGTGGCCATTTACCGAATGGAACATTTGTATATCGCGATGGGTCAACTCCTTTGCCACAAGTCTTCGACAGGCGATAACTGAAGATAATTTCGTATCAAAATTTGTCACCTTCGGTTTCGTCAGAAAGGAATTTTGTTTCAAGATCATCGATTAGATAGGACGTTTCCGCGTCGTTACTTATGAAGCATGAGAGAGTAACATGCTGCTGGTACGTTTTCGCGTATTCTCGTTAGTGCATTTCGAATACCATTATCATTCCAACAAGTTGATATTGTTCAGTCGTTCCTTTTGTCAAAACATGCTGTTTTGCAATATGACCATGGGTATCCATACCGCGGGAATTTCGATTTCTCTGTTTCTGTCTACATAGTTTTAATGACGTTTTGTGTCAATAGCTCCCAACAACCTGAGCGTGTAACGATAAGGGCCTGTGTTTACGATTAGTAACTTAGCTTGGTTTCAAAAACAAAGAACATCTCCCTATTAAGAAGGTGATCTGAAACCACTAGGTGCATAGATATTAGCAAATCGTTTCCCCTTTCATATTGTTTCACTCAGTTCTTATATCACTGTCCTTTTTTCTCCGAGTTATACTTTGCTGCGTTCGCATGGAATCCTACAGTAAGGGCCGCCCTCCTGTGAGCTGAGCATTCATTATTTTTTCGCCGGTTGCTGTGATACCTATGAAACCTATGATAACTATGTGGAAACATTTTTCTCTCAAAAGTATGATTTGCTTCAGTTTTCTTCCACCATTTGTTTGCAGCCATTCAGAGAGTCCTTCGTTAATAGGGAACTTTTCTCGTTCAGACCAAATTTTTTTTCCTAAATCAGTGTTGTTGTTGAAAGTGCAAATTAATGAACAAGTTTGGTTTGGGTGCACCACTCTTAACCCATTAAAGTGCCTGTGATACGAAATTTTTTTTTTTTGCGTAAATATTTAGCTTATCATATGTACCAACCAATTCCGGTAGAAAAAAAATTTCAAAAAACTTAAAAATCGGTTTTTTCGTGCCCTAATGTACTCTTATTTTGTTGTAAAAGTGTCTCCTGGACTGGTAATGAATTAGCGGGTGATGACGTAGAAAACTGTGAAACTCTCTGTTCACACCTACAAATCTCTCGCATCTCTCGTAATTTTGTATCAGTCAGCGTTGAAATACTCTCAAATAATGTCCGATGGCGATGTATACCTACCTTCAGCAAGCTCTACCGAGAGTTGTGATACATCATACTCGAGTAGTAGAGAAGAAATGGTAGTTGCTAGTACGGTTCAGCCCTACGAAGGAGAACTGCGTGCATCAAACGAGGATTTCGACTAAGACTGACAAAGACGGTTTCTCGCTTGCGGTGTTTTGGTTAAGATTAGAACAAAAAATTCCCGTTACTGAATGTTATTCTGATGCGTTTTTGTTTTGCTTTCTAATGCGAAATCTATGGGTAGCTGTGTTCGTTTCTATTGCTTTAACATTTCATTCCTTCGCATTGTGTGCGGCGAAGGTTCCCCTCAGTCAGTGCTCTAGAGTTTCGTTGCTGTAGAGAATTTCCCTTGGTAAACCAAATGCTAATTTTTGACGAAAGAATCAGCTGTACGAGGCACGATGATTTTTCAGTGAGAAGTCATCGGGCAGTTTCGAAAGGAATATTTCGTACGCATTCACTACCATCTAATTCAATAAATTTGTGTTTCTTTATTATCTCGTTGTAGTGCTGTTATCACAATGATATTGTTACTGTTGCTACTTTTAGTTTCTTGAGGGCATGGAGGGATTGATGGCTCGTAGGATGGATTTTCGGAAACTTAAGTTAGGAGAACACACGGCTCCTTGGAGCTTGTGTATATGCCAGTATCGGCCTCCAGAGGGTTCCCACTGTTCACGCAACAGGACACCGGTAAGCTCAGTAAAGGGTTTGAACTTCATTACAAATGATGTATTTCTGTCATCAAAATTCGATGGAAATTAAAATTGGTAGGATTTTCATACAATAAGAAAAGCGCAAATGTGGTCATGTGGAAAGACAAGGAGTGCGAATACATCTCAAGCGCATAAAATGAACAACAATAAGGAGCTCACCATCCTTAGCTTGCAAAATGTCAGCCGAAAAGAATGTTGAACAATTGTGTTCGGTGTGGGAATAGACCCCTAATCAGTATTATTTTCAGCTGAATTCACTGGTTACCCTGATTTGACTAGTGATATGAGTTTGTAACAGCCGTCTTAGAAGCCGGTACGGAGCATGAGACCAATGATCATTGAAGAGTAAAATATCCTCGATGTCGACGATTGAAACGCGTCCATTTGGGCCATACAGCTACATCCTTTGGAACGTAGTGTATGGAAATACCCGGCATATGTATATTATTCTTGTAGCTAACATCATTTGGCGCTCCGGCCACGAAATACGTTATTCGTCATTTTTTCTAAATTTCCTTTCTCCACCATATATAGTTGCCGGCGTGTCTTCGCAGTTTTCTATGTCACAGGTATGTAACATGATCGTTTTGGCCGCGCGCTTAATGGGGACACTTTTTGGCCCCCAAATCGTACTTTCAATGCACAAAAAAATGGTCAAGGAGAACCGCTGGGCGCTAAGGTCGATTATTTCTAACTTTAAAACTACCATCAATGCGATCCCTTATTAAAGAAGCTTGATTGTCAAATAAATTCTCCTTACCAAAACCTTAGAAAATGTATAGAGATCAGTATAGAGAATATGCATATTGATGTTAGTGTGTAAAGGGTTAGTCCAACCTTAACACACCATTTGCGTCCACAAATAGATACAAAAAAAGAAATCTTGATGCTTCGGAAACACGTTTTAAATGATTTTTATTACGCACGTAAAATATCATAGATACATCGACTTGTTCTGATGGCTAAAAACATATTCGGTTTAAATTTGATTACAATTTGTTGTCCTGTGTTAATTGACTGGTAGTCCCAGCAGAATATGAATACGCATAAAAATTGAAAAAGTTGAGGATGGAGGTTCGACATGTTCTTTTACTATGATTACAATAATTGCACTAGTTGTAAATTTAAAAAAATAAGCACCCCCGTTAACTTAGCATGTCCTAGGTTTATCTCTTTTCTTAGAATACTATACTTTACGTTATACAATTTATTAGAAGTCGGTGGAAAGGGAGATTTTCTTCAGAACGGTCTAACATCCCCCCCTTAGGGACCGGTCACTCTTTATGGCCTAAAGGGGGGGCGAAGGGGAGAGGCTGTAGAATTTTGGTTGAGTCATAACGAAATTTACCTTCCTTCTTTCTATACACAATTAAGAAACGACAAATGTATAAGTGTCGGCTGAACTGTAGCTGGTACAAAAATTTCAACAAGCGCCATACCGACACGCGTGTGTTCATGTTAACAGGAAACTATTTACATCCTCTGCCACTGTCACTTACGGATAAGTTCCACCGAATGTAAATGCAATTATCTCCTTATAAGGCACGCTCAGTAATATTTTAAGATGGCTCCTCGTAGGCAGTTAATTAGCAATCAATTTTCTAGAGTTCCTCCTTTATATTATGATGGTGACGACTGATCTCCCCTCCGTTCCCCCCCTCCCCCCGAAAACCATGTGTTCCCTTCAAAATTCTTCACCCCAGGCGATGACAAATAACTGTTCGTATTTTAGGTCATCACATGATTTTCACACAGTTCTTTTCTAAAGACTCGCACGTTCTCTAACTTGCTCTGCCATTCTTCACCGTCAGTTTCAATAGCACATTGAATTGAACTACATACTCGTTTTATTTTTCCCTCTCTTAAGTTCCCTCTCGGATCTTCCCCAACTACTGCAGTTCCTTCAGGTATTTCGTCCAAGTTTGGCTTCTCATCAAGAAGTACTTCATCCTTGCTTTTGTATAAATATTTGTCTCCATAAAGAACTTCCCACAGCGAATGGAGTGCGATAGAAACGAAACGCCCTTTTAAATAACTCTTTCCTTCCCTGAAGAGGACTGCGGAGCCTGACATAATGCAACCTAAGAGTGATAAATACATAGTACATGATTCGAAATAACGACTCATACAAATATTTACTGTATGCAAATGGGAGATACTGAAGCTGAGCCAGTAGTTCCTAGTACCCTGAGAGCTTTCTTATCAGAGGATATCATACGTCACACAACAATCGATGCTGTTAGGCTTCGATGAAAGGGTGCATGGTTTCTACATTAATTCAAATACGCTCTATTTCAAAATAGTATGGATGCTGATCTAGATAGAGAGAACAAGAATATCAAGTTATCTAGGATATAAATTCTTACCTCGAAAAACTGCAGACTTACAACCAAACACTCTTGGAGTTCTTGACATTGAAAAGTTATAACCCTTTCGAAAAATAAGCCAAATTTGCAAAGACTGAGTGATAACTGGTCGAGAAAGTTTCAATTTTTCCTCTTCCTCACCGACACGTGGCTGAAACAAAATCAAATTTTATTTGTAAAAGAAAATTGTGACTATGCTTTTCGAAATCAATTTTTCATGTGTCGCTGAATCAATCTTTATTCCAGTTCTCAAAACTGGTGCGACATTGGATGCAAGCAGTTTGTGTCTAAGAATCAGAAATTAGACAGAAACAGCAACTCCGTCTCTTTCTATGGTCAGCGGTTGAATCAAAGTTTATATTTCGATGCCTTATCAAAGAAGCCAATATGACTCATAACCAAGGGAAACCAACAATGATGATGTGAATATAATCATTGAAATTAGGATCTGTAAGCAATTTGTTACCTTAAAATGATTAATTTGTACCAATTTGTTGGAAATACGTGCTCTTATTTGAATCTGTTCATAGTCACTTCTGATATCCTCCAGGTGGACACTTGCCGCTGTAATAACGTTTCCCTTTCTGAGGTGTATCTCAATTGAAAGAGTATTCAGTGTACTGTGTATGGATCCAATGGAGCGCCTGTGGATATCCAGGGCCTCGTTGCACTCTAAACGTGGAAAAAAAATGTATGGTATCACGGCACCTTTAAATTTGACCGTATGAGTTTCCAGCGCGCAGGTGCAGTTTCAATTAAGTCAATGACTATCAACAGGGATAAACTAATCTATCTTATTTTTCATAACGCTGGTGGAGGACGGAGAGTGGAGGAAGGGGTGGTTGAACCAGCAATTTTTCCCAGCTCTATCTACCGAAAACAGATCTACCGGTGTCTATACCAGATCATGCAAGACATTCTTGAACTGAATCAGCCTTTTCTCTGGTCAGCATAATCATGTTGTTCGATTACGTGCGACCGCAAAATCGTATGTTTGTTTCAAATACTATTGTTTTTGTTACAAATAAATAAAAAACCAAACAACATGAACATCAAGGGGCTAAAAATCTTAGACAGCAACGATAGAAACACAGCTGTTTATTATCGAGCCACCGATGTTCTAAATATTTACTTTTTTTTTATTCCCCTGTAACAGGGTCGAAATTTTTTACCATTCTATTAAAAGATTGGTCAAATTTTTCAATGGTCAAAGATAGAGCAAAAAAACAATGAACGAGCTAAGAATGGGATTCCGAGCGTGAACTAAGCAAGTTTCTCTTCTCGTTGCTCTGACATGTATATATCAACAATGTCTTAAACAAAGAACTGTTCCTCCACTCCAGCGCTAGTATAGTCGATCGCTTTACGTTTACTGATACTTCAACTATCAGCATTGATACTTACTGATACTTCAACTATTCGCATCGTTCGATGAAAAAAATAGAAAACAGTTCTTACTTAGCAAGCACTTGAAATTCACTGCTGTCCAAGTGTTCCCATTGCATTTTATTATTGGTAGCCCAGTGAGGTACAAGCCTTGTTTACAACCAAAGACAACCACGCTGCCATTTTTGTGGTTTCCTCGCTGTGCAGGATAAATGATGGTCGAACCGTAAGGAGAAATTGGAGGCTGACATGAAGATCCTTCAAAATAAGGTCAACACAAATGACGCAATAGTATATAAGGCCAGGTGATTCATCATGGCGCGTCACGGGCAGAAAAACTATTGATGTGCCCCACATAATATACCATAATGACGTGTGCCTGTAATGAAATTAGAGCCCTCTCTAACATGTTGTGGCCATGGAGTGCATGGAGTGCCTGCCATTCTGGTAACTTTATATTTTTCTCAACCAGAAACATGAGGTCTCTCAGCGTCGCAAACAGACGTAATTAACTGGGTTAGTATGGCAACCGTAGCGTGAGGCATTTATCAATTAAAGAAAATATATTTTTTAATTATTTCAAACGTTGAAAAGTCGCCGCATTTGCAACATGAGTTAATTGCGTAGTATTACATTGTGTCTCAACGCCCTAGATTCACGTATGATTTATATTTAACTCTCAGAAGTCATAAACTTGTAACTTCTCCCTGCATCGGCCGTTTTAGAGCATACCCACGATACCGGACACCGCCCGCTGAGCGAACCTGATCCAAAGATCCACCAAACACAGTCGTGGAATTCCATCCAGTCCCAGCTGAGCACAACAGTTTATGGGTGGAGCATACTCAATTGACCTTATCGTCTGAAGAAGATTAGCAGTGTGCTGTTGAAACGTCGTAATCTTCATCTGCAGTGTCCGCATTGTGAGGCAAATGATTATACTTTTCTTTCGAAATGTCTACTCGTTATCCAGCAAACAGGTTGTGAGAATGCTCAAGCTAATCTGGTAGAAGATGATATCTTGATCAAACACCAAATTCTTGAAACTCAATTACACGGAAATGTTTTCTTTCGTTTGTAACCACCCGCGTAAAGTACACTATATTTGCTACTCCGTTTGTACGCTGAATTTTGCCATATTTCGAGTGCTAAATAAACAAATCGCTGTTTACATTTTCAAATCATTTCTCGGATTTCTTCGACAATTTTTACAAACAGATATGGCAAAATTCAGCGTACAAACGGAGTAGCAAATATAGTGAACTTTACTCGGGTGGTTACAAACGAAAGAAAGTTTTGTTGGAGATAAAATATAGTTGCAAAGATACTCCAAGGGATGAAAAACAACGTATAAAAAAATTAATCTAAGATAAATTTTCGTTGTCTTGTACGAGCGTTGTGAAAATGCACTAAAAGCCAGATATAAATTATGCAAATTTGGTACGCTTTGGCCGATTTCGAACTTTCTTATTTTTTGCCAAAATAAAAACTCGCTGGAACTTTTGAAAATTATTTTTGAAAACAGTTCACCAAAAGGGTATTTTGGAGCAAATAAAAAAAAAAAAGTTGAATTGTTGCTTCTGTCGCCGGACTCTTGAAAATTACTGACAACCTCTCTTAAAGGGTTTATGGGTGCAGACAGTGCACTTTGAAGGCTCTTTTTAATTTATGTCTGGAGCTTTTCATTTCTCTCAAACCCGCGACAAAGCAACATTTTCCAAGCTTGAAGGATCGTGAAACATTCGCAATTTTTTTTGAGGGTTCGTGATACATACATCTTATATAATACTAGCACTAACTTGCTAGCTTTTAAAAGATGTTTTAAGTAAATTTCACATTTCCTCTCGAACTTGAGAGTATAAAAAGAAGGGTATGTTAGATCAGCCCCCTTGATACAATCCGGTAAACCAAAGAACAAAAATCAAATATAAGAAGCTAATTATATAAAACTCTAAGAACCTCATTATATTCTTTCCACTTTCCATTTTCCAGAAACCTGACTTCATATTTTGTCGCCCATGCCCGATCAGAAGAACTTCCTTGGGTTATTATTTCAGTAATAATCTTTGGTTCTTCCAGCTGGATTTGTACATATGGCAATTTGTCACATAGCGCAGAGCACCAGGCCTTTGAGCCGTCCAAACGTGCAAAGTGAGGGGAGTTGTCTGTACTTTTTGAAGATGATGCTGTAATTCTCTCGTTTGCAATTCGTTTATTTTGCATTCCAAGCTCATCGCTGCAACTCTCTGCAAAAAAAGGTCGATGAATAAAAGAATTTGGCTCGACTCTGGTTTGTTGTAGTCAGTAGCTGAGGAACACTTTTCAATTTAACGTTCTCCAACATAAACGCTGCGTGTATCTTTTACCTCAGCTATTTTCCCATCTTCTTGCAATCAGCGCATGCTTTGGTCGTTAAGAAATTAGAAATGCAGAAATTTTAGCTGAGGAAGGGGGGAATAGTAAAATATAATATTATGAGAAAGGTTTTTAAATTTAATAGGGCCACTGAGTTAATGATTTACATTGAGGGAGACATTGGTGGAGACTTGGTGTACAAAAATAGCTTCATGATATCATCCCAGTATCTCTTCATAAAGGCCGCATAATGCATTATACAAATTAAAGGGAATGTGACGAGACTTTGCAGCAAAGTGCTTTGACCATCGTTAGAAAAAATGACTTTCACGCAAATGTTTCCGACTGAAAAGGGGAGATAATATCCAGGATGACTGACTTTCTACACCATGTAAAATAGGAGTTTGGTTCCTTTACAAGAATACCGTATTCGGTCACCGTCGGTGGAAGTTTTGAATAGGTATGTCATTTAAAGCGAGTGTATTTCGTTATTAGCTCGCATTGAGTTTTTTTAGCGTGCGTAAACTTCTCTGAAATGTTCTTATTTTGATAATCTCGCTAATGTCAGACTAGGCAGTAATGTGAGCCGAAAATCTTAATCGTGTTCAACTGTTGGCGCAACTACCATAAAAGCTCATAACTTCGCTTTTCGTGTCAACCGATTTTTAATCCGTGTTCATCGCAAGCTTATTATATACTTAACATAAAATAAAGCTTTTTTAAGAGTAAAGTTTAAGTCGTTACATAGTAAAACAAGCCGCCTTTTTTGTTGCCCCGCTACTTACCATTAGATCCGAAATAGGATAAAACCACTAAATAGTAAACAATACAAGCAGCACAGTAAATAGTTTGAACCCGGGGGTGACATGTAATAGTGTAGTTTGATTACTTGACACTGTTACGACTATTGCCGACAAACGAGCCAACAAAGCAACTGAACGTGCCCGTACTGGACATCAACAGAAACTGACACGACTTCTAAGCAACAAAGAACAGCGACGAAGTAAACCGGACGACAACTAGGTAAGGAATATCTCTTCCCGTCTCTTAGACAAGAATGAAACTCGCGTACTGTCATACGGACTGAAACACTCAGTTACACCGAAACGAACACCGACCAAGGCTATTGTGTCTACTGTTGAGGCGGCTCTGGCTCGGTAACGAGAGCTATCTGAGTCTAGTAAGGATAACATCGGAAGTAGAATTGCTTCCACTATACAATCAGCGTCACTACATGGCAGCAAATTGACTAAAGCCGAACAACATCCTCTTAAACGACTGAAAAACGACGAGGACATAGTTATTCTACCAGCCGACAAACAACGAGTTGCTGTTGTCATGGACAAGACTGCCTATCACAACAAAATAGACGCACCAGTTAACGACAAACAAACCTACAAAGAGCTCAAACGTGACCCAACTCCTACGCTTCAACGCAAACTCAGCATCACATTACTGACGCTCAAGAAGACAAACGCCATTGACACCCAACGCTACTACCGACTAAGGTGCTCAGTACGACAGCCACCGAAACTTTACGGTCTGACGAAACTACACAAACCTCAGTGGTTTCCCAATGCGACCTACTGTTTCTTTCTGTGGTTTTCCGACATACCAACTGTCCAAGTACCTGACGACAATACTACAACCGCTCACCGACAAATCCAGACGTAACCTACAATCCACCGAGGACTTCATTAACGCCTCTAAGACTGTAGAGATACCTGACGACTACGAGCAGAAATTGTAGCAGAAGTTGTGATGCAGAACATTAAAGAAAGCGCCCTTTCGACTTGCCGTCAAACAATACCGCTCTGGTTACGCTGCGTTGACGATACTTTCACCGCCGTACGACACGACTGAATTGACGCATTCCACCACCACCCTTGACAAATCATCCTACAACCCGACATCACACAAAGCCACATCTCTCAGGACTCTTACGCGACGAGCGCAACTAGTATGTAACACGACAGACAGCTTATCCGACGAGAACAAGTACCTTGAAAACAACTACAACGAAGACTTCATCCAATGTAACACTCACCGACCTGCTACTACAACCGAAGCTAACGACAACGCAACTCCTTCGACTACAGCAACTATACCGTACACAAAGGGCATATCTGAGAAAATCTCGCACATCCTACAACCATTCAATAACTGCGTCGCTCACAAACCTTATACCATACTACGTCAATTACTGACTAACGTCAAAGACAAAGACGACCCGAGAAACAGAAAGGGAGAAGTGTATAAGATCAGTTGCTCCGACTGCCGCGCCTCCTACATCGGTGAGACCGGCAAAAACCTCACAACTAGATTGACTGAGCACAAACGAGCGAAGAGGAAACGCGATGTCAACAATCACATTGCTGAATATCACCGACTTACGAACCACACTATTGACTGGGACTCTGCGCAATGCCTAACCTACAGCACCAACTACTTTCAACGAATAACCCTGGAAAGCTGGTTTACCAACTTGGAACAGACTCAGCAGGTATCAACCACTACCGGCACCATACAAAAGACTCATCTACGACATTAACATTACAAACGAACCGAACAGAACGACATAACTTCACTAGCGGATCGAGACCGACCGACCTAAGCTACTTGAGTCTTACAGCCAATAACATCACGGCAAAACTGACCATTCGACTGACAACAACTATTCACTTGAATCTGAAGATGACTTCCGCTCAGGTTGTCAAAACGTCAGTCACCACTACCGACAACAGTCCTTCTCAGGACTACACTCACCCGGTCGATCAAACTACACTATTACAATACAAACAGCATACAAATTCATTTCCTTTAACTTTCTCGTAAATGAGTTAATCTATTTCGTAAGGCACTCATGGAGTAAAATATGTCGTCTTCACTAAAACGATTCGCATTGAATGAGGAACTTGGATGTGGGCATTATTTTGATCCACTGTAACATTTACTCCCTCTGAAGCTGAACATTTAAAACTAGTCAGATGCTAACCTTCAGTGCGTTTGTCTGAAAACTTGCCGAAATTTACTCATTTATTATAACGACTTCCCTTAATCCTTTTGCTCCACAGGCGTGCAAAGCTGGATTAGACACGTCCGAGTAAAAGATACACAAAACTTACACTCATCAAGGAAAACCGGTAACTGCTTTTATGAACTGAATTTTTGCCAATTAAAATGGGGTTATACAATGAACTAAGTAAACCATGCAAAGTCGAGGTCGAGGTCAGGAAAATCAAACACGTACAGAAACACATCTGGCTATCTCGCAAAAAGGAGTAGGAGTCGTAATCCAAACAATTATTTATAGGGATTTAAAGGTAGCGACTTCATAAAATAGGCTGTAAAAAGGTTCCAAACAGGTTTGCTGTTTTGGGGGATCCAAGAGTTTCAAACGATTGCCATACGGAATGGCTCCGAGGAAGTTTCTGCGAGATGCCTGAGTGCTTTATTTTGACTTGGTGAGAATCGACTGAACGCCATCGCTTTTCGAGACAATTTCAATTTATTTAGATGAAAAGAATGCTGAAAGCCGACATATGACATCCTCTTTCGTTTTGATAGAACCGGATTGTTTATCTTCCAGACTGAGTGCTAAGGGAAGCTTATTGAGAATAACGGATATGAGAGGTCACTTTTATTTAGATACATGTTTAATCGAGAATTTGTCCCTCGTACCCGCTTTGTCAAAAGCTGGTATGATGCAGTCGTTATTTTGTCGTATTCACCATATGTGACGATCACAAACGAAAATGTAAAGGACGCTGAAACCATCCCACACGTTTCATGAGGAAGCCCGTAAAATTTAATCTTCTTACTGAAATAGGTTGCTCAAATTGAGATAAGGATGTGGAAAGACAGCCTTTTAAATGCAATATACTTCAAGTTCCTTTCACATTGTAATTGAACAAAAGAATATTAATCTCAAAGGGGCAGCATCTCCAGCAGCGTTCAGTGTCACGAATTCTTACCATTTGGCTTATATCAATTTGACTGATTCACATCGAAAAGCAAATTCGTCTCTTACAGTATGTAATTTAATACGCCGTACTGTTTACCTTTATCAAGAGAAGGAAAACAAACAAGCGATTCAGTGAAATACCCACTTCCTGCATTTCTACCCGTAAATAATAAGATACAACGACTTCTCTTCTCAGAGAGTTAACAAGATACCAACTGGTTAATTTAGCTTCCTAGTTTGCTTTGTAATTTCTCGTCCGATTTCATTGTTAAATTCAAACATGATGTAGTATGTTTCAAACCTTATATAATTGAATTATTTAATGAGCTTACAGAACAAAATGTTTCCAAAATTGTTCACCACTCATTTGCACTTTATTCTGCCGATTGATTTAACAATATATTTAAGTTTAAAACACGTGCTCCTATCGGTGTATGCTTCTGTTCTAATCTACTGATTAAAAGAGTCCCATGGTACTTACTATTCATAGAACAACCAGACGACGTTCCTACACGGTATCCGCGGGTTTCAGTGTGGTGAAAGACAAATATGGAACCAGAAACACATCCCTTAAGCCCTTTGCCAAAAACTATGTTTGGTGGCGACTGAAACGGTCGTCTTAAGAATGCCGCGCGAAACCTTACTGGAGGAACTTTGTCTACACGGTATGAAACACGAGAAAAGATGACGCCGATCCAAAGAAAGTGCCTCTTGCCATCGCAGACTTCTCCTTTTAATGACACAGAATGGTTCTTACCGTAAAAGGTACTGTATGACATTCGAATAGGGCCTATGCCGGGAAGCGCGATATGCAAGAAATGATTGGTGTCCTCACTCGTTATCTCCACCAATTGCCCCCTGCAAGTTTCAGTGGAGAATCTTAGTTGAATCTGAAAGCCCTTTGGTCTACGGTAAACTGGTAATCGTTGAGTTTTCTTGCTGCCATAGTATTGGAAGATGCCCTCCAAATCTGAAAAATAAATACAATTCATTGCAGCCGAGTGTTTCTGAAACGACAGTTTTGTTCTATCTTACGAGAGTAGGAAGGTAAATAGGTGATACCTTTGAGTATCAACTCAAAGAGCATAAAGTGAACCAGTCATTTTGACTGTAAGCATTCACATTTTAATACTAAGATGGCAAATGATCCCAGGCAAAATGGGATTTAAGTAAACAATCGCTTCAACAAATTCTCCGTTATGAACTTCTGTTGCCTCATTGCAATGCCATTGAGTCACAAGCAAGAAACCCGCAGGACATTCTTGTATCCAATTTCCAAAATCTCGACAATTTGAGCCCTTTTATAAACTATTTGATTTGAAAACATATATTTCTTGGCCAGAGGAACCTTTGACATGAAAAAGATGAAGTAACTCGTTTTGAAGTTCTCCCTAATTTCTTCCTGGAATAGTTGGAAACGAAAAATTGTTTATTTTTTGATTTTCTTACTGCAGTTTAGCTCGGCAGTTGAGCATGCGCATAAGTGCGCATGCTCAAAGTGTATTGGCCACTGGCCAAAAACACCACAACTCCTCCCCACCAACTAGTGCATGCAATGTGGTAATTATTAAGGATCTGAAACGTTAAATCAAACACAACATGCCCGTTTAAATAAGCACAGACTTAATGTCACTTCAAAGTTCATAAATCCAGCCTAGCTGGGGGCTTCCGCACTCGGACCGGATATCGCCTAACAAGAACAGGTTCAGGAACAGGCCCACTCAAATTTGATGGACTGCTGGCTGTACTCAGCCACTGGACTTGGTGTTGGAACATCAGCCTCCATTTTGCTGGCTTATGGCTGTTCACTGGCTTCAGATACTGGGTCCCTTCGACTCTCAACCTGGATTGGAAGTTCTGAGGTCTGGGTAACACGGTTGCTGCTTGGTGTCACTGGAATTCTGTTACCCCTCAGTTAGGCCATACTAAGCCAGGTTTGACTTCGTAAGAAAGGGGGCCAAGTGGTGTTCGATGATGTCAGGTACCCACTTTGTACTACCAGTGTAATTTCGTGCTATCACTGTCTGACCGATGGAGAATTCTCTGATTATAGCGCCACTCTTCGTGACGGTTTGGTCGATCTGAAGGTTGCTTATCTTCAAGTGGAGATCTGGTTTCAGCAAGTCCATTCGAATGCGTAATCATCTACCCAAAGTAGCTGAGATGACGCTTCTCCAGTGGTTGATTGGGGGTATTTCTGTAAGCTAGTAAGAACGTTGCCAGCTTAATATTCAGAGGTTTTACTTCCGTTTCACTTTCCATGGCTGATTTGAAACTCTGCACACAGCGCTCGGCTAGACTATTGCTGGCAGGATGGTATGGTGCAGATGTCAGATGTTTGATTCCATTTCTCTTGAGGAACATATGAAACTCTTCAGATTTAAACTGTGGCCCATTGTCACTCACTAACTGGGATGGCACACCATAGCTAGCAAATAAGCTCTGTAGTTTCTCAATGGTTTTCGTTGAGGTCGTGGTGTCCATTTTTTCCATTTCCAACCATCTAGAATGGGCATCCACGACAATCAACTGAAAACATGCAGCCGAGGAAAGGTCCGGCAAAATCAGTATGGACTCGCTGTCAGGGTGGTGATGACCATTTCCATGGATTTACAGGTGCGAGCAGGTCTTCGCAGTTTCCTCAATTTACTTGTCGATTCCTGGCCACCATATGTAGCTTCTCGCTAGAGCCTTCATCTTCACCACTCCAAGATGTCCTTTATGGAGTTCTTCATACACTTGTGGACGACGTTTTAAGGGTACTATGACTCTGACTCCCCACATCCAACAGCCTGAGTGTACTGTTATCTCATTCTTGCAAACGTAGAAGGGGTCGAGTACAGGAACATGGCTGCTTAGCCATCCTTTAGTCACCATCTCATGGACTTGACTCAAGATAGGGTCTCTTTGGGTTTCTCTTCAGACGTTGTCACCTGTGATTGGTATCGGCTCAAATTGTATCATATTGAAACCATTCACTGGATCCACAACTTCTTTTGCTCTCTCTTCAGTTTTAAATGGTAGCCGGGAAAGGCCATCTGCATTGCTATGCCCTGTAATGTTCTTGTACTCGATTTGGTAGTCATAGCCAGCCAGGAATAATGCATAACGCTGAAGCCTGGATGCTGTAACCACTAAAATGCTCTTGTGCGAATGGAAGAGGAATGTTAGCGGCTGATGATCGGTGTAAAGTGTGAAAGATCGGTCAAAAAATACACATGGAACTTCTTGACCCCTCAGATTATTGCCAAAGCATCTCTGTCAATTTGCGCGTATCTTTGTTCAGTTTTTGCGAGTGTCCCGGGAGCAAAAGCAATGGGTTGCTTAGTCCCATCATTCATAACGTGGGAGAGCATAGCACCAATTTCCACAGGGGATGCATCATAAGCAAGCCTTAGTGGCAGACTGGGGTCATAAATGTGTTAATACCTGCTCTGGGGAGGGGAATGCTGTTTCGCATTGTTCCGTCCATTTCTATTGATGGTTGTTCTCTAACAACTGGTTTAAAGGATGTACCACTGTTGACAGGTTGGGCAAGAATCTGTTGTAGTAATTGACTAGCCCCAGGAACGACCTCACTTCAGCTATATTGTATGGGCGCGGCGCTTTGAAAAACTACCTCCACCTTTTCTGGTGTCTTGTGGAGACCATGACAGTCGATATGATGTCCACAGAAGGTTATCTTCTCGTTGAAAAACTCACATTTTGTCTTGTTTGCTCTTAACCCATGAGTCTGCAAGCTACGTAAAACTTCTTTTGGGTTTGCAAGATGCTCTTCATCATTCTTTCCAGTGATGATCATAACATCGAGGATACAGCTTATTCTAGAAGTTCCTTCTAACACTTGATCAATGGGGCGCTGCCAAGGTGTTGATAGTGAGTATTTCTTTGAATCTTCTTCCATCTCTAATTGATGGTACGCTTGGCGGAGGTCAATCTTTAAGAATTTCTGCCCAACAGCAAGGTTTTCAAAGATGTCTTCAATGCAAGGAAGAGGGTACTGCTCTGCTTGTTCTGGATTCACTGTGACCTTGTAATCACCACAAAGTCTGACGGAACCATCTTTCTTGAGGACAGGCACAATCGGTGTGGCCCATTCACTCCACTCCACTTTAGTGAGACTACCTTCATTCTGGAGTCTTCGCAGTTCTACCCCTACCTTTAGCTTTAATGCAAACGGCATCGGTCTGGCCATGAGGAAGCGTGGTTAAGAGTTAACTTCGCTTTAGCTGATGTAAAGGTGCCCAGTTTAGTTTCAAAAATATTTGAGCGCTTGTCTAGCATAACGTCCAAACACTTGAGGTATCTCGTGAAGCCTACAGCGACTTGATAGAACACCAGTTTAAGCGTATCGTGCGCAGCCAATCTCTTCCCAAAAGAGCAGGACACTTATTCTTGACGACATACAGGTCCAGCAACTCTCTTTGGGTTTGGTAATCCACGGGTACTTTGAGCACTCCTACTGGCATAATGGTTTCCCTAGTGTAGGTTTTCAAGGACAGTCCAGTTTCTTGCAGGGGAAGCGTGTTAAATTTCTGCTGGTAGAGGTCAAAAGAGATGATCGACACAGCCAAACCCGTGTCCAGTTCCATCTTAAGCGGTTTACCATTAACATCCAAATAAATCCAGATAATATTATTGCTCTATTTCGTCACATCGTGTACTTCGAAGGTGGCTAACATGCCTTTATAATTATAAGCATCAACATCAACATCAACCTCAAAAGCATGTACCGTGGGGGGATTTGGTTACTTGCTTCGGCTTGCCTTGCTGTTTGGAACAACAAACCCGCTGAATATGGCCCTGTTTTTCACAGTGGTGGCAAATCTAGTTCTTGTAAAAACAACTGTGCATCTGTCATATGTGTGTTTGCACCACAGCGGTACAATGAGGGTGGTCGCCGGTTTCGCTTGTGTTGGTTTGTTGTGTTCAGTCAACATGTCAACGCGAGGGACTTGGTCGGAATTGAGCTCACTGTATTCTGAAGTATCGCGCATGGCAGTTTCCATTGCTACAGCAATCTCCACAGCTTTGGAATACTTAAGTTTGGCTTCTGACAGTAATCGCTTTTGAATCTGCATATTTTAGAGTCCACAGGCCAGTCTCTCTCGTAGCACTTCGTACAGATTCCCGCCAAAATTACAGTGTGTTGCAAGCTTCCTTAGCTCCGTAAGTAAGACAAAAATGCCTTCTCCTTCATGTTGGTTTCTCTGGTAGAAACGAAATCTTTCCGCAATTTCTAAGGGCTTTGGGCTCATATGCTCCTGGATAGTGGTAACTGTCTGTTGAGTATAGGTCTTCCCGCCGATCAAGCTCAACAAAGTTGGCTCTTTATGGGCATTATCGAAGTCGTTCGCTAAGAAAAACTGTTCTACTCGTTCTACATAGGTTTCCCAGTTCTCTTTTGTGTCATCAGAACTCTCTATCTTCCTAATAGCGGTCGTAATTTCTTGAATTTTACCTCGTCGCCACTGTCATGTCTTTGATTCAAACGAACAAGTTTTGGGAATAGTGCATAAGTCCGCATGCTTAAAGTGTATTGGCCGCTGGCCAAAAACACCACGAGATTAGACAACTTTCAGAAATTTTCATCCTGCTGGCAACAAACTGGCAACCGTCATGAAACTATTAGGAGGAGTGCATCAGGCATTTAGATCATGGCCAAAAGATTCGTCGCTCGTATTGAGTGGCAATTGATCAGAACGTGGTTTCCGCCAGCAGACAATCAAAGCGCAGATTCTAAAATGTAATCAACCGAAGTCATTGCAAAGTAGAGGCTTACCACACATGTGAATTCAAAATAACTTCGTTTCTTCTATGTGATTCTAGAGAAGAAGATTTACCACGAATTGTCAGAACTCGTTAATAAGCAGAATTTGACATACCTCGCGAAGTGTTTAGCTCTGCATTCAGGATGCAAGAGATCAGTACCCACAAGCCTTTTCTTAGGAGAGCGGACCCTACAACACACATACAGAAGAACAAAACAAGTTTAAAACGACTGCGCTTATCTTTGATCAATTTAACTTGTTGAAAATAGATTGACAGGGTCTCCTCTCCATGATTTATTCGTGATATTTCCTAAACATTTTGTCGTTTGACTGCCTAATGAACAGCGCGCTCCTCGTTGACAAAATACCGATTTATCTAGTAAAGAGACAATTAATTTACATTAAGTGAGACAGGAAACATGATATCGATTGATGGAATCACTGTATCATGATGATGCGTCCATAACTCGAAACTGCCCTCTAGTTATACTCATCAACACTATAACACCATAAGGAAAAGACTAGCGTAACTATTTAAATTGTTATCACGCTCTTTCGATCCGAAAATGTGTTTAAAAGAATATCATATTTACATGCCGTCTCACGCGACCCTTACGTGATTTTTAACAATTAGAGAAAAACAAATTTAATAGGCGTATTTCATATTTCTATCGTTAAGTTGTAAATTAGCTGCATGTAGAATCAGCTGAATTTGAGCAGAGAAGGAGGGGTTTTTGCGCCAATTGGCGATTCATCATATCGCGGTATTACAATAAAGTTTAGCGTGCTAAGGTTATTTTCTTATACCTCCTGGACGTAACCCGACACCTTTGGCGTATTATCACAGCGAGCACACTATACCACACTCCTAGGTCCTATTTTCCTATTCTTCCTCTCTCAAAAAATACAAATTCACATTTATATGTACCAGTTTCTTGGCACATTTTCCTAACAGTTGCTTCTAAAAGTAAGATGTTTATCATGATCGAACTAAACGAAAAGGCTCCTGATCTCATTCGCCTGTGTTATGTTAGTGCTTGACCGCCAAACAAACAAACAAAACAAATTCTCAGATTTCGGGTGTCTACGTCGAGACTCCTCTACAAGACAAAAAATTCCACACACTATAACTTATTCTCCTGATCGAAAACGGGAATATTAAACGCACAAACATGATTTATAAAAAAAGAAAAAATCCCCTTTGTACTTCAATAATTTTGATCTCTCTTTCGACATATGACACGTGTTACTTAACGTCTGTTGACCAAACGTAATTCTGTCCATTTGCTAAAAGAACAAGCATGCTTCTCCTCTTATGACATGATCTTAACACATTATTTTGATAAACGAAACACCCATGATATCACTACTGCAAAGCTATATACGACGCTCATAAGTCATTTGAAATCTTTGTATTGAGATAACCACATTGTGGTGTACAAAATTAAACAAACAAAGTCATTATCGCTCTTGAAATATACTTCTAGTCCTAGAAGATGAAAAGTTCTCTTAGACTTACCCATATATTACTACACTGTGGTAGGTGCGCTTAGTCTATAATAGGAAACGTCCAAGACGAGTTTTACGAATGCGACCCAATGCCGAAATGGTTTACATGAACTTGTCGACAGGTCAGGTGTCAAAAGAAAAGAAAATATTTATAACTTGATGAGCTTCCTGTCTCTTTTTTTTCCGTGTAACGCAGTACTTGCATGATACTATACTCTGGGCGAATGCGGCAGCTGTTTACAAAGGGAAAGGATTTAGTTTTAAGGAATCTGTCAATTGTACTAAATAACGTCATGACGAGCTTTGCCTCGGAAAAAAATTTTATGCAAATTAGCTGGCTGCACATTCAATGTGCAGCCAGCTAATTTGCATAAGTAATTCAAGCCAAGGTTCAACGCCTCTTGGTGGCACGAGGTGTTCGCTAAACATTCCAGAACATCCGATAATCGCTTCAAAAAATGTAATTATGCTCCCCTCGAATGAAATGGAAAAAACCGCAACTTCCGATGATTACAACTCTAATCATTTTCAAGATGCAACTCTACTTTGTTCACTCATTTTCCAGAAACAAGAGTCGAGAGAAATGTCTCATACAAACTTAACGGGTCTAATTCGAAAAAACTTAATGGGCGGTACGCTAAGCTTATTTTCTCTGTAGAGACAACACATGTCTTAAAGAAGACAACAGTAAATCGTTAACACAAGGTCCGCGAATATTCCTGACCAAATGTTTCAGAAACATATAACAGGAACAATTTTTAACACGGAAAACGAAGAAACTCAAAAATAGCCTAAAAAGCGGCACCGGTAAAGCTGATTTCACCTCCATGATCGAGGACCTAGGCCTACGTAAGGTTAACTCCGACAAACCCTTCTTTATACAGGTCATGGTTTTTAACTTTTAAAGTCCAGAAACTGTGTTGATTAGATAATCCAGAGTATACACATCGCTTCCAACTGATGGTCTCCTCGTTCGGTCTTCAAGCTTCGGCGCAATGCAATTATTCTTATAATGACCTTCTATGTGCGAAGGTTTCAGTTTGGAACGGCATTTTTAGTTTTTCCGAAGACATCAGTCTTGTCAAAATCGACTATAACAGGGGAGAAGCTGGTCTAAAACATCGTTATTGCATTTTAGGTCATTGGGAACAAATTCACACGTATGAATATCGTCTTACGCGACTGCCGAGTTAGGAGGGATAAGAAAAGGTTAAAAATAACCCTCAGGTATACGCTACCCAAGAGGGTATAGGAGAGATTAAGAATAACCCTCAGGTATACACTACCCGAGAGGGTATGCGAGAGATTAAAAATAACCCTCAGGTATACACAACCCAAGAGGGTATAGGAGAGATTAAGAATAACCCTCTGGTATACACTACCCAAGAGGGTATGCAAGAGATTAAAAATATCCCTCAGGTATACACTACCCAAGAGGGTATAGGAGAGATTAAGAATAACACTCAGGTATACACTACCCAATAGGGTATGCAAGAGATTAAAAAAAACCTTCAGGTATGCACTACCCAAGAGGGTATAGAAGTGATTAAAAATAACCCTCAGGTATACACTACCCAAGAGGGTATGAAAGAGATTAAAAATAACCCTCAGGTATACACTACCCAGGAGGGTATAGAATAGATTAGAACTAACCCTCAGGTATACTCTACCCAAGAGGGTATAGAAGATATTAAAAATAACCCTCAGGTATACACTACCCAAGAGGGTATAGCAGAGATTAAAAATAACCCTCAGGTATACTCTACCCAAGAGGGTATGCAAGAGATTAAAATAACCCTCAGGTATACTCTACCCAAGAGGGTATAGAAGATATTAAAAATTAATCCTCAGGTATACTCTACCCAAGAGGGTATGTCAGAGATTAAAGGTAATCCTCAGGTATACCTACCCAGGAGGGCACGAAAAATTGAATTCACACTAATTTATATCAGGAGACCGCTCTTTGTCTGGACTCTTTCTGTTGACTGTAAGTTGAGGCATCCACCATTAACTTATATCATTATTATCCTTTACTAGTTCCTGAATGTCTTTGTCAAGCTCGGATAGTCTTGACTGACATCATTGCAATTTCCCATGATATTTCGACTAGAGACATTTCCCGCCTAAAATGTATGGTCGAGGGCGATTTGATTTACCGCATAAACTACAAGATTATATTTTGAGACCTTGCGAATCCATCTGCTGGATTTCTCCCTGTTTAATTAATCTGGCACAGAGACCAATTGAAGATATAACATACATGTTATTTGGTTACCTAGCGTTGAACGAACAGCCTTTGTTGGCGCGCTTGAGACCTGCTGGCGGGACAGAACGTATTGTAGTCATCCCGGAATCGACGAAACAATTCGTTCATTGCAAAAGCTTTCGGCCTGATTTCACATTAACTTTTCGTTAGCACATACCAAGACTTTTTGGGGTCGAGATTGGATCCCGTAACTATAGAAAGCTCAGCCGATCGATCGAAGACTTCAGCCTCCACGATAAGATCGCGCCAAGTGATTTTAATGCCAGATTTCTTGCGTTTTCGTAATTGAAACTCGAGCATAGATGCAGTATTTATAATTAGGTGAACCTTTAACTTATAATCAACAAGTTTAAGTAACCGCACAGACACCTAGCGACCGCAAACGTTGATGTAATTCTCTTCACTGATGACAGAGATATAGCGCCTCCGTAGAATGCATGCTGCGAACTTTTTTCGGGGCCAAAGCTCCTCATGATGAGTAACATCGACATCACAAGAAGGAAAGCATTAAGAAAAGATGTCGCTACGCTGGAAAGAGCAAAGAGAAAAGCAGCTCCAGGGTGAGACTCATCCATCAGAAACATGGAACTCTATACCTTCTGACATTGCGAATCTTAGTCAGTTGCTTGTTTTAAAACAAGTCTAACAAATTATTTTAGATAGGCTTTAGATTACTATTTGGAGATAAGTCTCATTATAATTGTATTTTTACAATAATTCAGTTATCAAGATTATTCATGTTATTTACATATTTATATTTTTTGAGTTGGTGTGATGTCATATCGGACTTAGTACAGTTATGATGTAGATGTAGAAGGAAAGAGTCACCATGTTTCATGGTGGACAGGGTCAAGACAAGATGAACTTCTTCATAATTACTTGGAATTTCACTTTTCTCCAACTTCTTTCAAAGGTTTAATATTTCCCTATCTCTGAAGTGAAATTCCTTAACTCTTCCCTGACCTTGAAGAACTTTTGTTTAACTTGACGTGTGGCAAACATACTTTCTACTGGTCCCACAAAACACTCCTCAAAAATACACACCAATGGAAAACGTTACGATTTCTTATTACCAGTTCGTCATACCTATCGACCAAGAGAGTATGCACATTATTTAAAACATTTAGTAAAGGAAATGCGTAAATGGTCTCACGCGGATAGACATGCAAAGAGAGCTTTTCTCTATTACAACTTAGAAACGAGTTAGCCAAGATATAAATCTGCACTCAACAGAAGACCAATATTCGCAGAATCTTTTATATAAAAAATACATATCTACATGTCTGATATTTTAAAAACTTTTTTTCCACGCTAAGGCAAGTTAACGAGGTACAAGGACATCACAAAAGTAAGCAATACCATAAATGTTCCTAACCTCGCGCTTCCAAGATATCGATTATTTGTTCTCTCAATTTTGAATTAATTTGACCCATGTTATGCAAATTCCATGAAATCCGCCGCATGCATCAAATAGCAAACAAAATGGCTCAGGACCTCTTTACACGAACCCGGGTTAAATCATAATAAAGAGTCGGCTGAATATGAACCTATAGCTATGACACGAGCCCAGGCTGCCAATCTGCACCAGAATATGGTTTGATGGAAACTAAACTTCAACCTCTATACCAACGAAAAACCTCATGACATCGGATCGGCATTAAGAATAGCGGTAGTGTCACTTATAACTTTAACGCTTAATTGTCTCCCATAAACGTGTAAATTTTAAAAAATATTCCGTTGTGCCTAATTATCACGATCGTTTTGGTGATGCAGTCTTTCATTAGCTCGTCAAAAACTCCTCGTTCGCTCAATTCAGAACTATCTTCTTCAGATTTAGACCCCATCACTATCGGAATCACTGTAAAAGTCTTGCGAAGTACCTCGGTTAAACGTGTACTTTTGCCTGTCAAAGCAATCTATGTAAGACCACCATCCCCTTGTCCTCCCCACCGAAGAATCTTTCCGATCTCCATGGCAATCACTCATTTGGTTGCGCTTGTCTGGGAGATAGGTACGCACGCGTAGGGTTATTACTGATAAGGAACAGAAACACAGACACAAACACAAACACACTGTTTCTGTTGGGTTTGTACTGGACTGTCAAATGGTACCAGTCCTTGAAACAGAGGGAAGTGAAGGGTCCTTTCCATATTTTTATAGTTTTTCTTGATCGGCAGACGCTCGGTGAGATGACTTGCCTTTTGTGGACGTAATTTCACTCTCTCTCTCTGCTGAGGACTAAATTCGTCTATACTTTTTCCTAGAATGGAGTGATTGCCTTGACTGACCACACGCTCACCTGTTTTAACGGATACAATATTCAATGGAGTAGTTAAAGTCTTGTTGAAAGAATCTGAAAGAACATTGAATAATAAACAAATACCAACCGACTTGACGTTTTGACGACATTTTCAAAATTATATTGGGACTAATCTCTACCACATAGACAATACTTCCATCGACAGAGGATGCTACATCATGAGGATAGACTAAGGCCTGCATCAAAGAAAAAAATAACCTCAATTGAATGCTTGTTGTCTCAAAAGGAAGGAAAGGTAATAAAGATGGGACTGGCCTCACCACAGGCAGCCGAAGCTCACGTCTCGAGAAAAAGCCATAGATTAGTTCATGAAAGCGTCATGCGTTGTTATGAAAGCGTCGATGTTGTGGGAGGAGCCGTTGAAAATTTGAACACGTTATAAGGAATAGTATGAGGAACGAAATATGGTCGATTTACAACAATAAATATTTCGTAATATGAACATTTTACACGTAAAATCAATAAAACTTACTTAAATCCTGTGTTTAATGAACCTGGTCAGGAAGACCTTACCAACATAAAAACAAAAGTAATGCTTAATCCACCGAAAAAGAGCTAATGGATCAGAAAAATCGAAGGAAAAACAAAATGGCGAGACAAAAAACCGATATTACCTGGACCAGAGACGGATTTTCCCCCCTATGAACTCAACAGCTTTCCAGTTCCCTATTGCAATGAAAAAAAGAAAACAAACACTCAAATAATAAACCTAGTAAAAGAAATAAAAATATTAAGAACTAAAAGTTTCATAAAATGTGCGTAAAAAGTGAGGTGGATGTTTTATTTTAAATTATTGTAACGCAATCTGTAGCTTGAAAGCGGGATTATATCAAGAAACCATTAGCAGACATGATTTTTCAAAAAGATTCTTCAGCTCATAGACCTTGTGTGTAGGTGTGGTTTGCCGCGAGTATGAGGTTTTTCCCTTTTTTTTTCCGACCAGCATGCATCCATAAAGGTATTGTAACCAACAGCTTTAACTGCTGAAGTACCTAGCAATAGAAAAAATTTGCCTCCCTATTTACTGCAAATCTCTCTTTTTTAAGTTTGACGTTTAAGCTTGATTAAGTTTCGGATGAAACGTGAAAATTTGAACACAAATGTATCACTAAACCTAGCCTCAATCACAATAGTTAAAAATTTTTCCGATAAGATGTTTTTTTCAGAATTATTTTAATATTGTTCAAACCCTACCCATATAATCCATATTCATCGTAGGCTTAATATATACTGAACCTATAGTAAAGTTGAGAAAGAGTAAAGTTTAGATCAGTTTACGTAGTAAAACAAGCAACGTTTTCTGTTGCCCCGCTACCTACCATTAGATCCAAAATAGGATGAAATCACTAAAAAGTAAACATTATAAGCAGCATACAAATTCATTTCCTTCGAATTTCTCGTAACCAAGTTAATCTATTTCGTAAGTCACTCATGGAGCAAACTATGTCGTCTTCACTAAAACGATTCGCATTGAATGTGGAACTTGGATGTGGGCATCATTTTGATCTACTATAAGATTTACTTCCTCTGAGGCTGAATATTTGAAAATAGTCAAAGGCTAACCTTCAATGCATTTTTCTGAGAACTTGTTAAAATTTAATCATTTATGATTACGACTTCCCTTAATGCTTTTGCCCCACAGACGTGCAAAGCAGGATTAGACTGGTGCTGTCAACACGTCAACACGTTAGCAAATGATCAGAGTAAAAAAATACACAAAAACCTACACTCATCGAGGACAACTGGTTACTGTTTTTATGAGCTGAATTTTGTCAATTAAAATAGGGTTCTACAATGAGCCAATTAAACCATGTGAAGTCGAAGGTCAGGCAAATCAAAACACTTACAGAAACACGTCTGGCTATGTGTCTTGCTTTGAGCTCGATGGTAAAATTGTGAATCAATGCTTTTGAAGTCTGAGTTCGAGCCTTTTACAGAAACCCCTCCCATTCGTCTATAATATAAATCCCTAACAACACATTTTCACTCTCAATTTATGAAGCATTTGAAAGATATATATATAGCATTCGTAGAATAACATCTCTGATTGGCAAGTTTGACTTCACTAGATCGTGAGAAGGATCGATCGCGTTGAAGAGCAAAGGCTTCCATCTATGTAGGTAGCATTTCTTTTTGTAAGTTTACTCGTAACGTGCTCTAACAATCTAGGCATAGCTATGTGATCGTGAATTGTTTGGATCGATTTTGAATCTACTTATTTATCGTGCAAAAAGACGGCGGAAACAGAAGTGTACGCCTCTGAAAAGTAATAGACACATCCTTCCAGTTCATAGTTATACCTAATGGTGTGTTTCCTTTTGAGAAGATTTTGGTTGTGTGACGATAAAAATTAACAAGTTAACAAATAAAAATTAAAAAATAAACAATAAGCTTCATAACTTACCGTCGGTGTCGAATTCGTCTCCGCTGCACAGGAACGCGCTGTTCCAGCAAAAGCGGATGATAATATCATTACTAAGAAATGGCTATTTATTTTTTCAAGATTGGATACTTTCCAAAAGCGTCAGGTCTTTGTTTGAAAAAGTTTATTTTATTTAAAAATAATTTAAAAAATAAGACAGAAAATGGTAAAAAACAACGATGAAGAGAGATAGAGAGACGAGGGGGATTTCTTGCGCATTATTAAAACGCACCGAGAGGTCATAGACTATACTGACACTCGCAAAAAGGAGTCGGAGTCTTAATCCAAGCAATTATGGATAATTTGAAGGTAGTGACTTGATAAAATGGGCTATAAAAAGGTTCCAAACAGGTGTGCTGTTTTGGGGGATGGAATATTTTCAAAAGATTGCCATACGGAACGGCTCCGAGTAAGTTTCTGCGAGATGCCTAACTGCTTTATTTTGACTTTGTGAGAATCGACTGAAGGCCATTCGAGACAGTTTCAATTTTTATTTCTTTACGCGGCAAAAAAAGAAAAGAAAAGAAAGTCACCTTACGATTTGGAAATAACTGCCTACAAATGATGGTTAGCCTGTGTGTAGTATCGTCCCGGTTGCGGCAATAAAAATCGATCCACTCGCTACGATATCTTACCAAATCATGTCTTACAATTATACAATGACTAGCGCAGTTTTAATCATTTTTACCAAACACATTTTAGAGGTCAATCGAGAAGCTTTTACTTTACAATGGGTAGAGTAATTTGTCACCTGAAGTCCTCTGCCCCTTACAGTAATAAAAAGAGGAAAAAGCTTTGCTCCTTAACAATGATTTTAACTTCACTTTATCATTAAAAAAAGAAAAAAAAAATGAAAAATTTAAGGGATCTTATTGTTGCGTACTTTTCAATGAAGTCTAACCCCACCCCCATAAGGACGTTAAAACTTTTGATGTATTAGTCAAACATGAACTATTTAAACAACACTCCTTTGAATACTCTTACATTTTCTAATTTGCTTTGCCACTCTACAATAGGACATTGAGTGGAACTGAAAGATCTTTTTATGTTTCCTCTCTTCCTAGAAAAATTAGTGGCAAGAGTCGTCTACTTTCTTCAAAATATATGTAGAAGCTTCGATCTCGTTGGCGAATCGAGCTTCCACAAATCCTCTTTTAACGATAGCCTACCTTTGGTGCGTCCGTTAAAAGTGAAAGATAAATTTTACAAGATTGTTCAATACAGTTCAACATCCGCACAGACATTTTATATATCATGTGAAATTGAACTATTTACACAATTCTCCTTTGAATAATCGAACGTTTTCTAATTTGCTCTGCCACTCTTCACCGTTTGTTTCAATAGGACAGTGAGTGGAACTGCATGATCTTTTTATGTTTCCCCCCTTTACTTTTCCTCGTGAATCTGTTCCAACGACTGTAGTGCCTTCAGATAGCTGGTTGACGTTAGGTTTCTCATCAAGTATTAGTATGTCATCTTTGCTTAAATATTTGTATCGTTTTCCTTCAACGACCTCCCACTTGACGCCCCAGACAGACGCAAAACGCCCCTTACGATATGTTCCTCCCTCTTTGAAGAGGACTGCGGAGCCTGGCATGATACAACCTAAAAGACAAGAACGCAAAACGTGAGGGGAGACAACAATATGAATATTTACTGCATCAAAACTGAGGTGATTCTCAAGCTGAACTTCGAACAGTTTCTCGTCTAAAGGATTTATTTAATACTTCATATAACCATCAATGCTGTTCACTGTGATTTTAGAAGAAAAGACGTTTTAATTTTCTACATTTCAGTCATAACACCGTTCCATTTTAACTCCTAGATGCTTATCCAAAAAGGGCTTTGGAGAGAGAACTCAAAGATACAATTCATCGATGAACTAAGTGATCTAACCTCGATGTACTGCGTCACATCCATATAACGTCGGTGTTAAACAACTAGAGATTCTTCGTCTGGTGAAAAGCAGAACTTGCACAAACCGAGTAATAACCGGTTGAGGAAATTTCAATGCTTCCACTCCTTCATTGAAATGTGGCTGTAGGTATGAAAATCTGATGTTATAATCGTGTAAGCGAATATGACTATGCTATACTTGAATATCAAATTTTAATATTCTACTTTATCACTCTCCCACAGTCTAGAGCAGAAAAATACGGGGAAAAAGAGGAAAAGTTGTTTCTACCTTGAAAGGTTTGCCAAAGTTTACCCATTTGTTGGAAAGAAGTGCTTTTATTTGAATCTGTTGAACATTTCCTTTATCTTGTCCCAGCTGGATACTTGCCGCCGTAATAGTATTTTCCTTTGGGAGCATTATCTCTAAAGAAGTCATCCTTTTTCCGATTGAACAGTAGATATTTCTCCTGTTGATCCCGTGAAGTGGACTATCAGGGTAAGAGCAGGATGCTAAAAATGCAAAATACAAAAAAATGAAAATAATAGCAATCGTCTAAAATCATACTGTATGAGCGAGAGTGAAAACAGCTTACGAGCTAAATAGTTGCACTAAGAGAGTTTCTTCTCCCTGACCTGCTTGACCGAGCGCTTGAGTTTCATGGTCGTAGAGTGATCGGATATCATCAAGCTTATCGTTGTGAACTTGTGAACTGACCTTTCGCGGTCGTAAAAACATTACAAATTTGGCCGATGTTGATCCGCATTTCTTGGTATGTTCATGTGAGTAAGTACAAACACTAAGGTATTTTAAGTGAGGTCTTATATGCTTAAATTAAAAAGCGAGAGAACTTTTTTTTTAATTGTATCAAAACATAACAATCGATATCTCGATCGATAATAAATAGGGTGGGGGCTACAACACTCATTTTTTAGCCGAAGGCATCATGACCAAATGGACCGTGTTCCCGAAAAGTTGTACTTTTGCAATGGAAACTAATGAGAAATTATGGAAGTGTACGACCATCAAGTGCTAACTTGTTACGAAATGGGGAAATCTTTTCGAGCTTATTTATGTTTCTTTTCAACATTACGAAAGCGTGTGATATTGTTCTAAGGCCTTTGGATGCTCAAATATTTAATCACAAGAGAGAGATTTACCTAAACACTTTGGAACATCTCCATCCCACGTCTTGTTCCTTTGGCAACAAAGGGATGATTTGCCATTCAAGGTGTAGCCTTTATCACACTGGAATTCTACTATTCCTCTGAAAGCAAAGTTTTTAACGACATTTGTTTGCCTTCCATGTGTTGGTGTTCCTGGATCTCCGCACGAAATTACTAGGAAAAATGGCCATATACATAACTTATCAAAGACCAAATAACAAAACCCGTAATCATATCTACAGGGTTATTCATTTACTAATCTAAGATATTGATGAGAAACGAAATGGTTTAATAAATAAAAATCTAAGATAAACTCTTGACATCGTCGCTTGACGAAGATTAGCCGTGTAGAAGTCAAAACGACGCGGTAAATACGATTGATAGCCTGACTCCACTTTGCGAGGCGAACAATTACACGTTCATTTATCTATAGAACCGTAATGCACAACAGCATCTTCCATTCCTTCCACATCTTACCTTTGCACTGGGGCATCTTGTGACTCCACTTTCCATCCAAACATTGAATGGTTTTTTCCCCGACATGCTCAAAGTCACCATCACATTGAAATTTTATGAATTTCCCATGCGTAAAGTCATCTCCTATTCTTATTCCATTCCCTGGTTCACCAGGGTCTAAACATGGAGCTGAAAGATAAATTCCGTGTAAATGTAAGCATTTGGATCCGTTTGTCGTGTAATTTATTTAATAAATGAGAAAATAAGCTCAGAGAGAATACTAGGGAAAATGGATCAAATGGCTGATGTCCATACAATCTGAAAACTATTCGATTGTACTGTCGAGTTAATCAATATATAAATATCACTTATTACGTATAAGTTTAGATGCCAAAGCTATTTTTACTTTTCAATTTCTATTTTTTCCCCTTACGTTTGTTTTGATAATTACTTGTTGCTTTGTTTTTGTTGTTGTTGTTTTGTTTAATTTGATAGCATTTGATAATTTTTCAGCTCCGAAGTTGGCACCAATAATAGCAACCCCCTCCCCTCCTTCCTTGCGCCATTATAACACAACGACGTTCAATAGGCCATCTTACAGTTGTTTACTTAGTTGACAAGCCTTTGATTTGGAGAGAGGCTGAAGGTGACCATGTTGCGATAGAGACCAATATCTAGTTAGCAAAACTAAATATAACAAAGCAATTTACATTTGAAAAACAGCAAGGTTTGTATCATAACAAGTTCAACCTTAGCCTCACTTCTATTCAAAGGCTTGGCAGGCAATCAGGCAACTGTAAAATGGACTATTACGATTCTTTAGCGACAATTTTACTCACCAAGGCAACTTGGGGCAGATGAACTCCACTCTTTTGTTTCCCCACAGGTTATTATTTTGGATCCTTCCAAAGTGTAATTCACCTCACAAGCGAATTCCACCGAGCTACCATAATTAAAACCATTTGTAATACTAACTTGTTTCACATTCGCTGGGGTATCTGGATTCCCACAGTTTATAACTGTAAAAAAAATTTCAAATGTGAAATTCCTTCAGGAATACAAGGGCGTATAAAATTTAGGATCACTTTATCACATATCTATTAAGACGATGTAATTTTCAATTTGTTTGCAACACAAACGTTCACGTGATAATGAGATTAAATGGCCAATAACGAAATGGCACGGTCTGTGACATTTTGAATACCGCAGGCTTTCATAAAACACACTAAGTTTGAACAACAGCGAGACAAAAGTGCGCGAAGGATGTAGGTTGGGCCTTTGCAAATTGAATCATTCTCTTTTGAAAATAGGTGTAATGTTAAAGTTAGTTTGTAAAAGAATAGTACTTACTTTGGCATGAAGGTTCCACTCCGCTCCACTGTTCATCGTTTTGACAAACTCGAGTCTCTGAGCCAATCAGCTCGTAGCTTTTCTCCTTACACCGATATTTCACGTAACCGCCAAATCGCGTGTGACCGGTTTCCGAAACTATTAAAACTTTATGTGGAGTTGACAACCTGCCGCAATCAATTGCTTTAAGGGACAAAAATAATATGGAGATAATTATAAAGCAACAGCAAACTTAGCTCCAATTTGTTCGCTCGTCCATCACTTTGAGGACTGACCATAATAAAACTTTTAAGTTGTTTAAAGGAAGGGGAGTGGGGACTTTGGATAACAGGTAACACGAATTTTCACGAGAGATTCGTCCCCAAAGAAATCTATGGCATGAATGTTACTTGTCGTTTGCAAGATACCTTTATTTCTGGGGAGCTCGCTGAGTCCCTAATTTGTATTTTCACGCTCTTTCCCCTTTCTCCGAGAGCTTTCCATTTGCTTAGTAAAACAGCATCTAATGAAACACTAAGTAGCATCATTTCTTACGTTTACAGGTTGGCGCACGTCCACTCCATGTTTGATTCGCCTGACATTGGCGATACTTGTCTCCAACCAACTTGAAGCCGGGGTTACATTCAAAATAAACCTTACTACGGAACGTAAAAACGTGTGATTTAATGTTGCCATGGAGAGGGATTTGTGGCCTGCCACAACTTTTAGCTGTGAACACAAAGGAAATAAAACTACCATTAATCGATCAAAAAAAACACAATATTTACCACTGAGAAAGATACGATGAATAGCTCAGTTTTAGCCCTTTTCAGTAAAACTTATCCATCGACTTAATGTTTTGCCTGAAATATTGACGTAACAACGATGTCTTTACCATCACGACTAAAGTGAAGAGAGCCTTAGCAGCCTGTGTGTATGAGGCGTGCCTGTGTGTATGAGGTTCATTGGCGTCGAAACATCCTCTGACGGATAATAGCCGGTTCCATTTTCTTTATCATTGCACAAGCCCTCTATCGGAGAGTCGAGCTAAAAACTAGGGCGCTTCGTATTCTGTTGCACATCGCGAGTGCGTGAATGCAAATTTTTCATAGGCAGGCTTTAAGGACTTGTTAAAACTACTAATCAAAATTTTTAACCATCAAGCTATTATGTTACGCAAGACATGTCTGGATAAAATTTCAGCAAGGTAAAATACTCTGGTCCGCCGCTAGTCCAGTTGGCACACGTGAAAGCAGAACTAAACAATTTTTTCCTGGTCCATCTGACCCGTTTTCTTTGGTGGGAGACGAAGAGCTCGAGCGCCGCTGTTATTCACATTGCTTCGACTCGTATCATGGTTGCCATCACTTGAGAAATACTCCTTCCATCGAAGGTATCGAAGCTACCGCCAAAATTTGAAAATGTTTTTTCGAATTTTGGATTCGCGAAAAATTGGAATGCATTTGAATTTGCTCCGCCAGCGCGTCCCTGCTCTTACTTAAATAAGAAGAGGAGCACAATGGAAGACCACCAAAAGGATCTCGCTTTTTTCGGATCAGAACAATTTACAATTCATGGAAAACGTTGTCGTGAGTTTACATTCATTTTTGTAAACCACTTTCTCGGAAAATGCAACAGAACCGCGCAAGAGTGTGGCTAGAAAACTTTTTCAGGACCAGCTCGCGTAAACCACACGTCAGTTTTATCATAGTTTCACACAGGATTGTGTGAGGGAGGTGAAACAGGTCACATGATAATAGAAAAAAAACATACCGATGCACTTGAATTCTCTTTTCAGCCACGTCGTATAGTTACACTCCATAATCGGCGATCCCGTCAAAAGATGACCTTCATGACAGGCCAGATAAAGGGTTGTACCGTGTGTGTATCTCACTTGATCCGTTCTTGGATATATGATACGTGAATTACTTGGAATGGAGGGTTTTACACATGGCATAACTGGAAAAAAACAAAGAGCAATGTTCATAAACAACTATTAAGTTAAAACCTAGAACCTACCTTTGTGACTGAGTAATCTAGCCAGGTATTTTATTTGCCCCCTTTCATGTACGTGAGCCATGTGTTATATTGCTTCACTGATATAAAAGATATATTAGAGCCTATTTTGGGGTTATTTTTGTTTGATATTACAATCATTTAGAATGGTGTGATAAAATACGCATAGACAGAACCAATGTAAGTGTGGCAACTAAAACTCATGCTTTGATCCTAATTATCTGTTTTAAAAGAAAATGGTTAAGATTCTTCCTGTAGCCATTTTCTCATGGTAAAAATTTATGGATGAAAGATTGACTTTAAGTTATGCAACTATATATGTGTTCCGCACTTCTTGTTAAATGATAAAATTACAATTATAGTTAATCTACAATATCGTAAGGGTTTTCTGTATTGGTGTTAGAAAGAAAAGGAATGGAAATATTATATTAATTTAAGTCATTTAATGTAAATTATAAAAAGGGCAGGTTGATTACTTCGTACTCCTTCTTGGTGGTCTTATCTTAGAGGTCGAGTTTGATCACGTTCTTCTTGTGAGTTTGGCCACGTTCTTCTTGTGAGTTTGGCCACGTTCTCCTAGTGAGTTTAATCACGTTTTCTTCGTTGTGATCGTGAGGTCGACATGGAACTCGCGATAAGCCATGTTCTTAAATAAGTTAATTTGTTAGTCCAGGAAGAGCAAATCTCCCTGGTAATAGGTCGCGTTCGACACCTTCGTGTTCCCAGAGGTAATTTAAAGGAAAACAGGTGATACCCCTCATGTTTCGCAACAAGAAGCAATTTGGGGGCGGTACTTGTGAGCGCCTTTCTTCTTTAACTCTTATGACCTAGATGTTGTTATGTAACAATCTTTAAAGGTGATTTTCTCTTAAGATACACTTTCAGGTATAAGTAATACTCTACACCAAGGTTATTTGTGATTTTTATATTGTCGATCTCGTTTCTGTTCTGGCCGATCTCAACCGTAAAGATATGAAAATTAGGAAAGAAATTGATTTTGTAACTGCGTAGACAACCCTAAGGTGCTTACTCAGTATGTGGGAACTATAATACGTAGTCAAGCGTGATTCGCTAGTTGAGATGTTACGATGACGACACAAAAAGATTGATGGCTTAGAAATGTCATTCACAGTGTCACCTTTCTAAGCGGAGACTCTAGTTTTCCCTGATATATTGAAGCTAGTCCCCATTGTAACAACTTGAGAAGAAAAGTAAATAAAGAAGGATCAACCAAACCACAAACGAGTGTTAGAAAAATTAATTCTAACATTCTTAAATAAGCACACAGGCGCTAATCTCAGATCTTGCCCTCGGTGAGGGGCGCTTATTGGAAAGAGGGCGCTTAATCGAGCGGAGCGTGTTAGTTAGCGTGACAATTGGGCAAAAGTTAAAAGACCAGATAATGTGAATAAAGGAACTCTGCGAACACATGGAGAAAGAAAGAACTCAAAGTGACCTAATTGAATGGAAAGTATTCTCCTGTACTGATTCCGACGTATTTCTCAGTCTTCGCAATACACATAGTGACAAAAAATATAAAAGAGGAAATAGAACCAAAAAAAAAAGAAGGTGGAGTTCCTGCAATTTTTTGAAAAACCCACACGTATTAAAAGAATATGCTACGCACAATCTATTAGCTAAGATACATTCTTAAAAATCTTCCCTGGGATGTCGAGGAATTACTAACCTTTACATTGCGGGACAGAAGAGTTCCACCTTCCATTAATACAACGAAGACTGCGATCTCCAACCAACTCATAGCCATATTTGCAGTTAAAAGAAACCACTTGTCCATGGGAGAAGCGTGTGCCAAACACGTGACCATTTGGGAGATTCATAATCTTCGTGCAGTTAGCTGAGAAATAAACATAGAACAATGCTTTAGGAAATGAAAATCAAAGCTGTTCGGCCCTCAGATGCAAATGGCGCATCAGAAGGATAAAAGAAAGAAAATTTAGTGCTGGAGATTTGGAATAGGCCATTTATAAAGAGGTCAATTGGTCAGGGAAAATAAGACAGCTTACCTTTACAAGTTGGAACTTGTGAACTCCAAACGCCCTTGTTGCATGTTAATGCTGAAGCCCCAAATAGATCAAAGCCTGTAAAACAAGTGAAGTTTGCTTCTGCACCATGGCTGTTGTCATTGCCATGTAGTGTACCGTTAGCTGGACTTTGCAGACGAACACACGACGGCAACTCTGTAGGAGAAAAATATCATATTCAATTGACCTCTTAACATATTCGTGGTAAAAGATAAAAAAGGGCTAAAACGCTGCGTTGCAAGCAGTTTTAATCAGTTTTATGTCAAGTAGTTGTCAAAGTTTTGATACAAATTTTTAAAATTGCATCAAAACTTTGACAGCTAATTAACTTGCATTAAAATGCAAGTTTATTAGCTTTACGATCGTCTCGATAACTTAATATAAGTTTTACGATCGTCTCGATAACTTGATATAAGTTTTACGATCGTTTCAATGACTTACTTTGACAATAGGGTAACTTTCCATTCCATTGTCCATCTATGCACTCCAACCTTGTCTTACCGATCAGCTGGAAACTTTTATTAGCACAGCGAAATTCTATGGCAGCCTTGCCAACTTGTGGGGTCACATGAGATACTTTACCATTTAAAATGTTACCCACCTCCGGACAAAACCCTAGATGAAGCAATAACATTTTTAGGTGGAGAAGATTAAAAAACGATTAAACTGTCTTCAGTTTTTGTCATAAATTGACAATGAAAAGCTATCTTGTGTTGAGCATAAAGCATTATATCTTTTCACTATTACACAGGTGGTGACAAGTGACAAAAAATGGGAACCGAACCTCTTTCATCTTCATTTTAGAACTCTCTTTGTTTCTGTAGTGATTATCTATGATATTTCTAGAGGCTTGGAAATGAAAAGTTTGACATGCAACATTTTTGCACGAATCAGCGAATGTTGTTTTGAAATGCGGAACCACTAAACAATGCCGATCTAAAGTTATAGAACATTTTTTTTTTATTCTAAAGATAATTTACATCATACCAAGACATCGGAATTGTGTCTGTGTCCATTTGTTCCCATTGCATGTTATAATTGGCATTCCATCTAGATAAAAACCCTGTTTACAGCCAAAGAGGATTACTTGGCCGTTTTGGTACTTTTCTCGCCGAGTGGGATGAGTGATGACTGAGCCATGAGGAGAGGTTGGTTGATCACACGCGGAGCCTTAAAAAAAAATAGACAGCTGACGTCAAGCTTCCGAGACGAACGGCGAGTCAATGTCACAATATCAATCCCTTTACAACAAATGACCTGAGTTAAGAAACAAATAGTTTCCGCCTAATAATGGTAAATTATTTGCAAAGAAAGGCTAATTTAATGACCCTGAAGTGTATAACGTTAAGTCCTAACATTTCTTGAACAATCTTGGGGTTTCCTGATTTGTTGGGCATGCGCCTTTCCATATGTGTTATAATTCTCTTTGAATTATCTTGTAAATATTGGATGCGTAGATATCAAATGGCTCAACCGGAACAGACAGAGCTGCCCTTGAGAATCTGGCTAATGATGCTTACCCTTATGCCTATCTCATGGTCACTTATCCTTAACTTGTCATGAATATGGATAGTCTTGTTTCACTTTTCGGAAAGTAGGCAGACTCTTAGAAATGGAGGCAGCGATGCGGAAAAAAATAAGCATCTCTGTCTTTTGTATGACAAAATGCTGACGGATAACACATGACACCCTCTTCCGCTTAATTTGAGAGTAACGCGTTGCTTATTTTTCGGTCTCGGCGCCAAAGAAAGCTTATTGCCCTTTGCATAAGGCAAATATCTCTTTTCCTCAGTGAGATGTGAGACACGGATCCGAAACCATGTGTGCGACATCAAAATTTATAACTGATAGCTTTGTCAACTTTTAAAGATATTTGAGTATTGTAGTTTTCGTCAGTCACCAGATGTGAAGGTCACAAGCAAGGGAATATTCAAGAGTCTCAAGACAGAAACTAACAGTGTACAGTTCATTTCGTTAAGGAAAACCCTGAAAACCCCCTTTCCATTGGCCTACTCAAGAATAAGAATATGTAAAGGCACGTCAAACTTAAAACTAACTGCACTGCTATCAAACATCAGTTCACATTTGCCGAATGAGCGGCGTCTCCAGAAGAGTTCAGTGGCACGCGCCCTTGCTTGCTATATTAAAAAAATTTTTACAACTTTTAGATGAAAACAAAGCTGAAAGCTGACGCATGACATCCCCTTTCGTTTTGAGAGAACAGGGTTGTTTATCTTCCAACTGGAGTGTTAAGGGAAGCTAATTGAGCATTACATGTATGAGAGGTTACTCACCATATGTGACGATCACAAACGAGAATATAAAGGATGCTGAAACCAACCCCGCACGTTTCATGAGGAAGCCCGTAAAATCTAACCTTCTTACTGAAATAGGTTGCTCAAATTGAGATAAGGATGTGGGAAGACAACCATTTATATGCAATGTACTTCAACTTCCTTTAATACTGTAATCTAATGTAAGAATATTAATGTCAAAGGGGCAGCATCTTCAGCAGCGTTAAGTGTCACGAATCCCTACCATTTGGCTTGTATTGATTTTGACTGATTTACATTGAAAAGCAAATTAGTCTACTACAGTGTGTAATTGGAAAACAAACAAGCTATTCAGTGAAATAGCCACTTCCTGCATCTTCACCCGTAAATGATAAGATACAAAGACTTCTCATGACGGACAGCTAACAAGATACCAACAAGTTAATTTAGCTTCCCAGCTTGCTTTGTAATTTGTCGTCCGATTTCATTGTTCAATTCAAACGTGATGTAGTATCTTTTGAACTTTAAATAATTGAATTATTTAATGAGTTTACAGAACAATTAAATTTCCTGATTGTGACATACCCTACGAAAATGTGTTCTTAAAATCATGCGAGGGCAATTGAGTGAGATTGGGTTAATCTTTTTCATTTCCTTATTTTGGTTGTCGCGTCATTGGAGAGCCTAAACATTGCGGAGGCTGATTTTTTTTGACAGTTTCTACATACTCGTATGCCAATTCCATGGTTGAAGCCCTGTCACTTTCTTTTCGTGATCAAATGTCGATATTCTTGTCTTTCTTTGCAGAAATCAGGCATATAAGTCGAAGTGAGAGCGACGATGCGAAAAAAGACATTTTTTGTAACGTAATTTTAAGTTTTTCGTGAAATGCTTACGGATGAAACAGGCAAGATCTTTCGCTTTGAGAGTACAGTTTTGGTTATTTTCCGGACTCTGCGCAAAAGTTTGCTCCTATCAAGCGGAAAAGATTTCTTTTCCTCTATGAGATTTTGAGAAAAGGATTCGAAGCTGTGGGTGTCTTTTTTTTCTTTTTTTTCTTATGTATCACTGATAACTTTGTTAACGTTTAATGTGATATAGGTATGTTACTGTTCGTACTCAACTGCATGTGTGACGACCACGAGCAAGATAACGTTCAACACAGACACTAACAATGCACGGTTCATTTCATTAAGGGATACCCTGAAACTACCTATTCCATTGGTTTGAACAAAAATAGGGATGTGTAAAGGCACATTACCTTTTTCTGTGTGACAAACTCATACTAATTACGCTGTAATTAACAGTACTTTCAATTTGCCGAAGGAGCAGTGTCTCCGGCAGAGTTCAGTGACACGTGCCTCTGCATGTTAAGGTAATAATTTAAGAAAAAAGAAAAGAAAGCTGAAAAATAAAGCTTGGCATATTGTTTCGTATGGGGTCTGAGTATTGCGCTGTATACCTTCCAGCTTCAGCGCTCAAGGAAGTTTATTGAGTATAACATGTAAGAGAGGATACTTCTCTTTAGATATGAACTTTTAAAATCGATAACTTATTACTTGCACCTTTGTCAAAACTTATTATTTTTCGTGCTCATCGTACGTGATGATCACAAACGAGAATAGAAAGGACGCTGAAACCAACCCTCACAGATAGGGATGATGAAAGACATGTTTTTCTTTCTGTTTAAATGCAATGCCGTTTAACTTCCTTTTGTGTTTTAATTAAATAAAAGAATATGAATGTCAAAGGGGTCAGCATCTCCATCAGCGTTATTTGTCACGAATCTCTACCGTTTGACTTGTCTTGCTTTGACTGATTTACATCGTAAGGCAACTTAGTCTTGTATAGTAGGTAGTCTCGTTTGGTATGTAATTCAGTGCAAACGCCATGTCGTTGACCTCAAGTGATCGAAAAAAGGAAGCGAAACAGACAAGCGGTCCAGTCAGGCAACCGTTCCTTGCATTTTCCGCACGCAAATAACATGAAACCAACTGGTCGATATAGCGCCCGGCTCGCACTGTAATTAGCTTCTGATTTCTTTGTTAAATGTGTAAGTTACGCCGGTAATCGCAATTTCAAAACGAAAATCTCAATGCCGGTCATCTTTTGTCTTACTCTCTTTGCTCTTTTTTTATCTACGGTGACAAGTGTCGCTAAACTTATTAAACTTGAAGCATAGATAATCAGTTTTACCACCCAATACACAATGACTTATTTTGCATATTGTCTTGGTCTCTTGCAAGCTGAAGTAGGACCGGAAGAGACCGAAAATAAAGTTTTGAAGGCAACTCATGGTTACCACCGTACGCTGTGTTTACGATAACGAAATGTAATTTGAAGGTATTACTTCTGCGTTTCAGACGCAAAGGAATTAAATAAGAATCACGCACGAACGTGTCAAAGGATTTTCTCTTTCAGCACACGCGTTCGGTCAAACGGTAACGTTATCTTTGTTTTCTTACTTTTGAGCGTTGTTATTTCTCAGGGTATAGAGGGCAGGAAAGGAGACGTTATCTGTCAACGAAGGGTTATTTTTTAGTGCGGAATTTGTTTCTACTTGAGCCAAATCACTGAGGCTGAAACTGTGCTGTTATTTTCTTTCCATCGAAAGATCTGTGTCTTTGGAAGTCATTCAGCCCCGGCCGTTTAACTTTTTATCAGAATTGGGCAATATGGTGTTTCAATCAGACCTACCAAGCCGCAGCACTGTCTTACTTAGTTTTACACTCAACTGTGTATATTTTCAACCTCTCCTTATTTCCTTTATCATAAATAGTTTACCATCGAAACCAGCAGGAAACCATACCAGATGTAACAATTTTTATCAAAAACGACAGAGAAATGATGGCGCAACTAAGCGCAGAAAATGTCTTCTCTGCTACAGGAAGAAAATAACTTCCCTGACTTCTCATGCGACGTCCTAAAATCCGACCTCAACATCCGCTACAACTGGAGCAGCTCAAATTGATAGCACGTTCGCACGTTCGGAGTGCGCGCGTGTAGGCTACTTTCCTTAGCAACTAATTATTTATGTTTTTAAAGGCAGCGCTCAGACGTTAAAAATAAACCGAAAAATTAACTAGACAATCTTAACACGTTAGTGCACTGAGCTCTGAAACTTAACTAGAATTAAACCTATAAACAAAGCAAGATGCAGTTTTTGCGATATCAGGTAAGATTTCAATTTACTGTACAATGTAACGCAAGTGAAGTTGAAAGGACTAAATGGGAAAATTTACGCGCTAGATTGACCAATGCAGTGATTGATCTTGACAGGGTGTTTCGATCATCGTCTTAAGAGGATTTTTTTTTCTTAAGAGGCCAGATACGTGAAAAGTATTTGAACAGGCCTCGCAACTATCATCACATTTTAAAATTCAATGATAAGGAGCGACTAGTGCCACTGCACAGAATAACAAAGGGCGAAACGTTCTTATTTTAAAAATTCAAATCCGGCTATTCCTTTTCAAGATGGGGAAGTTATGGGTCAATAAATAGCAAGCAGTATCAAACAATGGAAATCGATGATAAACGATACTCTATGCCAACTGTTCGATTGAAACCGGACAAATATCAAAGTTTTATTCTGTAGTTATAAGATCAGAAATGTTGCTTTCAGTTATCACGAAGAGTTTCTAACATTAGATAACCTTCAACCTTCTCTATACTAAAAGAGAAGATTCTTCTTTCGGCGGGCTTAAATTTATTACATTCTGTACCCAGTAAGGACACTCAAAGGATGTTGGATTTTATTAGTCATATAAAACGTCTTTAACATTGGCCAAGGACACTGCTCACAAAGTAACAATTACAACCAAGTTCTGTCAAAAAAGATTAGATCTCCCTTCGTTCGTGTTGCTATACACTTCCTTTAAGTTAGGCGAGAAAAGACACTTTAGGGGTAGGGCTAGACCTTTTTCAATTCTCATCACTCTTACATTGAATTATGCATTGATCTTGTAAGGAGAAGTCATCATTCAATAAAGGGTCGAAACCAAAACCCGCTAAAAGGATGACTTTCATACTCCATGCAATTCACAATTTAGCTAGTTTGATAAAAGGAGCTTCGGCTCAGAAGACAATTCGAATCAATCAGAAATATGTTCGACAAATGTTGTTGACTCGATTAAAACAACTAAATTTGGTATTATCAACTGAGTTGGCTGCCGTAGAGAGTTTCTAAAGCTGATGTTTCGAGCGCCCGCACTTCTTCAAACTTGCCACAAAGCTGACCTAAAATTTGCTTTGATCTTTACTGGATATCTACTAATCTGCTAAGATAAGACAAAATTAACTAAATAGACCGTGCACTTGAGTTTCAAGCATATGATTAGCTAAGAAATATTCACTGGGAAAAGAACTGAACCTCTCTCTTTTTTCCTAGATTCTCTGGTATGTGTTTTTGACTGCACTGATGTTGGCCACTCAAAATGTAATGAGCCGAAAAAATAGTAAGTTTTGGCGGAAATTCACGCGTTTACTCCTTGAATTCAGAATTAATTGACCATCAGTCAATGAAGTCGTTTTCTATTGTGCCATTCTATTTTGGGGATCTCCATACAATTTTACTGAGAGGGAGAAAGTTGAATAAAAGGAAGTTCCATCACCAAACTAATATCAAACTAATGGCGAACAGAAGGAGCAAAGAAGCCTACGAACAAAATTGCAATCAGTCCTTTTAAAAAGGAAATGCTAGGCAGGCGCAGGGCGCGTGTCTTTTTTACATCAGCTGACATGAAACGAGAGGCTTTAATTTGGTATTTCGTGAGAATTCACCCTATAAACAGAAGCGAGTTCTAATTTCGGTTCATTCAAAATAATTGAAGAAGATGAATTGAATAAACTTGAAATCTCAACGAAGAGATTGAATATTAAGGGTAGTGACACCTATTATTAATTTACAAAAAATCAATACGAAAAAATTCTCACCGGAACATTAAATTCCAGTCCAGTAAATTTAACTGCATTCCTAAAAGATATTACCTTACTGGGAGCACGTTACGTGTTTCTTCTTATCTTAGAATGTAACAAGAAATGCCTCGACATTCTCCGTGAAACTCGAAGAAATCCACCACCCAATACTAGAGTGGAAATACACATCGGTTATTGTAAGGCAAGATATGTTTGCCGAAAAGGAACTGACATAAGAACTTGCAGGAATGGGCAGTGGATTGGAAGCAAAGCACTCAAGTGTCCAGGTGAAGTTTCTCTGGTTGACTCGCTTTGGTTTGGATAAATTACAACCATTTGATCGAACAGAATGAATTATTACAAATCAAAATCCGTAAGCCACGTCGCCATTCGATGTTCATAGGTTGAATAATAAACTGGATTTTGTTTTACCGATACAAAAATATCCATTCCTAAGCTAGATCGAAAGCATTCCACTATAATCCATGATTATTACTAGTTTATGATTGAAAACGTAAGAAACTGTTCTCATATTTTATTTCATAATATTTTCTAACATTCTTTTTATCAGCATATTGCGGCAAACCCGCGAACATTCCACACGCCGCATTCTCTGGTTCCCGTTTCAGCTTCAACAGTATATTAAAGTACAGATGTGATCAAGACTATGTACTCAAAGGACCAAAAAGAAGGAAATGCAGAAAAAACGGACAGTGGTCTTAGGCTCCTACATGTTCACCAAGTAAATTGAATTTGATAATCTTTACACACCTGTAAAGACAACAACAATTGTCAGTTGAGTGTCCAAAGTAATCAGGGATTATTTTGGTTTTGCGTTATATTTTTAGGTATAATGATAAGTCAGTCTTTCAGTCAGTCAGTATGTGAATCACTCAGCCTTTCTTCTTACATCTCTCTTGAGTTAGTCATTCAGTCTGTGAGTCAGTCTGTTAGCATTTGAGTTAGTCAGTCATTCGGTGAGTTGGTCAGTCAGTTATGCATATATGAGTCAGTCTGTCTGTCAGTCAGCTTGTGAGTCAGTCAGTAGGTCAGTCGGTCAGTCAGTCTTAGGAGTCTTTTGTTTCTTGTTTCTTTCAGAAACTCATTATTCCGTTCGTTCAGCCACTAGAATAGTGGAGTGTTAATTGGCATGTGGATCGACTGGCCTATTCCACAAAGTATCACCTTAAAATACAGAAAAGACACGAAAAGAACAGAACAAATGAAAGCGCATTGCAATAAACCGGTCTTCTTTGAAGTGATCATTAATTTTTTTTATGTTTTTTGTTCACAGATTATACACCCTGTGGTGTAAGTCCTGTTGACCTGAGGGCGAGAGTAGTCGGTGGTAAGAGTTCGAAAAGAGGCTGGTGGCCCTGGCAGATTGGACTGCGCAGGGTCAACTCAAAAGGTAGTTTGAATGGAAAATTTTCATTGTCTGGCTCATTCATTGAATGCTGTATATATCAGGAAAGCATGACTAACATTTTTGTTCCGACATTCGGCAAATCCTTTTAAGTAGCATATGACTGTCTGTGGCCTTTCACAACAGCAGAAAAAAATTTATCTTTCAAATCTCACTCTTAATTCTACACGCTATCAACGAACGATTGTCATTCAACTGATTTTTTTGTTTGTTTATTTTTTCACGTTATTATGCTCCTAAAAAGACAGAGTAGCTCCATTTTTCCGTATATGTTCCTCTGTTGCCTCTGACGAGGGGCTAAGCACGAAACGTTACTTAAAATGCACTGGACAAAGATGATTTTTTTCCGCCATAATTTTTGAGTAGTTTTTTTTTTTATTAAGAAATTATTGCTAGAAAATAATACTTAGTGTTTTTCAATTTGTTTCCAATCTCTTTTTTAAGCGGAACTTGTGCTTATCTGGGGTGGTGCTCTGATTTCTCGTCGCTGGGTTCTGACGGCTGCACATTGTGTTTACCACAGGGATTTTCGAGGGGCTCGTGTTCTCGACAATATATCCAATAAATAAGCACTGAGTCCAATAATCCTTTATACGTTTGAAGCTTAAAGAAACATTTCATATCTATAGATATCATTTTTTCATTGTTGTATTTGAAAGACATTTAAAGGCAGAGAAAATTTGCTGAAGAAAAAAAAAGTATTCGAGTTTCTGATATCATTCACAAGGATTAACTCTTGAAAAACTCCCAAAACCAGTCTTTCCTTAGTAGGCGAAGCAAATTATTTTCTCTACGACTATTACTCTTTATCTCGCAGGTACCGCGTGACAGTGGGTGACCACCACTTGAGGAAGGATGAAAAATCTCAGATTGACGTGGAAGTGATGAAGATATTTGTTCATGAAGATTATGATCATGGGAAAATCACAAATGACATTGCTCTAGTCAAACTCGACAAGGAGGTGGAACTTGGCCCCTATGTACGGACATTGTGTATTCCGGACAAGGATCAAGGGGATTTGGCAATCGTTAAAAAGTACGGCATAGCAACAGGATGGGGTGTAACGCAAGCCTTGAAACTCTCACAATACCCCAAAGAACACAAACGCTACTCAGACCGTCTTCAATACTCAGCCTTCACAATTCAAAGCGACCAGCTGTGCGTTAACAAATCAGCGGGATACTTTTTTAACTCCACAGTGACGTTTTGTGCCGGGGATGGAAAGGGAGGAAATGATACTTGCATAGGTGACGGTGGAGGAGCTTTTGTCCGTGAGGCAAAAAGAGGAGACGACTTCCGTTGGGTGGCTACTGGGCTGGTCAGCTGGAGTTTGGGCTGCGCACAAAAGGATCATTATGGATACTATACCAGGGTGTTCTCATTTATTGATTGGATAAAGAAAACTATGGAAGACAACTCATAAGAAAATGACTGAGCCTGTTCAATACAGTTTTACTGATCAATAATATAAAGAGTGTCTGTTCTTGGTCATCAGGAACATAACAACAGGCATTTAATTTTTGTTGTTTATGCTGCTTGCTTTAAAAGTTGCCTTCTGCAACAAGGAGTGATAGTGCCAGTCAAAAGTTTTTTCTTGTAAGCTGAGTGAGGCTTAAAACCGATTAGCTGATGGGAAAAACTACTGCGAAAATCGTTGTTTTACAATTTCTCACCGTTACTTTGATGTCTGATTAAGGTTTTTGCCTAGAAAGTCTGTGCTTTTGTAGATTAATGCGCAGATTGATGGTTTGGCTTTTTCTTTCTTTTTTTTTTTTCGTTTTGTAGTCAAATAAAATCGCCGATGAACTTAAGAGGGTTTCTTTCATCCTCTCCTAAAGTAGATGTTATCATGACAGAAGCAAGTAGACAACATCTTTAAAGGAGGAACTTTAAGTCATATTTCCTTTGGGGTCATCACTGCCTGAGTTGCCTCTGCTTAACCTCTGATTAAAGCGACCATTCACCTAACGGAACATTAGCACATCGGCTTAACTCCTTTGCCAGAAATTTTCGACAGGTGATTAGGTAATTTCGTAAGGAAACTTTTCGTCGGTTTCGTCAGCAAGAGAGTTTGTTTCAAGATTGGCGATTAGAAAGGATCTTTCCGCGCGCTTTTTATGAAGCATGAGAGTAACATGCTGCTGGTAAGTTTCGCGTACTCTCGGTAGTGCATTTCAAATACCGGCATTATCATTCTAGCAAGTTAACATTCTTCAGCCGTTCCCTATGTTAATAACATGCTGTTTTGCAGTCTGACTATGGGTATCAGATACCGCGGGAATTTCGATTTTTCTATTTCTGTCTACGTGGTTTTAATGAAGTTTTGTGTAAATATCTCCTAATGACCTAAGCGTGTTACGATAAGGGCTGGGGGTTACGATTAGTAACTTAGCTTGGTTTCAAACAAGAAGAACGTGTCTTTATTCAGAAGGTGATCCTGAAACCACTGGTTGCTGAGATGTTAGCAAATCGTTTCCCCTTTCAAATTGTTTAAGTTCGCACATCACTGTCCCTTTTCCTCCAAGTTATACTTTGCTGCGTTCGCATGGAACCCTATAGAAGAAACTATCTAGTTTGCTTCATTCAATGAGGTTATTCAGGGCCGCGCTTCTGTGAGCCGGGCGTTTTTTTTTTTTTTCGCCAGGTGCTGTGCACACGATGTTGCCGTGAAAAGCAACTTTCTGAAGTCAGTCTCTCTCTAAAAGTATAATTTGCTTCAGTTTTCTTCCACAATTTGTTTGGAAACATTCAACATATGAAAAGTCCTTCCGAAATCGGGAACTTTTCTCGTTTAGATCAATATTTTTTTCGCTTTACGAAATGCTGTTAGTCATTAGTCATTTTGGGAGCCGTTTAGTATTAGTGTGTAGAGGAGCCCCCTAAGTGACTTAGAGTGAGGGAAAACTCTCAGACCAGTGAACAAACATATTCACTCAAATTCACTAACAACTGGCAGAAACAAAAGCGAGATATCCAAGCGAACGAACAAACGATCAGATAGTTACCTCGATTCTAGCATTCATTCGAAAGTGCCAATTACTCTACAAGTTTGGTTTCGGTGCACCACTCTTTTAACCCTTTGGAGTAATTATATCCAATTTCTCCTTGCAATATCACCACTGAATCAAAAATTAAGGTCACGAGAATAAAGGAATTGATCACTAATTTAGGAAGCTCTTGATTGTCAAACAAATTCTCCCTATCAAAACCTTAGAGAATGTGAAGAAAGCAGTATAGAGAATATGCATACTGATGTTAGTGTGTAAAGGGTTAGTCCAACCTTAACACACCATTTGCGACCACAAATAGATACAAAAAAGAAATATTGATGCTTCAGAAACACGTCTTAAATGATTTTTATTACGCACGTATAATATAATAGATACATCGACTTGTTCTGATGGCTAAAAAACGTGTTCGGTTTAAATTTGATTACAATTTTGTTAGAAGAAATTTCTAACACTCTTATAGAGTTGAAACTTTCTTTATTGCTTCTCCTGATAGCTCAAACAACTTGTTAGCTCGGGGTGTAACGCATCATCTACAGGAAAGGGTCGGTTTCCAGTTTATAAAGGTGGCAATTAGCAAGCTTTCAACATTTAACCAACGTCACTATTTCTCATTTTACTAGTGAATCACGTTGTTACGTATAACAGTTCCCGCATACTAAGTATGTACCTACGGTTTGTTTACTCTTACCAAAATGACATTCTACCTAGAAATGTCATACTTTTGCGGTTAAGATCGGCCAAAACAGAAACAAGATTGATAATATGAAAATTATAAAGATAACTAAAGAGAAAATAACCCTCGAAGTTTGTTACAATAACAACAGAATAAACAAAGAATTCGAGGAAGAAAGGGCACACCCTAAGTACCGCCCCCCTAGGAGAACTGTTTGCCGTTCATATAAGTCAACTGATTATAAATTCCGTGCGGAAGATGAAAAGTATAAATTGTACACATCTTAATCTCCATATTGAAAGAGGTATTCTACGTCCTAAATCAATAATTAAGACTTACTTTCTTGATCGAGAATTTGACATGAAATTGGCCTAAAAAACGAGCCTGAAAGAACCAAATGTATAAGAAGGAATTCCGGTTCGAGATTAACTTTTTCCAGATCAAATTACTCTCTTGTTCGTCAAGCAGTTTATTTTAATTAAAGTATTTCTTACCACAAGTTAATTGAAATACTTTCGCCGAGTTTTTAATCACCGTAGAATTGTTCATCTGCTTTCATGTCGAACTCGCGATTGGCTAATATGCCACAATCACCAACAGCTTAGTACAAACGTTTGTGTATTTTCAAGTGGACTAGTTTCTCATAGAAGGAAAAGATAACAATCACTCTACTTACAAAGTAAGACCGTCATTGAAATAGGAAATTATCAACTGCTTACAATATATATATTTTAACTGAATGGTTTATGCAATTTGTTATTTCCATTCATATTCCCAACACCAAAGTAATGAAGCTCTTATCGGCACCTAAATAAGATGTGCAGTATTGAAGATCTTATAATGCTTCTAAATAAGATGTGCTTTGATTTTATCTTTTAACAATTTGTCGTCCTGTGTTAATTGACTGGTAGTCCCAGTATGATTGGATCAGTCATGATGATTTTTGTATCGATGGATCGAACAACTCTGATAATATGAATAAACATAAAATTTGAAAAAGTTGAGAATGGAGGTTGGACATGTCCTTTCGCTATGATTACGATAATTGCGCTGGTTGTAAATTTAAAAATGAACCACCCCCATTACCTTAGCATGTCCCAAGTTTATCTCCTTTCTGAGACTACTAGACTTAACGATATGTAATTTGACATGGTTTGATGTTACTCTGGTTTACAGATTTAATTAATGTAACTGAAGAAGTTACAATTCATAGACCCAACGTTTCGACACTTCTGTCTGGTGCCTTCATCAGGGGTGATCTAAACGCTGCAACAAGAGGTCTTTTATATGATCACGAATTAGCTGGGAACTAGTCTCCGGTTCCCTTTCATCAGAAGTGCTGCTAGTTGTAACTGGTTTATCTGGAGAGTTTTGGTTGAGTCATGAATATACACAACTAAGAAACGACAAATGTGAGGGTATCAGCTGAACTGTGAGCTAGAACAAAAATCTCAGTTAGTGCCATATTAGCACGCGTGTATTCATGCCAACAGGAAACTATTTACAGCCTCTGTCAATGCCACTTACGGCTTAGTTTCACCGAATGTAAATACAGTTATCTACTTGTAAGGCACGCTCAGCAATATTATTAAGATTGACCCCCCCTGGGCAATTAATTGGCAATCATATTTCGGATCAATATCAGAATCTGGGCAACTGCCCACCTACCCCTCCCCTAACCCAACAACAGTCAATTGACAACAAGTTAAGGTTAATGTTGGGTTAGGGGAGGGATAGGTGGGCAGTTTCCCAGATACTGATGTTGATCCCATATTTCTATAGTCCCCCCTTTATATTATATTGGTGACGACTGATCTCCCCTCCGTCCCCCCCTAAAAACCATGTGTTCCCCCAAAACAATCCCTCACCCCCAGGCGATAACAAATAACTGGTCGTATTTTAGGTCGTAATTTGATTTTCACACAGTTCTTTTCTTAAGACTCGCACTTTCTCTAACTTGCTCTGCCATTCTTCACCGTCGGAAGAAAATTGTGATTATCCTTTTTCAAAATCAATTTTTCATATGTCACTGAATGAATCTTTATTCCTATTCTCAAAACTAATGCGACATTGTGTCTAAGATTCAGAAATTAGGCAGCAACTTCGTCTCTTTCCATGGTCAGCGGCTGAGTCAAACTTTATATTTCGATGCCTTATTAAAGAAGCCAATGTGACCCATAAAGAAGGGAAAACAACGATGATAATGTGGATAAAATCGTTAAAATTAACGTTTGCAAGCAATTTGTTACCTTAAAATGACTAATTTGAACCCATTTGTTGGAAATACGCGCCTTCACTTGAATCTGTAGAACCATATGCCCGAAATCTTCCAGGCGGACACCTGCCCCTGTAACAACGTTTTCCTCTCTGAGGTATACCTCAATTGGGAGAATCCTCATTCTACTGTGTGCGAGCTCCTCAAACCCAATGGCGTGCCTGTGGATATCAAGGGCCTTGTTGCATACTAAACATGGAAAAAAAAATCAATGGTATCACAACACCTGTAAATTTGACCGCATGAGTTTCCAGCGCGTGTGTGAACGAATAAAAAAGAAATAAAAGAATAGTCAAATTCTTCAATGGTCAAAGATAGAACAAAGAGACAATGAACGAGCTAAGAATGGGATTGCGAGTGTGAGCTAAGCAAGTTTCTCTTCTCGTTGCTCTGACATGTATATATCAAGAATGTCTTAACAAAGAATTGTCTCTGTACTCCAACACCATTATAGTCGATCGCTCTAATGCTCTAGGTTTACTGAGACTTAAACTATCATCATCGATACTTACTCATACTTCAACTATTAGCATCGTTCGATACGAAAAAAAAAAAAAACAGCTCTTACTTAGAAAACACTTGAAATTCACTGGTGTCCAAGTGCTCCCACTGCATTTTATTACTGGAGGCCCAGTGAGGTAGAAGCCATGTTTACAACTAAAGACAACCGCGCTGCCATTTTTGTAATTTCCTTGCTGGGCAGGATAAATGATGGTTGAACCATAAGGAGAAATTGGAGGCTGACATGAAGATCCTTCAAAATAAGGTCAACACAAATGAAGCAATAGTAGATAAAGCCAGGTGATTCATCGCATGATGGCGCGCCACGAGCAAAAAAACTATTGATGTGCGCCACATACCATAGAGCCCACTAGCCCCCACTAACATTTGTCGCTTTGTGTGACTCAGTGTTAAGTTACGAGAGGAACCGTTGAGAATTTGTACACGTTATAAGGAATAGTATGGGGAACGAAATATGGTCGATTTTCAACGATAAATATTTCGAAATATGAACATTTTACGCGTAAAATCAATAGAACTTACTCTTATGACGTGTTCAAATTCTCAATAGTTCCTCTCGTAACTTAACACCGAGTCACACAAGGCGTGACGCTTTTATGAATTAATCGTTTGCTTTTTCTCGAGAAGTGAGCTTCCCGGGCCGCCTGCGGTTGTAGTCAATAGATGAGGAACACTTTTCAGTCCCATCATCAACGCTGTGTGTGCTATAATATTTTACCTCTGCTATTGAAAAATTGAACGCAAATATATCACTATTCTTAGCCTTAAGTACAATAGTTACGATTTTTTTAGATAGAATGTTTTCTATTATTACGTCGGTGTTTTTCAGAATTATTTTGATTTTGCATAACCCTACCCATATAATCCATATTCATCGCAAACCTAATATATACTAAACCTAAAGTAAAGCTAAGAAAGAGTAAAGTTGAGGTCTTTACAGAGTAAAACAAGCAACGTTTTCTGTTGCCCCGCTACTTACCATCAGATCCACAATGGGATAAAACCACTAAAACATAAACGATACAGGCAGCAGACAATTTCATTCCCTTTGACTTTCTCGTTAACAACTTCATCTATTTCGCAAGCAAAATATGTCGTCTTCACTAAAACGATTCGCATTGAATGAGGAACTTGGATGTGGGTATTATTTTGATCTACTGTAACATTTACTTCCTCTGAAGCTGAACATTTAAAAATAGTCAGAGGCTAACCTTCAGTGCGTTTGTCTGAAAACTTGCCAACATTTACTCATTTATGATTAGGACTTCCCTTGATGCTTTTGCTCGACAGACGTGCAAAGCTGGATTAGACTGGTGTTGTCAACACGTCAACCCGTTAGCAAATGATCAGAGTAAATACACAAAAACTTTCACTCATCAAGGAAAGCTGGTTATTGTTTTTATGGACTGAATTTTTTTCTCAATTAAATTGGGGTTAAATAGAGAGCTAATTAAACCGTGTGAAGTCGAGGTCGAGGTCAGGCAAATCAAACACGTACAGAAACACATCTGGTTGTGTCTTGCTTTAAGCTCGATAGCAAAATTGTGAATCAATGCTTTTGAAGTCCGAGTTCGAGCCTTTTCCAGAAAATCCCTCCCATTCGTCTATGATATAACTCCCTAATAACACATTAAGTTATTAAGCATCTAAAAGATATATATGATACAGCATTCGTAGAACGCGCTGTTCCAGCTAAAGCGGATTATAATCATTACTAAGAAATGGCTATTTATTTTTCAGAACTGGATACTTTCCAAAAGCGTCACGGCAGACTCTTTGTTTTAACAGGTTAATTTTATTCTAAAATAATTTTAAAAAATACAGAAAATAGTAAAAAATAACAATAGAGAGAGATAGAGAGGCGAGGGTGATTTCTTGCGCATTGTTATAACACACCGGAAGGTCATAGACTATCCTAACACGCGCAAAAAAGGAGAAGGAGTCGCAATCCAAGCAATTATGCATAAGGAGTTGAAGGTAGCGACTTAATAGCATGGGCTCTAAAAAGGTACCAAACTGGTTTGCTGTTTCTGGGGGGAGGATGGAATATTTTCAAACGATTGCCATACGGAATGGCTCCGAGTAAGTTTAGGCGAGATGCCTGACTGCTTTAGTTTGACTTTGTGAGAATCGACTGAAGGCCATCACTATTCGAGACAGTTTCAATTTTTGTTTCTTTACACTGCAAAATAAAAAAAAAGAAAGCTGCCATACGACTTGGGAATAACCGCCTACAAATGATGGTTACCCTGTGTGTAGTATCGTCTCGGCTGCGGCAACAAAAATCGATCTATTCGCTACGACATCCTGTCAAATCTTGTCTTATGATAATACAATAACTAGCGCAGTTTTAACCCTTTTTACCAAACCCAGTTTAAAGGTCAACTGAGAAGCCTTTACCACACAGTGGGTGTAGTAATTTGTCACCAGAGGTCCTCTGCTCCATACAGAAATAAAAAGAGGAAAAACTTGCGCTCCCCTACAATGATTTCTACTTCACTTTCTCATTGAAAAAAAGATAAAAAAATAAATGAAAAATTCAAGGGATCTTACTGTTGCATACTCAAGAACTATCTAATTTCTTACAACAATGTGTTGGTTTTAGTGCTAAGGTGATCTCTCGATTTTGTTGGCAGATTGAAGTTCTACAAACCCTCTTTGAGCGATAGTCCACCCACACTACCCCTCAAAGGTCGAAGATGGGGGATTTTTCAATGTAGTCCAACCCAACCCCCATTAGGACGTAAAAAATGTTGATACATTAGTCAAACATGAACTATTTACATAACACTCCTTTGAATTCTCTTACGTTTCTCATTTGCTTTGTCACTCTACAATAGGAGTGGAACTGAAAAATCGTTTTTGTTTCCCCTATTACTAGAGAAATTAGTGGCACGTTCAGGAGCTGTCTACTCTCTTGAAAATATATGTAGGGTTTGAGTAAGCACGAAGCTCCGATCTTGTTGGCGGATCGCGCTTCCACAAGTCCTCTTTTAACGATAGCCCACCTTCGCTGCGCCCGTTAAAAGTGAAAGATAAATTTAACAAGATTGTTCAGTACAGTCCAACATCCGCTCAGACGTTTTATATATTATGTGAAATTGAACTATTTACACAATTCTCCTTTGAATAATCGAACGTTTTCTAATTTGCTCTGCCACTCTACACCGTTTGTTTCAATAGGACAGGAAGTGGAACTGCACGATCTTTTTATGTTTCCCCTCTTTATTTTCCCTCGCGAATCTGTTCCAACGACTGCAGTGCCCTCAGGTAGCTGGTTGTCGTTAGGTTTTTCATCAAGAATTAGTATGTCATCTCTACTTAAATATTTGTATCGTTCTCCTTCAACGACTTCCCAGTCGACACTCAAGACAAACGAAAAACGCCCTTTACGATATTTTCTTCCCTCCTTGAAGAGGACTGCAGAGCCTGGCATGATACAACCTAAAAAGACAAGGACGCAAAACGTGAGGCTAGACAACAATTCGAATAGTTATTGCATAAAAATGAGGTGATTCTCAAGCTGAACTCGGAACAGTTTCTCGTCTAAAGGATTTATTTTATACATTACACAACCATCAATGCTGATGACTGTGATTCTAGAAGAAAAGACGTTTTAATTTTCTACATTTCAGTCATGAAACCGTTCCATTTTAATTTGTGGTGCTTATCTAAAGAGAGTGTTGGAGAGAGAACTTAAAGATACAATTCATCTATGAACTAAGTAGCCTAACCTCGACGTACTGCATCACATCCATATAATGTCGGCGTTAAACAACTAGAGAGTCTCTGTCTGGTGATGAGCAGAACTTGCAAAGACTGAGCAATAACCGGTTGAGGAAGTTTCATTGTTCTCACTCCTTCACTGAAAGATGGCTGTTGGTGTAAAAATCTTATGTTATACTTGTGCTAGCGAATATGACTATGCTACTTGATTGTCAAATTTTCATATTTCACTTTACCACTCTTCCACAGTCCAGAGCAGAAAAATACGGGAAATAAGAGGAAATATTGTAATCACGTTTTTACCTTGAAAGGTCTGACAATGTGTACCCATCTGCTGGAAAGAAGCGCTTTTATTTGAATCTGTAGAACATTTCTTTTATCTTGTCCCAGCTGGATACTTGCCGCCGTAATAATATTTTCCTTTTGAAGGTTTATCTCAGTATAACTCCTCTTTCCTTCGATTGAACACTTTATTTTTCCTATGGAGGTTTTCAGGGGTCCGTCGCAATCTTAAACGTAAAAATAAAGTGGACAATGAGCTATAAGCTACAAATTAAAAAATGCAAGTTGCCGCCAGTTTCTGTAGTTTCCATTCCATTTTAAAGGCTTCCAATTGGAGAGACTTTAACATGACAACGAAACATTGTTTCTGTCACTCTACTGAGTTTTTGCCTAAGCATGTAGTCCACGCTCTAAACTCCGTGCTTCTGAAGTTTCAAACGAAACAACCAACTACATTTCTACATTTCTAACAAAGCGGAGTGCGAAGGGACTGGCGAATGTGGTCCTATACTTTCGTATATCGCTCATTTTTCCGAGGTCGTGTTACTATGGATGGGTGTGTCGTAACAATATTCAACCGTAAGAGCGAATGAGACAAATGTCTCTTACCGATAGAAATTTTGCTCATTTGTCAGTTAACCTCTCGAGGACGCTTACTGCTGTATTAAAGCTGGTAAGTTTCGAAAGAAATTGTGGTGCTACGTCGTAGGGGAGTACTACAAGATGATCTGGTATAATCAACTGAGTTGATGATGTGGATTGGCCACCGTAGAGAGATTCTACAGCTGACGTTTTGAGCTTAATCCATCGTTCACTATGTGTTCGCTATGACAGTGTCGCATTCGGCAGAAGTTTTACGATAGCATGATATGGATGACTTCTGCACTTATTTTTGCTTTTTCCACAACTAGCGACCACTTACTATACTGCACCAAACATATCACAGCCATATTACTCTTTACAATTTCTAGCTCTCTAACAAATCAACGATATTCAGTTACCTAAGACAACTTTCCCACTGCCCGTTGTTACATTTCATCCTCCAGGCGCCTTTTAAAACACGATTGGATAAACATTGGAAGTTTACGAATGAATCGTGTTCACAAACAGTTCCAATGGTTTTTCCGTGAAGTGGAACACTTGAAAATTTATTCCGGCTTTCCAGAACCATTTAAATAATTCTGTAGTGAAAAGCCGGTGACAGTTAATTTCTGAATACCATCTATTTACGGTTACAATGGGGTTCAAACTTAGCATCAAAGCACTAAGAAAACTAAAACCTTTGAACAACATGCAGGATCTTGCATTTATCATGATTTTCCTGAAAAACTCACCCTGGCAAATTGGCATCTTAGCACTCCACTGGCCGTTTAAACATGTAGCCGTTCGCGCTCCCTCTAACACGTAATTTTTTTGACAGGTAAAAGACACAGTTTTTTTGTGACGAAAGTCATCGCCAAGCTTTCTCCCATTCAAAGGATTGCCAGGATCTTTACAGGAAGCTGTAAAATCCAAAAGAGAAACTGCTTATTAGAGAACCGGATCTTTCATGATGAAGGAAGACTACAGGTGTAATTGGCACAGTATGAGGTGGAGGCCAGGTGGAGGCCGTGAAAGTTTGCTTTTCTTTTCTTATTTCTCGACTGGTGGTCACATGTATGAAACATACCTTTACACGAAGGAATGCTGCTGCTCCATTCTCCATTTATGCAGCTCAGTTTTGAGGATCCGAATAACGTATAATTAGCACGGCATTTTATTTCAACTTCACCACCACTCTTCCGTGTTACATGTGTGATGATTCCGTTCCTTATTGGTCCAAGGATGGGACAGGAGGCTATCAAGGTGACGGTGTAATAAAGTTTACTTGTTTTTTCTTCTACATATATTCATGATGTAAACATCATGTTTTCAAGAAAATGTACTTACTTACCATGACGAGCTTGATGAGAGCCAAAAAGTATTTTATTATATGACCGCCAAGTCCTACAAATTGTTGAACTTTACTTTTTAACCTAAATAAGCCTCAATTGCATAGATAAAAAGGAGTGTGCACTGGACGAACGCTAGAGCCTATTTTATTGATGTAAGTGAAAAATCTGTCTGCCAGTAGCGTGAAGTAAGGGTGAGCCCCGGTTCAAAAATTTCGCCAATATTTAAAGTAGCCGATGTCCCGCCTCAACTAATAATCAAATTTTTTAACCATGAAGCTCTTATGTTACGCAAAACACATTGGATAAAATACTTTGGTCCGCCGCTAGTCCAGCTTAGCGCACGCCAAGGGAGAACTAAAGAAGTGGCAATCAAAACGCAGGTGGTGAAATGATCCATCCTTGCATGTGTAGTAATTCGCGCGAGGTGTTTTGTGTTTCTCTTAAGAGCGAAATGGATTTGTGATTGAGGTATGTGGGAATCAGTGGTAGTCGATGTAACTTTGATGCGAAAAATGTTTGACTCGCGAAGAATTGGGAAATATTTGAATTCGCTCCGCTAGCGCGTCCCAGCTCTTACTTAAAAAAGAAGAGGAGCACAATAGAAGACCAAAAAAAAAAATCTTACGAAAGTTCTCGTTTTTTTCGGATCAGAGCAATAAAATCACAATTCAATTGTTGTAAGTTTATGTCCATTTTTATAAACCACTTTCTCGGGAAATGCAACAGAGCCGCATAAGTGCGTCACCAGACAGCTTTTTCCGGACCAGCTCAAGTATACCACAATTTAGTTTTATCATAGTTTCCCACAAGATTGTGCGAGCGAGGTGAAACGGGTCACATGATAATATACTTTTTTTAGCTGTAAAAAACATACCGATGCACCTGAATTCTCTTTTCAGCCACGTGGTATAGTTACACACCATAATCGGCGATCCCGTCAAAAGATGACCTTGTTGACAGGCCAGAAAAAGAGTTGTACCGTGTGTGTATCTCACTTGATCCGTCAGTGGATATATGATACGTGAATTGCTTGGAATGGAGGGTTTTGCACATTGCATAACTAGAAAAAACAAAGATCAGTGTTTATAAATAACGGTTAATTTAAATCTTAGAACCTACCTTTGTGACTGAGTAATCTAACCAGGTGTTACATTTGCCCCCTTTTATATAAGCTAGCCATACATTATACTACTTCATTGATATAAAAGAATAAAAATATATATATATTGGAGCCTAATTTGGAGTTATTTTTGTTTGAGGTTGCAATTATTTAGAAAGATATGATAAAATACGTATAAACAGAACCACTGTAAGTGTAGCAACTAAAAGTCATGCTTTTATCCCAATTGTCTATTTTAAAAGAAAATGGTTAAGATTCTGCCAATAGCCATTTTCTCCAGGTAAAAATATATAGATGAAAGATTCATTCTAAGCCAAATCTGTACATGCTCCGTACTTCCTGAAATAAGCGCACATGCGCTTATTTAAAATCTTGGCTACGGGGAGTGGCGCTTATTGCAAAGAGGGCGCTTAACCGAGGGGAGCGTGTTATTCAACGTGACAATTGGACAAAAGTTAAAAGAGCAGATAACGTGAATAAAGGAACTCTGCGAGCATATGGAGAAAGAAATAACTCAAAGTGAACTCACTGAAGAAAAAGTATTCTCCTTTACTGATTTCGCTGTAGTCCTTGGTCTTCGCAGTACAAATATAAAACAGGTAAATATATCCAAAATAAAAGTAGGGGAAGTTCCTGTAGTTTTGTGACAAACCTACACATCTTAAAAGAATACTACGCACACTTTATTAGCGACGATATTTGGTAAAATTCTTTTCTGGGATGTCGAGGAATTACTAACCTTTACATTGCGGGACCGTAGAATTCCATCTTCCATTAATACAACGAAGGCTGCGATCTCCAACCAACTCATAGCCATGTTTGCAATTAAAAGAAACCTCTTGTCCATGGGAGAAGCGTATGCCAAACACGTGGCCATTTGGCAGATCCCTAATCTTCGTGCAGTAAGCTGAGAAATAAACACAGAACAATGATTTACGACATGAACATCAAACCTGTTCGGCCCTCAAACGAAAATGGAACATCAGAAGGATAAAAGAACCGGAAAGTTTAGTGCCTGAAGATTTGGAAGAGGCCATTTATAAAGAGGTCAATTGGAGTGAGTCAGGGAGAATAAGACGGCTTGCCTTTACAAGTTGGAACACGTGAACTCCAAACGCCCTTGTTGCACGTTAATGTTGAAGCCCCAAATAGATCAAAACCTGTAAAACAAGTGAATTTTGCTTCAGCACTATGGCTGTTGTCATTGCCATGTAGTGTACCATTAGCTGGATTTTGCAGACGAACACACGACGGCAACTCTGTAGAAGAAAAACAGATTTATTCCAAGTGAGTTTTGAGCATATTCAATTGATCTCTGAAAATATTCGTGCTAAATGATAAAAAAGGGCTCCAACGTTGCGTTGGAAGCAGTTTCAATTAGTTTTATGTCAAGTACTTGTCAAAGTTCCGATGCAATTTTAAAAAAATTTAATTGTCAAAACTTTGACAATTAATTAACTTGCATTAAAATGCAAGTTGATTAGGCCTATTAGTTTTGCGATAGTCTCGATAACTTACTCTGACAATAGGGTAACTTTCCATTCCATCGTCCATCTATGCACTCCAACCTTGTCTTACCGACCAGTTGAAAACTGTTATTAGCACAGCGAAATTCTATGGCAGCCTTTCCAACTTGTGGGGTCACATGAGATACTTTGCCATTTAAAATGTTACGGAACTCCGGGCAAAACCCTGAATGAAGCAACAGAATTTTTAGCTGAAGGAAATGAAATTAAAAAATACTTCTGATTAAGCAGGCTTCAGTGTATGTCGTAATTGACAATGAAAAGCTATCTTGTGTTAAACTTGAAGCATCATATCTTTTCACTATTACACAGGTGGTGACAGATGACCACTGATAAGAAACAACCTCTTTTACGGTTATTTCAGAACTCTCTTTGTCTCTATAGTGATTATCTATGATATTTCTAGAGAGTTGCATCTTGGAATTGAAAATTTTGATAAACATTTTTGCATGAATCACCGAATGTTGCTGTGAAATGCGGAACCACTAAACAATGCCGATCTTAAGTTATAGAACATTTTGTTTTATTCTAAAGAGAATTTACGTCATACCAAGACATCGGAATTGTGTCTGTGTCCATTTGTTCCCATTGCATGTTATAATTGGCATTCCATCTAGATAAAAGCCCTGTTTACAGCTAAAGAGAATTACTTGGCCGTTTTGGTACTTTTCTTGCTTAGTGGGATGAATAATGACTGAGCCATGAGGAGAGGTTGGCTGATCGCACGTGGAGCCTTAAAAAAAAATAGGCGGCTGACGTCAAGCTTTCGACACGAACGGTGATTTAATATCACAATGTACAATCCAAACAAATGACCTGGGTTAAGAAACAAATAGTTTCCGCCTTATAATGGTAAATTATTTGCAAAGAAAGGCTAATTTAATAACCCTGTAGTGCAGAACGTTAAGTCTTAATATTTCTAGAAACAATCTTGGGGTTTCCTTATTTTTAGGGCATGCGCTTTTCCAGATGAATTATCTTGTAAATATTGGATGAGTAGGTATCAAATGGCTCAATCGGAACAGACAGAGCTGCCCTTAAAAAGCTGGCTAATGATACTGACCCTTATGCCCATCTCATGGTCACAGACCTATCCTTAACTTGTCATGATTATGGATAGTCTTGTTTCATTTTTCGGAAATAAGCCAGACTCTTAGAAATGGAGGCAGCGATGCAGAAAAAAATAAGCATCTCTGTCTTTTAAATGACGGATAACACATGACAACCTTTTCCGCTTAATTTGAGAGTAACGCACTGCTTATTTTCCGGCCTCAGCGCCGAAGGAAGCCTATAATTGCTCTTTGCATAAGGTAAATATCTCTTTTCCTCAAGGAGATGTCAGACACGGATCCGAAACCGTGTGCGCGTCATCAAAATCTATAACTGATAGCTTGTCAACTTTTAAATTGATTTGAGTATTGTAGTTTTCGTCAGTCACCAGATGTGAAGATCACAAGCGAGGGAATGTTCAAGAGTCTCAAGACAGAAACCAACAGTGTGCAGTTTATTTCGTTAAGGAAAACCCTGAAAACCCCTTTGGCTTACTCAAGAATAAGGAAATGTAGAGGCACGTTTCCTTTTCAGTGTCACAAACTTGAAACTAACTGCGCTGCTATCAAACATCAGTTCACATTTGCCGAATGAGCGGCGTCTTTAGCAGAGTTTAGTGGCACGCGCCCTTGCTATTAAAAATTTTTACAACTTTTAGATGAAAATAAACAATGCTGAAAGCTGACGCATGACATCCTCTTTCGTTTTGAGAGAACCGCGTTGTTTATCTTCCAACTGGAGTGTTAAGGGAAGCTAATTGAGCATAAGATGTATGAGAGGTTACGTTTGTTCAGATATGTGCTTAATCGAGAATTTGTCGCTCGTACCAGCTTTGTCAAAAGTTTGTATGATGCAGTCGATATTATTTTTCGTACTCACCATATGTGACCATCACAAACGAGAATATAAAGGACGCTGAAACCAACCCCACACGTCTCATGATGAAGCCCATAAAATCTAACCTTCTTACTGAAATAGGTTGCTCAAATTGAGATAAGGATGTGGAAAGACAGCTTATTAAATGCAATGTAATTCAACTCCTTTAACACTGTAATTTAAGATAAGAATATAAATGTCAAAGGGGTCAGAATCTCCAGCAGCGTTATTTGTTACGAATCTTTACAATTTGAATTGTCTTGCTTTGACTGATTTACATCGGCAAGTTAGTCTCGTATAGTGGGTTGTCTCGTTTGGTATATAATTGCATACGTCATGTCGTTCACCTCAAATTATCGAAAAAGGAAGCGAAACAAATAAGCGATCCAGTCAGGCAACCGTTCCTTACGCTAACAAGAAACCAACTGGTTGATATAGCGTCCCGACTCGCACTGCAATAAGCTTCTGATTTCTTTGTTAAATGTGTGAATTACGTAATCAAAATTTCAAAAGGAAAATCTCAATGCCAGTTATCTTCCATCTCATTCTTTTCTCTCTTTTTTTATCTACGATGACAAGTGTCGCTAAACTTTTTAAACTTGAAACATAGATAATCGGTTTTACTGCCCAATACATAATGACTTTCTTAATTTTGAGCGTTGTTATTTCTCAGGGTGTATAGGGCAGGAAATGAGAAGTTATCTGTCAGCAAAGTGTTATTTTTTGGTGCGGAATTTTCTCCCCTTGAGCCAAATCAATGATGCTGAAACTGTACTGTCATTTTCCTTCCATCAAAAGGTCTTTGGAAGTCATCCAAAAGTCATCCAAAAGGTCTTTGGAAGTCATCCAACCCTGCCGTTTAACTTTTTATCAGAATTAGGCAATATGGTGTTTCAATTAGACTTACTTAATTTTACACTCAACTTCTCCTTATTTCCTCTTTCATAAATAGTTTACCGTCTTAAGCAGCAGGAAACCATACCAGATGTAACAATTTTCATCAAAAACGACAGGGAAATGATGGCGCAACTAAGCGCAGAAAATGTCTTTTTACAACAGGGAAAAAATAACTTCCCTGACTTTTCCAGCGACGTCCCAAAATCCGACTTCAACATCCGCTAAAACTGGAGCAGCTCAAATCGATAGCACGTTCCGAGTGCGCGCGGGCAGGTTGTTTACTTTGGCAACCGATAATTCATGTTCAAGTAGCGTTCAGACGATAAAAATACTCCGAAAGAATTAGACAATCTTAACACGTTAATGCACTGAGCTCTGGAACTTATCTAGAAATAAGCTACAAACTTACAAACAGAGCAAGATACAGTTTTTGCGATATCAGGTAATAAAGATTTCAATTTACTCTAAGCTGTAAGGCAAGTGAAGCTGAAAGGACTAAATGGGGAATTTACGCGCTAGATTGGCCAATACAGTGATTGATCTTGACAGGGTGTTTCGATCATCGTATTAACCCTTTAACTCCCAAGATCTCATTAGTAATTTTCCTTACTGTCTGCCATACAATTCTTATGATGTCAATCTGGAGAATTTTGTATTGGATCGACTAATAATCCCCTAATTGATATTTCATTTTATTTTCATCACTTCTCTCCTTGATATTGTATTGATATTGTAAGGAGAAATTCTCTCTTAGTCACTCATGGGAGGTAAAGGGTTAATAAGATTTTTTTCCTAAGAGGCATATACGTGAGAAGTATGTCAACAGGCCTCGCAACTATCATTACATCTAAAAATTAAATAATGATGAGCGACTAGTGCCACTGCACAGAAAAACAAAGGGCGAAACGTTCTTATTTTAGAGATTCAAATCCGGCTAGTCCTTTTCAAGATGGGGATGTTATAGATCAACGAATAGCATGCAGTATTAATCAATAAAAATCGATGATAAATGATAGTCTATGCCTATTGTTCGATCGAAACTGGACAAAATTACTCTGTAGTTATAAGATCAGAAATGTTGCTTTCAGTTATAACAAAGAGTTTCTAACATTGGGTAACCTTCAACCTCCTCTATGCTAAAAGGGAAGATTCTTCTTTCAGCAGGGGGAGGAAAGCACGACAAAAATCACTCCTTGAAATACTCCTATTTCTCCTACACTTCCTTTAAGTTAGGCGGGAAAATTTTGACTTTCATCAAAGAAAGACACTTTAGGGGTGGGGCTAGACCTTTTTCAATTCTCACCACTCTTACGCTGAATTATGCATTGATCTTGTAAGGAGAAGTTATCATTCAATAAAGGGTCGAAACCAAAACCCGCTAAAAGGATGACTTTCATACTCCATACAATTCAAAATGTAGCTAGTGTGATAAAAGGAGTTCCGGCTCAGAAGATAATTCAAGCAATCAGAAATATGTTCTACAAATGTTGTTGACTCGATTAAAACAACTAATTTTGGTATTATCAACTGAGTTGGCTGCCGTAAAGAGTTTCTAAAGCTGATGTTTCGAGCGCCCGCACTTCTTCAGGGCTCGGCACAAAGTTGACCTAAAATTTACTTTGATCATTACTGGATATCTGCTAATCTGCCGAGAGAAGAGAAAATTAACTAAATAGACCGTGCACTTGAGTTTCAAGCATATGATTAGCTAAGAAATATTCACTGGAAAAGAAACTTAACCTCTCTCTTTTTTCCTAGATTCTCTGGTACGTGTTTTTGACTGCACTGATGTTGGCCACTCAAAATGCAATGAGCCCAAAAAATAGTAAGTTTTTACGGAAATTCACGTGTTTAATCCTTGAACTCAGAGTTAACTGACCATCAGTCAATGAAGTCGTTTTCTATTGTGCCATTCTATTTTGGGGATCTCCATACAATTTTACTGAGAGGGAGAAAGTTGAATAAAAGGAAGTTCCACCATCAAACTAATGGCGAACAGAAGGAGCAATAGAAGCTTACGAACAAAACTGCAATCAGTTCATTTAAAAAGGAAATGCTAGACAGACGCAAGGCGCGTGTCTTTTTTTACATTAGCTGACATCAAACGAGAGGCTTTAATTTGGTATTTCGCGAGAATTCACCCCTGTAAACAGAAGCGAGTTCTAATTTCGGTTCATTCAAAATAATTGAAGAAGATGAATTGAATAAACTTGAAATCTCAACGAAGAGATTTAATATTAAGGGTAGTGACACCTATTATTAATTTACAAAAAATCAGTTTGAAAAAAATTTCACCGGAGCGTTAAATTCCAGGCCAGTATATCTAACTGCATTCGTAACAGATATTACCTTGCTGGGCGCACGTTACGTGTTTTTTCTTATAAGAAGAAACACGTAACGTGCGCCCAGTATCTTAGAATGTGACGAGAAATGCCTCGATATTCTCCGTAAAACTCGAAGAAATCCACCACCCAATAGTAGAGTGGAAATACACACCGGTTATTGTAAGGCAAGATATGTTTGCCGAAAAGGAACTGACATAAGAACTTGCAGGAAAGGGCAGTGGATTGGAAGCAAAGCACTCAAGTGTCTAGGTAAAGTTTCGCGGGTTGACTCGCTTTGGTTTGGATAAATTACAACCATGTGATTGAACAGAATGAATGATTACAAATCAAAATCCGTAAGCCCCGTCACCATTCGATGATCATAGGTTGAATCATAAATTGGATTTTGGTATACCGATACAAAAATATCCATTCCTAAGCCAGATCGAACGCATTATCCATGGTTATTACTAGTTTATGATTGAAAACGTAAGAAACTGTTCTCATATTTTACTTCATAAATAATTTCTAACATTCTTTTTATCAGCATATTGCGGCAAACCCGCAAACATTCCACACGCCGCATTCTCTGGTTCCCGTTTCAGCTTCAACAGTATATTACAGTACAGATGTGATCAAGACTATGTACTCAAAGGACCAAAAAGAAGGAAATGCAGAAAAAACGGAGAGTGGTCTTAGGCTCCTACATGTTCACCAAGTAAATTGAATTTGATAATCTTTACACACCTGTAAAGACAACAACAATTGTCAGTTGAGTGTCCAAAGTAATCAGGGATTATTTTGGTTTTGCGTTATATTTTTAGGTATAATGATAAGTCAGTCTTTCAGTCAGTCAGTATGTGAATCACTCAGCCTTTCTTCTTACATCTCTCTTAAGTTAGTCAGTCAGTCTGCGAGTCAGTCTGTTAGCATTTGAGTTAGTCAGTCATTGGGTGAGTTGGTCAGTCAGTTATGCATATATGAGTCAGTCTGTCTGTCAGTCAGCTTGTGAGTGAGTCAGTCGGTCAGTCAGTCTTAGGAGTCTTTTTTTTTTTTTCATGTTTCTTTCAGAAACTCATTATTCCGTTTGTTCAGCCACTAGAATGGTGGAATGTTACTTGGCAGGTGGATCGACTGGCCTATTCCACAAAGTATCACCTTAAAATACAGAAAAGACACGAAAAGAACAGAACAAATGAAAGCGCATTGCAATAAACCGGTCTTCTTTGAAGTGATCATTAATTTTTTTTATGTTTTTTGTTCACAGATTATACACCCTGTGGTGTAAGTCCTGTTGATCTGAGGGCGAGAGTGGTCGGTGGTAAGAGTTCGAAAAGAGGCTGGTGGCCCTGGCAGATTGGACTGCGCAGGGTTAACTCAAAAGGTAGTTTGAATGGAAAATTTTCATTGTCTGGCTCATTCATTGAATGCTGTATATATCGGGAAAGCATGACGAACATTTTTGTTCCGACATTCGGCAAATCCTTTTGAGTAGCATATGACTGTCTGTGGCCTTTCACAACAGCAGAAAAAAATTTATCTTTCAAATCTCACTCTTAATTCTACACGCTATCAACGAACGATTCTCATTCAACTGATTTTTTTGTTTGTTTATTTTTTCACGTTATTATGCTCCTAAAAAGACAGAGTAGCTCCATTTTTCCGTATATGTTCGTTACACAACCCACAGTTCCTCTGTTGCCTCTGACGAGGGGCCAAGCACGAAACGTTACTTAAAATGCACTGGTCAAAAGAAGTTTTTTTTTTATTAAGAAATTATTGCTAGAAAATAATACTTACTGTTTTTCAATTTGTTTCCTATCTCTTTTTTAAGCGGAACTTGTGCTTATCTGTATTGGTGCTCTGATTTCTCGTCGCTGGGTTCTGACGGCTGCACATTGTGTTTACCACAGAGATTTCCGAGGGGCTCGTGTTCTCGACAATATATCCAATAAGTAAGCACTGAGTCCAATAATCCTTTATACATTTGAAGTTTAAAGAAACATTTTATATCTATAGATATCATTTTTTTCATTGTTGTATTTGAAAGTTCACATTTAAAGGCAGAGAAAATTCTGCAGAAAAAAAAAAGTATTAGAGTTTCTGATATCATTCACAAGGATTAACTCTTGAAAAACTCCCAAAACCAGTCTTTCCTTAGTAGGCGAAGCAAATTATTTTCTCTACGACTATTACTCTTTATCTCGCAGGTACCGCGTGACAGTGGGTGACCACCACTTGAGGAAGGATGAAAAATCTCAGATTGACGTGGAAGTGATGAAGATATTTGTTCATGAAGATTATGATCATGGGAAAATCACAAATGACATTGCTCTGGTCAAACTCGACAAGGAGGTGGAACTTGGCCCCTATGTACGGAAATTGTGTATTCCGGACAAGGATCAAGGGGATTTGGCAATCGTTAAAAAGTACGGCATAGCAACAGGATGGGGTGTAACGCAAGCCTTGAAACTCTCACAATACCCCAAAGAACACAAACGCTACTCAGACCGTCTTCAATACTCAGCCTTCACAATTCAAAGCGACCAGTTGTGCGCTAACAAATCAGCGGGATACTTTTTTAACTCCACAGTGACGTTTTGTGCCGGGGATGGAAAGGGAGGAAATGATAATTGCAGAGGTGACGGTGGAGGAGCTTTTGTCCGTAAGGTAAAAAGAGGAGACGACTTCCGTTGGGTGGCTACTGGGCTGGTCAGCTGGAGTTTGGGCTGCGCACAAAAGGATCATTATGGATACTATACCAGGGTGTTCTCATTTATTGATTGGATAAAGAAAACTATGGAAGACAACTCATAGGAAAATGACTGAGCTTGTTCAATACGGTTTTACTGATCAATAATATAAAGAATGTCTGTTCTTGGTCGTCAGGAACATAACAAGGGACATTTAATTTTTGTTGTTTATGCTGCTTGCTTTAAAAGTTGCCTTCTGCAACCAGGAGTGATAGTACCAGTCAAAAGTTTTTTCTTGTAAGCTGAGTGAGGCTTAAAACCGAATAGCTGATGGGAAAAACTACTGCGAAAATCGTTGTTTTACAATTTCTCACCGTTACTTTGATGTCTGATTAAGGTTTTTGCCTAGAAAGTCTGTGCTTTTGTAGATTAATGCGCAGATTGATGGTTTGGCTTTTTCTTTTTTTTTTTTTTTTTTTTTTCGTTTTGTAGTCAAATAAAATCGCCGATGAGCATAAGATGGTTTCTTTCATCCTCTCCTAAAGTAGATGTAATCATGACAGAAGCAAGTAGACAACATCTTTAAAGGAGGAACTTTAAGTCATATTTCCTCTGGGGTCATCACTGCCTGAGATACCTCTCCTTAACCTCTGATTAAAGCGACCATTCACCTAACGGAACAATAGCACATCGCGATGGCTCAACTCCTTTGCCAGAAATTTTCGACAGGCGATTAGGTAATTTCGTATGGAAACTTGTCACCTTCGGTTTCGTCAGCAAGAGAGTTTGTTTCAAGATTGGCGATTAGAAAGGATCTTTCCGCGCGCTTTGTAGGAAGCATGAGAGTAACATGCTGCTGGTAAGTTTCGCATACTCTCGGTAGTGCATTTCAGATACCGGCATTATCATTCCAGCAAGTTAAAATTCTTCAGCCGTTCCCTATGTTAATAACATGCTGTTTTGCAGTCTGACTATGGGTATCAGATACCGCGGGAATTTCGATTTTTCTTTTTCTGTCTACGTGGTTTTTAATGAAGTTTTGTGTAAATATCTCCTAATAACCTAAGCGTGTTATGATAAGGGCCGGGGGTTACGATTAGTAACTTAGCTTGGTTTCAAACAAGAAGAACGTGTCTTTATTCAGAAGGTGATCCTGAAACCACTGGTTGTTGAGATGTTAGCAAATCGTTTCCCCTTTCATATTGTTTAAATTCGTACATCACTGTCCCTTTTCCTCCGAGTTATACTTTGCTGTGTTCGCATGGAACCCTATAGAAGAAACTATCTAGTTTGCTTTGTTCAATGAGGTTATTCAGGGCCGCGCTTCTGTGAGCCGGGGTTTTTTTTTTTTTTTTCGTCAGGTGCTGTGCACACGATGTTGCCGTGAAAAGCAACTTTCTGAAGTCAGTCTCTCTCAAAAAGTATGATTTGCTTCAGTTTTCTTCCACAATTTGTTTGGAACCATTCAACATATGAAAAGTCCTTCCGAAATCGGGAACTTTTCTCGTTTAGATCAGTATTTTTTTCGCTTTACGAAATGCTGTTAGTCATTAGTCATTTTGGGAGCCGTTTCGTATTAGTGTGTAGAGGAGCCCCCTAAGGGACTTCGAGTGAGGGAAAACTCCCAGACCAGTGAACAAACATATTCACTCAAATTCACTGACAACTGGCAGAAACAAAAGCGAGATATCCAAGCGAACTAACAAACGATCAGATAGTTACCTCGATTCTAGCATTCACTCGAAAGTGCCAATTACTCTACAAGTTTGGTTTGGGTGAACCACTCTTTTAACCCCTAGGAGTAATTATATCCAATTTCTCCTTGCAATATCACCACTGAATCAAACATTAAGGTCACGAGAATAAAGGAATTGATCACTAATTTGGGAAGCTCTTGATTGTCAAACAAATTCTCCTTATCAAAACCTTAGAGAATGTGAAGAGAGCAGTATAGAGAATATGCATACTGATGTTAGGGTGTAAAGGGTTAGTCCAACCTTAACACACCATTTGCGACCACAAATAGATACAAAAAAGAAATCTTGATGCTTCAGAAACACGTCTTAAATGATTTTTATTACGCACGTAAAATATAATAGATACATCGACTTGTTCTGATGGCTAAAAAACGTGTTTGGTTTAAATTTGATTACAATTTTGTTACAAGAAATTTCTAACACTCTTATAGAGTTGAAACTTTCTTTATTGCTTCTCCTGATAGCTCAAACAACTTGTTTGCACGGGATGTAACGCATCATCTACATGAAAGTGTCGGTTTCCAGTTTATAAAGGTGGCAATTAGCAAGCTTTCAACATTTAACCAACGTTACTATTTCTCGTTTTACTAGCGAATCACGTTGTTACGTATAACAGTCCCCGCATACTAAGTATATACCTATGGTTTGTTTACTCTTACCAAAATAACATTCTACCTAGAAATGTCATACTTTTATTTTATTTATTTATTTAACAACTTTATTGGGTACGTCTACAAGCTCAAAATGAATACATATACAAGGAAAGAGACAAAAAATGGATAGACATACGCCAAAAGGGTCAGTGCGAACGGGACATGGAGTCCCATGCGGGGCACTACCCTTAATAAAAACGAAAAAAAAATTAAATACTTTATATAATATGAAAATTATAAAGATAACTGAAGATAAAATAACCCTCGAAGTTTGTTACAATAACAACAGAATAAACAAAGAATTCGAGGAAGAAAGGGGGCACCCTAAGTACCGCCCCCCTAGGAGAACTGTTTGCCGTTCATATAAGTCAACTGATTATAAATTCCGTGCGGAAGATGAAAAGTACAAATTGTACACATCTTAATCTCCATATTGAAAGAGGTATTCTACGTGCTAAATTAATAATTAAGACTTGCTTTCTTGATCGAGAATTTGACATGAAATTGGCCTAAAAAAACGAGCCTGAAAAGAACCAAATGTATGAGAAGAAGCAATTTCCAGGAATTCCGGTTCGAGATTAACTTTTTCCAGATCAAATTACTCTCTTACTCATCAAGCAGTTTATTAAAATTAAAGTATTTCTTGCCACAAGATAATTGAAATACCTACGCCGAGTTTTTAATCACCATAGAATTGTTCATCTGCTTTCCTGTCGAACTCGCGATTGGCTAATATGCCACAATCACCAACAGCTTAGTACAAACTTTTGTGTATTTTAGTGGACTAGTTTCTCATAGAAAGAAAAGATAGCAATTACTCTACTTACAAAGTAAGACCGTCATTGAAATAGGAAATTATCAACTGCTTACAATATATATTTTTTAACTGAATGGTTTATGCAATTTGTTATTTCCATTCATATTCCCTACACCAAAATAATGAAGCTCTTATAATGCTCCTAAATAAGATGTGCAGTATTGAAGATCTTATAATGCTTCTAATAAGATGTGCTTTGATTTTATCTTTTAACAATTTGTCGTTCTGTGTTAATTGACTGGTAGTCCCAGTATAATTGGATCAGTCATGATGATTTTTGTATCGATGGATCGAACAACTCTGATAATATGAATAAACATAAAATTTTAAAAAGTTGAGAATGGAGGTTGGACATGTCCTTTTGCTATGATTACGATAATTGCACTGGTTGTAAATTTAAAAATGAACCACCCCCATTACCTTAGCATGTCCCAAGTTTATCTCCTTTCTGAGACTACTAGACTTAATGCTATGTAATTTGACATGGTTTGATGTTACTCTGGTTTACAGATTTAATTAATGTAACCGAAGAAGTTACAATTCGTAGACCCAACGTTTCGACACTCCTGTCTGGTGCCTTCATCAGGGGTGATCTAAACGCTGCAACAAGAGGTCTTTTATACGATCACTAATTAGCTGGGAACCAGTCTCCGGTTCCCTTTCATCAGAAGTGCTACTAGTTGTAACTGGTTTATCTGAAGAGTTTCGGTTGAGTCATGATTAAATTTACCTTCCTCCTTTCTATACACAACTAAGAAACGACAAATGTGAGGGTATCGGCTGAACTGTGAGCTAGAACAAAAATGTCAGTTAGCGCCATATTAGCACGTGTGTGTTCATGCCAACAGGAAACTATTTACATCCTCTGTCATTGCCACTTACGGCTTAGTTCCACCGAATGTAAATACAGTTATCTACTTGTAAGGCACGCTCAGTAATATCATTAAGATTGCCCCTCATGGGCAATTAATTGGCAATCATATTTCGGATCAATATCATCATCTGGGCAACTGCCCACCTACCCCTCCCCTAACTCAACAACAGTCAATTGACAACAAGTTAAGGTTAATGTTGGGTTAGGGGAGGGGTAGGTGGGCAGCTTCCCAGATACTGATATTGATCCCATATTTCTATAGTCCCCCCATTATATTATATTGGTGACGACTGATCTCTCCTCCGTCCCCCCCTGAAAACCATGTGTTCCCCCAAAACAATCCTTCACCCCCAGGCGATAACAAATAACTGGTCGTATGTTAGGTCATAATGTGATTTTCACACAGTTCTTTTCTAAAGACTCGCACGTTCTCTAACTTGCTCTGCCATCTTCACCGTCGGTTTCAATAGTACACTGAATTGAACTACATACTCGTTTTATTTTTCCCTCTTTTAAGTTCCCTCTCTGATCTTCTCCAACTACCGCAGTTCCTTCGGGTATTTCGTCCAAGTTTGGCTTCTCATCAAGAAGTACTTTATCTTTACTTTTATATAAATATTTGTCTCCATAAAGAACTTCCCACAACGAATGGCGTGCGATAGAAACAAAACGCCCTTTCAAATAACTCTTTCCTTCCCTGAAGAGGACTGCGGAGCCTGACATTATGCAACCTGAGAGTGATGAAGACATAGTACATGATTCGAGATAACGACTGATACAATTACTTTTTGTATGCAATGAGGGATACTGGAACTGAGCCAGTAGTTTCTAGTACCCTGAGAGTTTTCTTATCAGAGGATATCAGACATCACACGACTATCGATGCTGTTCCATTTCGAAGAAAGGGCGCATGGTTTCTATATCAATTCAAATACGCTCTATTTTAAAAAGAGTACCGATGCTGATCTAGATAGAGAGAAGAGTATCAAGCTATCTAAGATATAAATTATTACCTCGAAATAC